AAAATTCTGGGCCCAGTGCAGTGGCTCACGCCTGTAGTCCCAGCACTTCGGGAGGCAGAGGAAGGCGGATCACCTGAGGTCCGGAGTTTGCAACCAGCCTGGCCAACATGGTGAAACCCCTTCTGTACTAAAAATCCAAAAATTAGCCAGACATCTGTAATCCCAGCTACTTGGGAGGCTGAGGCATGAGAATCGCTCGAACCCGGGAGGCAGAGGTTGCAGTGAGCCGAGATCGTGCCACTGCACTCCAGCCTGGTGACAGAGCAGACTCCGTCTCAAAAAAAAAAAAAAAAAATAAATAAATAAATAAATAAAATTCTGGCAAAATAGTGATAATTATTATTATTTATAATTTTGAGACAGGGTCTCACTTGTCTCCCAGGCTGGAGTGCAGTGGTGCAATGATGGCTCACTGCAGCCTTGACCTCCTGGGCTCAAGCAATCCTTCCACCTCAGGCTCCCCAGTAGCTAGGACCACAGGCGTGTGCCACCATGCCTGGCTGATTTTTTATTTTTCATTTTCTTGTAGAGATGAGGCCTCACTATGTTGTTTAGGCTAGTCTCCAACTCCCTGCCTCAGCCTCCCAAAGTGCTTGGAATACAGGCATGAGACACTGTGTCTACCCTATTTTACTGTTTAAGAGACAGGGTCTCAATCTGTTGCCCAGGCTGGAGTGCAGTGGTACAATCATGGCTCACTGTAATCTCTACACCTGGGCTCAAGCAACCACCCTCCTACCTCAGCCTCCTGAGCAGCTGGGACTATAGGTATGTGCCACTATGCCCAGATGATTTTTTTATTCTTTGTAGACACAAGGTCTTGTTATGTTGCCAGGCCGGTCTTGAACTCCTGGCCTCAAGCAATCCTCCCACCTCAGCCTCCTAAAGTGTTGGGATTACTGGCATAAGCCACAGCAACAGGCCAGTACTTCATTGTTTTTGCTGCTGAATGACACCTCATTGTATGCATATACCATATTTTATTTATCCATCCATTAGCTGATTGACATTTGGGTTGTTTCCCAGTTTGTGGCTACTATGAATAATACTCTATGAATATTCATGTATATGTATTTGTGTGGACATGTTTTCTTTTCTTTTCTTTTTTTTTGAGACAGTCTCACTCTGTTGCCCAGTCTGTAGCCCAGGCTGGAGTGCAGTGGCGCCATCTTGGCTTACTGCAACATCTACCCCCCAGGTTTAAGCAATTCTCCTGCCTCAGCCTCCTGAGTGGCTGGGGCTACAGGAGGCTCAAACCAACTCGCCTCATTCTCCCAAAGTGCTGGGATTACAGGCATGAACCAACGCACCCAACCTGGACATATGTTTCCTTTCTTTATCTTTTTTTTGAGATGGAGTCTTGCCCTATCACCCAGGATGGAGTGCAATGGTGCGATCTCAGCTCACTGCAACCTGAGCCTCTCAGGTTCAAGTGATTCTCCTGCCTTAACCTCCTGAGTAGCTAGGATTACAGGCATGCACCACCACGCCCAGCTAATTTTTTTCTTCTTTAGTGGAGACAGGTTTTTACCATGTTGGCCAGGCTGGTCTCGAACTCTTGACCTCATGATCCACCCACCTCAGCCTCCCAAAGTGCTGCGATTACAGGCATGAGCCACCATGCCCAGCCAATATGTTTTCACTTCTCTTGGGTATATATCTATTTAGGAGTGGAACTGCTGAGTCATATGAAAACTCTACATTTAAACTTTTGAGGACCTGTCAGACTTTTCCAAGCAGCTGCACCATATGATCCCCTTGTGACTGATGGGTGACTGAGGCTCAGAGAGGGAAACTGTCTTCTGCAAGGCAACACAGTGAATATGAAAAAGGAGCTAAAAATGGACATGGGTTCAATGCTGTGCCTTCTCCTCTGATGGCACTACCATCTCACTCTCACTGCAGTTCTCTCCATACCCACTTCTGCTCCTGCATCCCATTCCTTGATCAGCAGCAAATCCCTTCACACCAGTCCCTGCAAAGGCTTCCTGCTGCCACCATCTGTTTGAAGTTCTGCCTCTGAGGGATGACTTAGAAGCCCCTCTGCCATCTGGTCCTAGTGCTGCCTCCTGACACTTTTGCAGCTTTAGTGAGCTATAGTTCACACCCCACACCATTCACCCGTTTTAAGTGTACAATCTAAATCAGTGTCTTTTCATATTCTATACTGCAGGGTCATGCCAGGTCTTCAATTCCATGAAAACACCAGTGCCTTTGCTTCTGGGACTTTGCACACACTGTTGCTTCTGTTTGGAACAGTCTGTATATTTTTTTCTGGCAAATTCAAGATCCTTCACATCTTAGTTGAGATGTTTCTGCTGGAAAGCCTTCCCTGATTGGATGACCTGCAGGATGCTCCCACAGACTCCCTAGGATCGTCCCTGTCACAGCATGGTCTACAGTAGTCTGACTTTTTAAGGTCTGTGACTACATCTTATTCATGTCCAGTGCCTGGCAACGCTCAATTCACTATTGGTTGAATGAACAGAAAGATCTGAAAATATCTAGCATGGCCCTTAGCACACTGTAGAAATCCTGCAAATGTCTGCAGACTGTAATTACCTCCAAGGACAGGGACAGCACCTCCTGTTGGGAACATTCCAGATGGTTTGGGTAATTAAAGGTAAGATTTTTTTTTTTGTCTGGTACCCATGCCACTTCTGGCAACAGCATCCGTTTTCCTTTGGGGAATCACTTCTATTCTACCTTCTGTTCTTGTAGTTATTTATGAGAAGCTACACGGTTCCTGGAATCTGTACGTGACCCAAGGCAGATTAGTTAGATGCAATCCTAACTTATGCTAGATTTTTTTAAAGGGGTGCTTTACTTTTACTAGAATTACTAAGCTTGTGCCTCTCTCTAGAAGAAAACTAACTGCCTGAGAAAAAAGTAGACTTGAGAACTCAACAACGGAGTCCTGATATCAGCTGGATCCAGCTGTGCCTGAAGCCAACCACTGGACATTTTAGTTACTGAGTCAATTTCCATTCCTTTTTAATTGCTTGAGTTCAACTTGTCACCTGCAACTGCAATATTCCTAATCCAGTTAGTAACCCTCTTTCACATACACACATACCCATCACACACCTTACAGACCAAACAGAGGAATCAAGCCAATTCTTGTCCCTAAGTGCAGGTTTACCTACTCACCTCAAATCTAAGTTGTATTTTTCTGAGTTGTGTTGTGTAGTTAACTGTATTTAGCTTTCCTCGTATGGTACTTTCTATACCAAGCTTGTCTGGCCTGTGGGCTGCATGTGGCCCAGGACAGCTTGGTATGCAGTCTAAAACAAATTCATAAACCTAAAACACTGCTTTTTTGTGTTTTTAGTTCATCAGCTGTTGTTAGCGTTAGTGTATTTTATGTATGGCCCAAGACAATTCTCCTTCCAATGTGGCCCAGGGAAGCCAAAGGATTGGACACCCCTGTTGTATATCATAATCAGCAAGTGGACATTTGTAGTGTCCTAAATGGTATCAGGTGGTAAGTCCAGGTGGCTAGAAGAGATGCAATTCTCATTTATAGCCTGGCCCAAATTGAACTCCCAAGAACACACACAATAAGCACTGCTCCCTAAACCTGTGTGCTGGTTCTGCAAAGAGCCTACTAAAACAAACTTGGCTTTTCCTTTTGACTTGATGATGTAAAGGACAAGTCTGTGCATTTACTACCAGTACAATAAGGCAGGAAAGTCTCAAATACTATTTTTTTTTTTTTGAAATGGAGTTTCACTCTTGTTGCCCAGGCTGGAGTGCAGTGGTATGACCTCAGCTCACTGCAACCTTTGCCTCCCAGGTTCAAGTGATTCTCCTGCCTTAGCCTTCTGAGTAGCTGGGACTACAGGCGTGCACCATCACATCCGGCTAATTTTTGTATATTTAGTAGACAGGGTTTTACCATGTTGGCCAGGCTGGCCACACACATTTTAACCACCCATCTTTGCTACAAGGAAAAAAGGCCCAAACCCTGTGTGGGTGAAGAGGCAGACAGACTCAAATGCTCCCGATGCACAGGAATGAGGGGCTTCCCACTCAATCACCAATTACCATTTGCATACTACCCAACCTGGACCTTTCCAGGGCATACTGGACCACTCCACTCCCTAGTTCCTTGGGGTGCAATGAATTGCAGACAGTTTTTTTTTTTTTTTTTTTGAGACGGAGTTTCACTCTTGTTACCCAGGCTGGAGTGCAATGGCGCGATCTCGGCTCACCGCAACCTCCGCCTCCTGGGTTCAGGCAATTCTCCTGCCTCAGCCTCCTGAGTAGCTGGGATTATAGGCACGTGCCACCATGCCCAGCTAATTTTTTGTATTTTTAGTAGAGACGAGGTTTCACCATGTTGACCGGGTTGGTCTCGATCTCTCGACCTTGTGATCCGCTTGAGCCACCGCGCCCGGCCCTGCAGACAGTTTAATCCATGGGCTTTTGCTGATTCTGTTTTCTCTGCTTGGAATGCCCTTCTACACTGAGGAAGTCTTTCAAGGCCCAGGGCAAAGGTTAGCTCCCCTGTGAATCCTTGTTCCTTTAATATCTGGCATAAGCAGCCATTTTAACTATCTTTAAAGGTCAAGGTTTCTTAACTTGGGTCTGCAGGTCATTATGAATAAGCTTTACAGGGAAATGTCTGTGTCTATGCCCGTGTATGTTACTCTAGAGGGCAGGGTCTGAAATTCCAGATTCTCAGATTCTGTGACCTCAAAAAAAGGTCTTTTGGCCAGGCACAGTGGCTCATGCCTATAATCCGAGCACTCTGGGGGCTGAGGCAGGAGGATGGCTTGAGCTCACAAGTTCAAGATCAGTCTGGGCAACATAGCTAGGTACTGTCGAAAAAAATAACAAAAAATTTTTAAAAGCCCTCTCTTATGTGTCTCTCTCTTGTGAGTTGAGGGCAAGGTTCACAACTCTGTCATCTTACCCTCTCCGGCACTGGTCCAAGATAGTCAAAACTGTTGGCAGAAGGCTGTTAGTGACTTACAGAGGCAACACTTTCACAGGCAAACAGAAAACAGGATGGTTTAATTTGTGGAGTCAAGAGTTGTTTGTTCTTAATTACTGCACTCAACATGCAAATTATATTCACCTCGGTACAGAAATGGCACCCTGTCACTTCCCTGGGATCTTTAATCCAGACAGAATTACTCTTGGGCACCCTTCTCTATGTTTCTACCAAAAACTACTGTCTCTCCCTTCTTACAGCAATATGTAAATTCTATTTTGTTCCGAGCAACTGGGAAATGAGGTCTTTCATCCAAAGGAGTAGCCATTTCCAGTATAGCACCACTGATCTGTCAATGGATTTGATAGATATACTGACATCCAGATCAAGATCTTCCATTATTTATAACCTGTCTCTGATGATCGCAAAGGCACTTTAGTATCTGGCAGTGCCTCAGGGTCACTGATTTTCACTGGACAGAATTAAGGGATATAGAAGGTTTGCTGTATCTGTCCTGGCTCTGGGTATTCACTCTGAAAAGAGTTTATTTGAATATGGTTTTGACATATTTGCTCTCTATGTCTATGTAGGCTCAAAATGAACAATATAAGGAGATTCATTTTGTTCATCCATAGTTTCTAAACCTTTGGTAGTGGAAATAGTTGACTTGTGTAATGAAAGTTAACAATACTAACAAAACTAATGGTAAAACAGAGGGTGTTTGGATCCCAAGAAAACAGGAGTTTCCTGTGGCTAGATGTCGGGCTGACTGTACATAATCATTAGTTATAATTAACATTTCCTCCAAAGATTGGATTTCTGCTAAGATTTTATACATTATCAGTAGCTTGAGGTTTCCCCCTTTCTCTGCATTTCATTACTAGAGTCACCAGAAGGAACATTTAAAACATTTTTTAAATAACAAGTTGCCCACCATACTACTCCTATTTCCTCTAGTTTCAAACATAAAGGGGAACACAGCCCAGACAAAAACAAGCCTTGCTGCACGCCCGCCAGCTCCTGCATCCTCCTTTTTATTCTGAGACGTGCCAGCTCCAAACAAAGTTATGAGGTTAAGTGCAACTCCAAGTTCCTGACACAGCTAATCCCTGCTCGGTCTTCAAAAAATAGAGGTCTGTAATTCCTTTTTGAACATGCCTTCAAAGTGGAGGTCTTTGGCCATGAGCTCTTCTTCGACATCATCGAGTGCCCACTGGTGATCTGTCAGCTCCAAAGCTTCCCACTCTGTCTGTAATGGAAGAGAACACCCAGGCAGGGGAAGAGGGAATTGTTACTGAAAGCTGTAGCTAACCTTTAGTGACCACTTACTCTGGGCCAGAAGCTGGAGTGAGCTATCTGCATGTATAAGCTCATTCAATCTTTTTTTTGTTTGTTTGTTTTTTTGAGACGGAGTTTCACTCTTGTTACCCAGGCTGGAGTGCCATGGCGCGATCTCGGCTCACCGCAACCTCCGCCTCCTGGGTTCAGGCAATTCTCCTGCCTCAGCCTCCTGAGTAGCTGGGATTACAGGCACGTGCCACCATGCCCAGCTAATTTTTTGTATTTTTAGTAGAGACGGGGTTTCACCATGTTGACCAGGTTGGTCTCGATCTCTCGACCTTGTAATCCACCCGCCTCGGCCTCCCAAAGTGCTGGGATTACAGGCTTGAGCCACCGCGCCCTGCAAGCTCATTCAATCTTACAAGGGAAATGCTGCTATCCTCATCCTCTCCTCCCGCCTCAATTTATAGATCAGGAGACCAAGGCTAAGAGGTCAAATAATTTGTTCAAGGTCACTGGCACTAGGAACTAATGGGGCTGAGATTTAAATTTTGGTCTGACTGCAAAGTCCCTCCATCAGCTCACACTCACTAAGCACCTTTGTGCCCCACAGTACTCTTGAGGGATGTACAATAGACAAATTAATGCTTTCTGAGTCTCAGCTCTTTCATCAAGGGATTTGTCATCTGGTTTAAATTGTGCATGCTTTGCTTTGACATAATGGCTCGGGAGATCTTCAGTACGCCTAAGAACACTTGCTCTATCCTTATGTCCAGATACACAATGGCACTTCATTAGTTTGTGGGAGTCCAGTCATTTCTAATCATGGAAATAAAGACTTTGATGGTGTGAACTAAAAAACTATTTTGGCATATAATAATTTGCATGTAAACTAGTAATATGTTGAACAGAAATAAATTTGCAGAATTTTCCAAGAAACTGCATTTCACAAATATTCTATTAATCTGACTACTTTGCCTTAAATTAGTGAGTGTCTAAAAAATGCTTTATGAGTCGGGTGCAAGGGCATGTATTTACAGTCGCAGCTACTCTGGAGGCTGAGGCTAAGGATAGCTTGAGCCCAGGAGTTTCAGCCTGGCCTGGACAACCTATCATTAGACTAGCCTACAAGACTTCATTTTCAGAAAGAAAAAAAAAAAAATTGTTTTAAAAAGCTTGTGAGGTATGGTACCTCACGCCTGTAATCCTAGTACTTTGGGAGGCTGAGGCAGGAAGATCACCTGAGGATGGGAGTTCAATACCAGCCTGGGCAACATAGCAAGATCCCATCTCTACACAATTTTTTAAAAAAATTAGTTGGGTGTGGTGGTGGACGCCTGTAGTACTGGCTCCTCGTGCACCAGTACTGAGGCTGAGGTAGGAGGAATGCTTAAGTCCAGGAGTTCAAGGCTGCAGTGAACTAGGATTGTACCACTGCACTCCAGCCTGGGGGACACAGTGAGACCCTCTCAAAATAAATAAATAAAGCTTATTTAACATGAAATACAAATGTTAGTTCATGAGTGGGTTTTTGAGATATAATTTCCATGTCACAAAATTTACCCCTTGAATGTGTACAATTTAGTGATTTTTAGTATATTCATATGTGCAACCACCACCACTATCTAATTCCAGAACACTTTATCATAACAAAAAGAAACCACATACCAAATAGTAGACGGTTCCCATTATTCACCTTCCACAACCTCTGGCAACTACTACTTTATCTTTTGTGTCTTTTTTTCACTTATTCTGGGTGTATCTGGCCTTTTGTTATGTTCTTTCACTTAGCACGTTTTCAAGGTTCTTCCCTGTTTAACATGATCCAGCACTCTACTCTTACTTATAGCTGAGTAACACTCCATTGTGTATATTCCACTGTACATACAACATACCTTATATTCCAAAATATTCCATTGTTTATCGATTCATCAGATGATGGACATTTGGGTTATACTACTTTTTGATTATTATGAATCATGCTCTGAGTATTCTCACATAAGTTTCTGTCTGGACATAGGTTTTCAGTTCTCTTGAGTATTTACCTAAGAGTGAAATTGCTGGGTCATATAGTAATTATGTTTTAACTGTTTGAGGAATGGGGAAAAAACAGTTTTCCAAAGTGGCTGCACCATCATCAACGATAGGGCTCCAATTTCTCCACATTCTTACCAACGCTTATTATTGTCCATCTTTTTTTATTATAACCACCTGAGTGGGCATGAAGTGGCATCTCACTGTTTTTTAGTTGTTTATTTTTTTCAGACAGGGTCTCATTGTCGCCCAGGGTAAAGTTCAGTGGCGCCATCTCTGCTCACTGCAACCTCTGCCTCCCCGGTTCAAGTGATTCTCAAGCCTCAGCCTCCCAAGTAGCTGGGATTACAGGTGTGCACAACCACGCCTAGCTAAGTTTTGTATTTTTAGTAGAGATGGCATTTCACCATGTTGGCCAGGCTGGTCTCAAACTTCTGACCTCAAATGATCTGCCTGTCTTGACCTCCCAAAGTGCTGAGATTATAGCTGTAAGCCACTGCACTCAGTCAAATTTTTATTTTTTTATTGTGGTAAAATATATGTAACATAACATATGCTACTTTTAAGCATTTAAGATATACAATTCAGTGGAATTAATGACATTCACAATGTATACCCATGTCTACTATCATTTCCAAAGTTTTATGTCCCCTTAAACAGAAAATGCACACAGTAAGAAGTAACTCCCCACTATCCCCCAACCTTTCCTCAGTAACCTCTAACCTACTTGTCTCTGTGAATTTTTCTATTCCAAATATTTTATATAAGTAATATCATGCAATATTTGGGATTTGGGTCTTTGACCCATTTAATTTCTTTTTTCTTTTTAAGACAGGGTCTTGCCGGGCGCGGTGGCTCAAGCCTGTAATCCCAGCACTTTGGGAGGCCGAGGCGGGTGGATCACGAGGTCGAGAGATCGAGACCATCCTGGTCAACATGGTGAAACCCCGTCTCTACTAAAAATACAAAAAATTAGCTGGGCATGGTGGCGCGTGCCTGTAGTCCCAGCTACTCAGGAGGCTGAGGCAGGAGAATTGCCTGAACCCAGGAGGCGGAGGTTGCGGTGAGCCGAGATCGCGCCATTGCACTCCAGCCTGGGTAACAAGAGCGGAACTCCGTCTCAAAACAAAACAAAACAAAACAAAACAAAAAAACAAAAAACAAAAAGACAGGGTCTCACTCTGTTACCCAAGCTGGAATGCAGTGGCACAATCATACCTCACTGAAGCCTCGAACTCCTCAGCTCAAGTGGTCCTCCCATTTATAGGCATGCACCACCATATTTGGCTAATTTGAACCTAATTTTTTTTGTTTTCTTCAGCACTACACATGCCTGTTGAACCATTTGGACTTAATTTTTATACATGGTGTAAAATAGGTGCCCAGCTTCATTCTTTTGCATGTAGATATCCTTTTCCCAGCACTATTTGCTGAATAGAGACTACTCTTTCCCCACTGAATAATGTTGGTACCCTCTTTGAAAATCAATTGTTCATAAATGGATGGGTTTATTTCTGAACTCTCCACTTTATTCCATTGATCTGTATCTCTCCTTATGCCAGTTTTTATTACTGTGCAGTTTTGATTACTATTACAAAGCTGTAGGTTTTAAAACCAGGACATGTAAGTTCTCCATTTTTGCCTCTTTTGATTCCCTTGAATTTCCATATGAACTTCAGGAGCAGATTGTCAATTTCTGCAAGAAAGGGCAGGTAAAATTTTGATAGGGATTGTGTTCAATCTGTGGATAAAATTTGGAGAGTATTGCCATCTTAACAATATTAAGTCTTCCAATCTATGAACATGGATGTCTTTCCATTTATTTAAGTCTTTAATTTCTTTCAGCAATCTTTCAGTTAAAATCTAACAAAAGGCATTTCTTTCATTAAATTTGTTTCTAAGTATTTTATTTCTTTTTTTTTTTTTTTTTTTGTTTGAGACAGAGTGTTGCTCTTGTTACCCAGGCTGGAGTGCAATGGCGTGATCTCGGCTCACCGCAACCTCCGCCTCCTGGGTTCAAGCAATTCTCCTGCCTCAGCCTCCTGAGTAGCTGGGACTACAGGCACGCGCCACCATGCCCAGCTAATTTTTTGTATTTTTAGTAGAGACGGGGTTTCACCACGTTGACCAGGATGGTCTTGATCTCTCGACCTCGTGATCCACCCGCCTCGGCCTCCCAAAGTGCTGGGATTACAGGCTTGAGCCACCGCGCCCGGCCTAAGTATTTTATTTCTTTTGATACTATTATAAATAAAATTGTTTTACTTTCATTTCCAAATCTTCATTACCAGTGTATATAGAAACACATTGATTTTTGTATGTTAAAACTTATTTATTAGCTCTGTTAGTTTTCTTGTGGATTATTTAGGATGATCTATATACAAGACCATGTCATTTGCAAACAAAGATAGGTTTACTTCCTTTCTAATCTGAATGACTTTTTCTTTTTCTTGCTTAACTGCCCTGGATAGTACATCCTGGACAATGTTGAATAGAAGTGGCAAGGACATCCTTATCTTGTTCTTGATCTTAGAGAAGAAGCTTTCAGTGTTTCACCATTGAGTGGGTCTGTCATAGATGCCCTTTATCGGGTTGAGGAACTTCTCTTGTTTTATTTATTTATTTATTTAGAGATGGAGTCCAGTCTGGAGTGCAGTGGCACAATCTCAGCTCACTGCAGCCTCCGCCTCCCAGGTTCCAGTGACTGTCCTACCTTAGCCTCGTGGGTAGCTGGGATTATAGGCATGTGCCACCCTGCCTGGCTCATTTTTGTAGTTTTCCTTTTTTTGAAATGGAATTCACTCTTGTTGCCCAGGCTGGAGTGCAACGTTGCAATCTCGGCTCACTGCAACCTCCACCTCCTGGGTTCAAGTAATTCTCCTGCCTCAGTCTCCCGAGTAACTGGGATTACAGGCGCCCACCACCATGCCCGGCTAATTTTTTTTGTATTTTTAGTAGAGACAGGGTTTCACTATGTTGGCTAGGCTGGTCTCGAACTCCTGATCTCAGCTGATCCACCCACCCACCTCAGCCTCTCAAAATGCTATGACTACAGGCACGAGCCACCATGCCTGACCTATTTTTGTATTCTTTTTTTGAGACGGAGTTTCGCTCTTGTTACCCAGGCTGGAGTGCAATGGCGCAATCTTGGCTCACCGCAACCTCCGCCTCCTGGGTTCAGGCAATTCTCCTGCCTCAGCCTCCTGAGTAGCTGGGATTACAGGCACGCACCACCATGCCCAGCTAATTTTTTGTATTTTTAGTACAGACGGGGTTTCACCATGTTGACCAGGATGGTCTCAATCTCTTGACCTCGTGATCCACCCGCCTCGGCCTCCCAAAGTGCTGGGATTACAGGCGAGAGCCACTGCGCCCAGCCTATTTTTGTATTTTTAATTGAGATAGGGTTTCACCATGTTGGCCAGGCTGGTCTCAAACTCCTGACCTCAGGTGATCCACCTACCTCGGCCTCCCAAAATGCGGGGATTACAGGTATGAGTCACTGAGCCTCCAGAAATTCCCTTCTATTTCTAGTTTTTATCATGAAACAAAGTAATTTTGTTCTATAAAAATCATACCGGATTTTGCAAATTCTAGAACCTTTTGTGAAAATGCTCTTAGTATTTTTTTTTTAATGTAATTTATATCTGATGTCTGTGGGGTTCAAAAAAGGTTCAAAAGATTCTAAATATTTACCTGGCAGCTCCGACTGGATTATTTTACAGCATCATTGATAGTGTGGATTAAATTTCAGTGAGCATTTACAAACCAGTAAAAGTACTAAGAATCTCCAATTTACTTAATAGATGATTCTGTCTCAGGAAAAAGAGATGTGTAAAATATGTTTTTGCTAAGTTTAAATTAAAACGATGGAACCACACAACACTCCCTGCAAGGAACCTGTTCTTAAAATAATTCTTGATAACACCTTTCTGAGCATCACTGTGGCTTTGGAAGGTGAATGGAGTATATATATACCTTGAAAGCTTTGTTTGTGTCTGCGGGCATGGCCATGGCTGCTCCCGTCATCTGCTCCTGCATCATTCGTGATTGGTCAGCGGCTGCAGCATAAGACACAACTACATGAGTGCCAGGACTCAGCAAGCACCCCAGCACCCAAGGGGAAGAATGGGTTTCACAGAGGTTACAGAACTGGATGACAGCCTCACTGACTGGCTCTGTCACCCATCAGCTATGACTCTGGGAAAGTCACTTTGTGTCTCCTGAAAAATGGGGACAGTAACAGCAGAAGATAGATCACTAAAGGAAGCTCTAAACTTTATTTCAAATTTCAACAATAACAGCCACCTGTTATTGAGCAATTATTGTATGCCAAGTACTTCACTAAGTGCTTTGCATGTTCTACCTCATCCAGTCCTGACAACCCTGCAGGTTAACTGATAAAGTCCTTATTTACAGACAAGCAAATAGAGAATTCAAAGTTAAGTAAGTTGTTAGGCAACTTGTCTGAGGTCCCAGCCAGTAAATAAGAGAGCCGGGATTAGTACTGGCAAGGGCTCTAGTCAATGAACTGACTAATCAAACTGTGTCTTCTTTAAGGTTTAGGTTCACAGGTTTACACTGCTGGTGGTGGATCCCTCATATGATGGCACATACTCTGGGAAATCAAATACTGTCCCAGTCATTGCCAGAGAAAACTGAGATCTTCAGTTTGACCCCTGGAATTTTTAAGACTCTTTCAGAATACCTCAGAAACTGAAGGAAGGAGGCATTTTATTTGACTATGCTATCAAACAGCATAACTTACAAGATTTTTCTGCCTCTAACATGAATGATTCATCTATGGAAGTATTTGCTTAGTAAACCTGACATTGTTCTTACCATTATCTTGGCCCAGAATCAGAGAGTAAATGCTCCGAAGCCCAAATACATTGAGGAAGTACCAGGATGCAGAACTCACCCTGGCAAAGCAAAAGCAAAATGGTGTGGTTAGTTATATCAGAAAGGAATTCAGTTCCCTCTTCCCTACCACCCAAAGTTGTTCAGTGTTTGTAAAGAAGCCACCTTGGATGGGCTATATTCACACAAAGCACAACCACAGAAGAAATACAAGTTGTTAAAGCAGTCTCACCAATACAGAACTATATTTTTAAAAATCCAGAGAGGACTCCCATTCTGAATGCCATTCCCTAGAGGAAATCACAAGTGTTGATGTGTTCAATACTTTTTTTTTTTTAGACGGAGTCTCACTCTGTCACCCAAGCTGGAGTGCAGCAGCACAATCTTGGCTCACTGCAACCTCTGCCATCGGGTTCAAGAGATTCTCCTGTCTCAGCCTCCCAAGTAGTTGGGATGACAGGCACACACCACCATGCATGGCTAATTTTTGTATTTTTAGTAGAGATGGGGTCTCACCATGTTGGCCAGGCTGGTCTCGAACTCCTTACCTCAAGTTATCTGCCCACCTCAGCCTCCTAAAGTGCTGGGACTACAGGCATGACCCACCAGGTGTGTTCCATACTTACAAGAAAGGATAAGAGGTCGATTTCAGAAAATACAGTACTGAGGACTATAGCTACTGGGAGAGCCATTCCAAGTTTTGAACTATATCACCTAGGCTTTCTTTAGCTTAGGTTTTCTACTCTACCTCCATAAAATAAATATGCTTGCATATAATAAAAACAAAAATGAGTATGGAAAATGATAAATGTCAATTCCTACATAGGCTTCATAGGTTGCTATGAGGTTAAAATATGGAAAGCACCAAGCACAATGACTAGAACTAATGAAAACTATTAACACTATCATGAGTAGTAATGTACTTTGAAAAAAATAATAATACAAACTTCCACTCCCATAAGCTCCAGGGTATTACTAAAAATGATTGATTGGTCAGAATTCCTGGCTTAAACTTTTAACTTTCCAGCGGTTGATACACTGACCTCTGCATTCTTAAACCCCCAGTTGTGACAGAAAAGAGGTGACACATTCTTTCCTTTTGCTACATTCATGTAAAAGTTGCCATAAACCACCCATGGCATTTTGAGTGAAGTTTCAATGAAAAAAAAGAAACTTTGGTCAGGTATGGTGGCTCATGCCTGTAATGCCAGCACTTTGGGAGGCTGAGGCAAGTGGATCACTTGAGGTCAGTAGTTTGAGACCTGCCTGGCCAACATGGTGAAATCCTGTTTCCATGAAAAATACAAAAATTAGCTGGGTATGGTGGTCCACGCCTGTAATCCCAGGTACTCGGGAGGTTGAGACGGAAGAATTGCTTGAACCCAGGAGGCGGAGGTTGCAGTGATATCGTGCCACTGCACTCCAGACTGGGCGACAGAGTAAGACTCTTGTCTCAAAAAAAAAAACCTTTAAAAACCAATTCCAATGAAGTATGCAGATTAGAAATCCTCATCTTTAAGGGACACTGGCTTTAGATTTTGGTTTGGTTTGTGTGGTTTTTGTTTTCGGTTTTTTGAGACATGGTCTTGCTCTGTTGCCCAGGCTGCTCTCAAACTCCTGGCCTCAAGTGATCCTCCCGCCTTGGCCTCCCAAAGTGTGGTTTGTGTTTTTATTAAACTAGAGAAAGTTCTTACCAGGATGCATCTAATGTGAGCAGTTCAATTCCTTGCTGTAACATAGGCTTAAAACGGAGGGTCAGTGGAAATGGGACCTTCGCTGCAGAGAAGAAAAAGTTCACAACCACTCTAAGTTGTTTTATTTTTAGAATAAGTGTGAATCTTTCCCTGAGGAGGTGAGAATTCTGTGCCACATAGCTTTTGGAAAACAATTTCCACAAGGAAATCTGTGGCAATTTCTGAAGAAAAGACAGTCAAAATACCACTGTGCTCTAGTTTCCCTGAATAATACCTGCTTCTAGCTTACTGAGGAAGCAGGGACTCAAACTGAGCTGTCCTGAAATTTGGGAAAAAAACCTGCACTGATCTATTAAGCCCTAAGTGGAATATATATATACATAGAACTATGTTACTAAGAAACCAAAGTGATTAAAATCAAATCAACTTATAACAAATAGAAAATTCACCCTAACACCTAGCAAATGAAGTCAAACAAAATAGAAATAGGCTTCCCTTTATCCTGTTCAACTAGAATACCATATTAGTTTTGGAAGTAAGCTAGACAAAGTCACTTGCTTGACTCTAATCTAGCTAAAAAGCATCCAAATCATGAACTTAGGATCATTTTTGGGCAAAAGCCGTAAAAATAATCACATTAAATTTTTTGTTCAAAGACTGTTATCAGTTTCCACAAGAAAACACAGGACCTGTGAGATTAGTGTCTCAGTAGTACTTGAATTTCTCTGAGTAACATGAAGTCTGCTGGGTCTGTAACTTACTTGTGACAAAGCCTGAGAATGTCATGTTGATCCATCCACCAATAAGAATCATAGGAAGGACATTTGTTACATTCCCTTTCATCATGTCTGTCAGCATAGTAGGATCTAAGAAAAAAGCACCAACAAGAAACCACTGAGTTACCTCTGTTTCAGGGACTTTCTCCTCATTATCTATACATTTTTAATGTACTTGATAATTAAGTTTATTGTTTAAAAAAATTAAAATGACATAAAAACATATGATGTACAGTTCTTCTAAGCCCACTCCCTAAACACTTAACTGTCTGTTATATGTCCTTCCATCTTTCTGTCTATACATATACACTATAAATTTTATGTATATATACACACATACAAAAAAGAGATACTATGTTTATAATTATTAATGTATTTGTGGATGATATTTCCATAGTGGTATAACAGCTCCCTCTCAATATTTTCTGCTATAATAGTTCCCTCTCAATATTTTCTTTCTTTTTTGAGACAGTCTCACTCTATCGCCCAGGCTGGAGCACAGTGGAACGATCTCAGCTCACTGCAACCTCTGCCTCCCAGGTTCAAGTGATTCTCATGCCTCAGCCTCCTAAGTAGCTAGGCTTACAGGCACACGCCACCATGCCCAGCAATTTTTTGTATTTTTAGTAGAGATGGCATTTCCCCATGTTGGCCAGGCTGGTCTCCAACTCCTGACTGACCTTATGTGAGCCGCCCGCCTCGGCCTCCCAAAGTGCTGGGATTACAGGCATAAGCCACTGTACCCAGCCTCAATATTTTCAGTGTCTGCATAGTATTCCACTGTGTGGTCACACCAATCACTTTTAAGTAGACCTATAGATTGGTTACATTGCTTTTTTCTTTTTTTTGAGACAGAGTCTTGCTCTGCCACCCAGGCTAGAGTGCAGTGGCACAGTCTCAGTTCACTGCAACCTCTGCCTCCTGGGTTCAAGCAATTCTCCTGCCTCAGCCTCCCAAGTAGCTATGATTATAGGAACCCACCACCATGCCCAGCTAATTTTTGTATTTTTAGTAGAGACAGGGTTTCACCATTTTGGCCAGGCTGGTCTCGAACTCCTGACCTCATGATCCACCCGCCTTGGCCTCCCAAAGTGCTGGGATTACAGGTGTGAGCCACCACGCCTAGCTGTTTCCATTGTTTTTGCCAATAAATGATAAATGATGCTGCCGACAACCATCTTGCATATACATCTGCATGTTTATGTGTTTCTGTAAGAGAACATCTTAGAATTTCTAGGTCTAAGGATTTGTACATTTAAAATTGATAGACATTGTCAGACTGTCAGCAAGGCTCCAACTCTTGCCACTCCTGCCAATGGTGAGGGGGCCTAACTTCTATGACCTTGACAATAGTGGATCCTGTCCATCTTTTCAATCTTTTGACAGCTTAATGGTGTAAAAAGAAAGAGTACCTTGTTTTAATTGATATTCCATGGATTATTAGTGACATCAAGTAACTTTTCATATATTTAATGGTCTTTTGTTTCTTGTAAATTTTCTTAAAAACTTGTTTAAAAAATTAACTCCATAAAACCTAGTCACTCTTTAAAAAAAAAATTAATTACAGTATCTTCTGTATGGGTTTAAAATAGCTGGCCATCTCAGCTAAAGAAATAAGTAGTACTAAAATGAGAGGAGAGTCAACAAAGAACAGCAAATTACTTTGCTTTACTTTTAACATGCTGTATTTTTCACATGACTGCGATCAATGAAGTAGAAAATGTTAGAGCCAACACTGTAGGGTAGACCAAACAGTCACATCTAACAACAAAATGGCAGGTCTTGGAAGCAGCACACTCTTCCTCATTCAGGCAGAAGCTGGGCAGCCATCTGTCGGCAAGGTGATCCAGACACTGGGTGAGAGCCACGCTAGAATGCTTTTCCAACTGTACTCCCCAGAACCCTGGGTTCTGAGAACAGCAATGAGGAAGGACCCAGGGACAATGGCTCTGGACCCCCTGACTCCATCAGCTGAGAATTATTATTTTTTTTAATCCACTTTATACCCTGGGGTTCTCAAAAAATCTAACTGAAAAAGAGAATTCCATTTCTATAGATCCCTACATTAGATGAAGGATTACTATCTTCTGCAATTTGACATTTAAATAAAATGACACCCTCCGTGCCCTCTCCCCCTGACACCCCACCCCACTCAATGACCCATGTTTAAAAATCTTCCTTAAAGATGAGTGAAGGCAAACATACCAGTCATAGGAGAAGGTGGCACTACCTTCCTTTTAGTTTTTTTGAAAAATCCATCCTCTGGGTTGTTGAAATAATATTTTCGTGTCAAGAAAGACTAGTAGGAAAAAAAAGCATTTTAAGTCTAAGAACTATGACACAGCAAACTGTCAAATTATTCCCCAGGGGCTTAGTCAGAAGGCCTTTAGGATATGCTGTTCCGCTTAGAGCTGTCAGCCTACTTGGCAGGCGACCCGACACTTTAGCTGATTCACATTTAAAAACAATTTCCTAAGAAGGGTGAGGTCATCACGACAACGAACACTACCGGGCCACAGCTTAATTACTAAGTTGCCAACCTTCAGCTTTCCCCAAAGAGCCCCTTATAAAACATTCAGATATCTACCGCCCAACAGTGAATCGTGGAGCTTTTTAATAAAAGACAAATGAGTACCTGTTTGGGAATGTATTTTCCATTTTCCCTGAGGACTCTGCTTCGAATTAGGACTTGACTGAAAAATACAACCAACACAATGAGATTTTTTAAAGTGAAACACTAGAAGAAAACGGGAGAGTAAAGTAGAAGACCTATTTAAACACAAGAGAGGGCCTATTTGGCAACAGCTATGTGTGGAAACTTTCCAAAATACAGTGTCTTTAAAACCAATGTAAACATATTTAACCTAACAATTAGGTTTTCAGAAAAGTATTTTTCAGAAGTGACTATGTCTCTGAACAAATGAGGAAGGTACATTTGGGACATTATATTCAACTTTTTCTTGTTTCATAATAAGCTAGGAAGACACTTTCTCTGAGTGAAAAGAATAGCAGTTGGACACTGCTCAGAAGATCTGTGGTCAGAAGAAAGGGAGAGGAGCAAGGATAAAAGAAGGAATTTCTTACTACCTATATAGAAATGAGAACAGGCCTTGAGAGGGTTGCTATCTGATGGACAAATAGAAATTCTACCCAGGATTCAGACTATTAAAAAGCTCTCAGTAAACATTAATTGAATAAATAAATGAAATTACTAGGTGATCTTAAATCAACTATTAAAGCCATAGTTCATCATTAAATATTGTGTAAGGCTGGGTGCAGTGGCTCATGCCTGTAATCCCAGCACTTTGGAAAGCGAAGGCAGGTGGATCATTTAAGCCCAGGAGTCTGAGACCATCTGAGACCAGCCTGGGCAACACAGCAGGACCCTGTCTCTCAAAAAACAAAACAAAACAAAAAAAAAACCAAACAAATTTTAGTCAGGCTAATGGCACATGCCTGTAGTCACAGCTACTCAGGAGACTGAGGTAGAAGGATCACCTGAGCCTGGGAGGCAGAGGTTGCCATGAGCTGAGATTGTGCCACTGCATGCCAGCCTGGGCGACAGTTGAGACCCTGCCTTGGGAAAAAAAAAAAAAAAATTTAGTGTTATGCAACAAGTGGGTGTTGCTAAGATACAAATGAAAAATAAAACAGATCAAAATATTAACTTTTCTAGGTACTCAGGTTCATTAGAGGAGGAAAGAAGGAAAAGGTCCTTAAATTAATGGAAATCCTTCTTGAAATGCAAAAAAAAAATTATGGACAGAAATGAACATATAAATACTGTGCTAGGCTTTTTCTCTCTACTCAATACAAATCACTTGTTCTAAGCAGTCAGTACCCCTGGGGTCTCCCTTGTCACCTTATACATATTCTAGCTTCTCCACATGCTGGGAATGTTCCAGTGCGCTTTCCTTTACAAGTTCTAATCCATCATGCCTTAACACCTTCTTCAAGCCTCAGCATTTCCATAGAGCTTTTCCCAACGCCTGGAGCACTCATGGAATTCTCTCTGCTTCCTCCTCCTGAGCTCATTATGCTATATAGTTCTTCACTTTATCTACAGGGCTACAGAGTTAACATGTAATACGTTCTCCTCCCTGGGTGCTAGTCTAAAGATATTCAAAGTGTGGTCAATGTACCAATGCTGGTCTGTGATAAGCACAGACATTGGAAGTAAGGATTTAGAGACTTTTATAATAATTTGACATCGTCACAACATCCAAATACATGATCAAAATATTTTACACAAGTATTAGCCTACAAGAGATTAGAAATTAAAAAAACCAAAAAACCCAAAACTGGTCCTTCACCGCTGACAGTTGTAAGAAGCACTAGCTCTAGAGCAATGGGTAAAAACTTAAGATCTGGAGTTGAACAGATGTGTTCAATCCATCTCTGCCACTTACCAGCCATGTGATCTTCGGCAAGTCACTTAAATTCCCTAAGCCTCTATTCATGTTCTGTACAAGGATAAATTTATTCTTTAATTGAACAAATATTTCTTGAACTTCAAAGCACCAGGTGACATGAAGAACAGTGACCAAAATACAAATCTCTTACAGAGGTTAAAGTCCAGTGAGGGAGAAAGACATTAACAAAATAATCAGAGTAATAAATGTGAAGTTCAATTATCATGCCATAGGAAGAGAGATGGATGGTATTGCAGGAGTGCATAATGGGGAGGTGATGGATTCTGGGAAGTCAAGGTCTGAGAGACAGGTTTGCTGAGGAGGTAGGATTAAGCTGGACTCTTCAGGATGAGTGAGGATTACCTTGGCAAAGTGCTGGTGTAAACAAAATGGGCAAAAGCCTCATAGAAGTAAACACTCTGCCTCTGAGGACCTGAGGAAAGACCGTATAGTGGAGAACTACAGAAAATGTGGTGAAAACAAGACTTGAGAGGTGTGCAAGGCCAGACTATACAAAATCATGTGGTCCCACTGTATTTTTTTGAGATAGAGTCTCACTCTGTTGCCCAGGCTGGAGTGCAATGGCACAAACCCAGCTCGCTGCAACTTCCGCCTCCTGAGTTCAAGTGATTCTCCTGCCTCAACCTCCTGAGTAGTTGGGACTACAGGCATGCACCATCATGCCCAGCTAATTTTTATATTTTTAGTAGAGATGGGGTTTCACCATGTTGGCCAGGCTGGTCTTGAATTCCTGACCTCAGATGATCTGTCTGTATTAGCCTCCCAAAAGTGCTGGGATTATAGATGTGAGCAACCAAACCCAGCTGGGTCCCACTGTATTTTTTTTTAATCTTTTTTGAGACAGTCTCAGCTCACTGCAACCTCTGCCTCCCGGATTCAGGCAATTCTTCTGCCTCAGCCTCCCTAGTAGCTAGGACTACAGGTGCATGCCACCATGCCTGGCTAATTGCTTGTATTTTTAGTAGAGATGGGGTTTTACCATGTTAGGTGGTGGTCTCTGTCTCCTGACCTGTGATCTGCCTGCCTCAGCCTCCCAAAGTGCTGGGATTACAGGCATGGGCCACTGCACCTAGCCGCGAACGGACATTTATATTACATTTAGAAAAATATTTTATACTGCTAGGCACAGTGGCTCATGCCTATAATCTCAGCATTTTGGAAGGCTGAGATGGAAGGATCACTTGAGCCCAGGAGTCTGAGACCAGCCTAGGCAACACAGGAGACCCTATATTTGCAAAAAATTTAAACATTTGCTGGGCATAGTAGCATATGCTTATAGTCTCAGCTACTCGGGAGGCTGAGGTGGGAGGATCACTTGAGCCTGACATGGTGAGGCTGCAGTAAGCCATGACTGTGCCACCACATTCCAGCCTGGGTGACAGAGCAAGACTTGTCTCTTAAAAAAGAAAAAAAAAAAGTTTACAACTAAAAAACACCTTTTTCTTGGATTTAGGCTGGTTCAGTGTGTACAGCATTTTACCCAAGTCAAATGATGACTTGATGAGGCCCAGCCACTCCCATGTCAGAGCTGGTATATAATAATAATAATAATCCAAATACCTCACTTTAGGGATGCAGCAATTATAACCAGAGATAAACAGTGTTATCTAGAGCAGTGGTTGGTTCTCCTTGGGGGTGGTACTGCCCTCTAGGGGGCCCGTGGAAATCTGTGGAAATTTCTGATCGTTAAAATGATGGAATTGAGGGGAAAAATCATGTAACTGTCAATTGTAAGACGTAAGAAATGATTATCTCTCAGTCCTGGGGACAGTCACATAACACAAAGAATTTTCCCATGTCCCACATGACTTTTGAGTATCTCACCAAATTGTTTTGTTTTGTTTTGAGGAGTCTTGCTCTGTCAACCTGATTGGAGTGCAGTGACACAATCTTGGCTCACTGTAACCTCCGCTTCCTGGGTTCAAGTGATTCTCCTGCTTCAGCCGCCCGAATAGCTGGGACTACAGGTGCACGCCACCATGCCTGGTTAATTTTTGTATCTTTAGTAGAGACAGGCTTTTGTCATGTTGGCCAGGCTCATCTCGAACTCTTGACCTTAAGTGATCCGCCTTGGCCTCCCAAAGTGCTGGGATTACAGGTGTGAGCCACCACACCTAGACCAACAAATTGTTTTTAATTATCTGAGCCTCAAACCTAATAATTCCATTGTGGGAAGTGGACATGGTTCTTATACTAAATTTGCAAGTATGTAAGTACTGAGTAACTAGAAGGAAAATTGCACTTTGTTTTGCTCAGAACTTTACCAAGAGTGGTACACCATCTAGGAAAATCACTTTGAGGCAGAACTGCCTTCTGTAATCGTTGAGTAGTTAACACATCTGTTAACAGTCTACAGTGAGGCCTATCCCAATTACGGTGATTTTATAGCTAGGTGCAGACAACTGACTTCTGCATTACACCTTCTAGGACAGCTGTTCACAAGCATTTATAAAACATTAATTATTTTATTACAAATTATTCTCCTTTTATTTCTTCTGATTGTTACAACTAGGGTGTTACATTCCTTTTTACTTATTTATTTACTTTTGAGACAAAGTCTCACTCTGTTGCCCAGGCTGGAGTGTAATGGTGCAATCGTGGCTCACTGCAACCTCCACCTCCTGGCTTCAAGTGACTCTCCTGCCTCAGTCTTCCAAGTAGCTGGGAATACAGGTGCATACCACCATACCAGGTAATTTTTGTATTTTTAGTAGAGACGGGGTTTCACCATGCTGGCCCGGCTAGTCTCAAACTCCTGACCTCAAGTGGTCTGCCCGCCTCGGCCTCCCAAAATGCTGGGATTACAGGCATGTGCCACTGGACCTGGCCATTATATTCCTTCTTAAGAACATGTTTGACCGGCCGGGCGCGGTGGCTCAAGCCTGTAATCCCAGCACTTTGGGAGGCCGAGGCGGGTGGATCACGAGGTCGAGAGATCGAGACCATCCTGGTCAACAAGGTGAAACCCCGTCTCTACTAAAAATACAAAAAGTTAGCTGGGCACGGTGGTGCGTGCCTGTAATCCCAGCTACTTAGGAGGCTGAGGCAGGAGAATTGCCTGAGCCCAGGAGGCGGAGGTTGCGGTGAGCCGAGATCGCGCCATTGCACTCCAGCCTGGGTAACAAGAGCGAAACTCCATCTCAAAAAAAAAAAAAAAAAAAAAAAAAAAAGAACATGTTTGTGGCCAGGCAAGATGGCTCACACCCTGTCTCTACTAAAATACAAAAATTAGCCGAACATGGTGGTATGTGCCTGTAATCCCAGCTACTCAAGAGGCTGAGGCAGGAGAATTGCTTGAGCCCAAGAAGTGGACGTTGCAGTGAGCTGAAATTGTGCCACTGCACTGTAGCCTGGGCAACAGAGTGAGAATCTGGTCTCAAAAAAAAAAAAAAAAGTTCTTGTATATAGACTACACTAACTGTGAATTACATTTTGGGGTTACAAAAGAAAGCTTTACAATATTATATAATTCAGAACCATTGCTCTAATAGTGAACCAGGGGCAGAAAATTTTGGCAGAGAATCAATGACAGCAGGAATCATGGTTGAAGAGGATTTAACTTGAGAGTGAGACTGACCTGAGTTCAAGTACAGGCATAACATTTGCCTACTTTGGTTACTTTGGGAAAGCTGCTTAACTTTTCCAGGCTTCCTTTTCTTCAATTGGAAACATGGGTTTAGGAGTAACTACCTCAGTGCTAATGTAAGAACAAAATAAGAAAAATTTATAGGTGCCAATAAATGCTAAATGTCTGAGTTTCCCCCACTTTGCATTTTTCTACAGCCTTTCTTTCTGTGGTAAATTGACTTGTTAAGGTTTGCTCCAGGGTGCGGTGCTGGCTCTGGTCAGTTCTGAAACTAATGCCACAGAAAGATAACGTGATTGCTGTGGTATAATGGAAAAAGCCCCAGACCAGAAGACTTGCTGTAAAGTTCTGAATGTCACCATGTGTGACCATGGAACTTAAAACCATAAGTTAATGAATATAAGTGCTTAGCATAGTGCCTGATGTAGAGTAAATGATTATCATTCTTCTTGGCATAATTGGGAAGAACTAACTGAAAATTTTACAGCAGTGCCTCCTAAACTTGAGTCATTCTCATGTCATGTTAGAATTTTTGTCTAGTGCTGTACCATTACATATTTAATACCTTTTATGTATCAACTTTTTTCCTACCTATGTGTTCTTTATGTTTTTTTTTTTTTTTTGAGACAGTTTCGCTCTTGTTGCCCAGGCTGGAGTGCAATAGGGCAATCTCAGCTCACTGCAACCTCCGCCTCCCGGGTTCAAGTGATTCTCCTGCCTCAGCCTCCTAAGTAACTGGGATTATAGGCATGTGCCACCATGCCCAGCTAATTTTTTATTTTTAGTAGAGATGGGGTTTCTCTATGTTGGTCAGATTGGTCTCAAACTCCCGACCTCAGGAAATCTGCTGGCCTTGGCCTCCCAAAGTGCTGGGATTACAGGTGTGAGCTGGCGGTTACTACCTATATGTTTTTAATTTAAAGGAATCTTTAAATTACCAGCAAATGGAAACCCAATATTACTTGTCACAAAAAAGAGAGTAACTTAAAATAAGTACAGTAGAAACAAAACAACATTACATTTTAACTACATACTGTTACCCTGTGTAAAGTTCTTAGCCTGAGGCTTACTCTCTTTATTAAAACGAGAAATTATTAAGTGAGAGGGAGGTGCTAAAGATACAGCAGCACTTACCTGAGATTGTTTCTGAAAGTAATGAGAACAACTGACTGAAAATTTTTCCTAAGAGACAAAGTCTCACTATGTTGCCCTGGCTGGTCTCCAACAATCCTCCTGCCTCAGCATCCCAAGTAGCTGGGAGAAACTATTATTTTAATATGAAGGGGTACATGGCTAGATATCCACCTACAATCATCTCAAATACCTGTCTCTGTATATAAATATTGCAATGAGGGGCTGGGCGTGGTGGCTCAGGCCTGTACTCCCAGTTCTTTGGGAGGCCAAGGCGGGTGGATCACCTGAGGTCAGGAGTTTAATACCAGCCTGGCCAACATGGTGAAACCCTGTCTCTACTAAAACTACAAAAATTAGCCAGGTGTAGTGGCTGGCGCCTGTAATCCCAGCTACTCGGGAGGCTGAGACAGAAGAATCGCTTGAACCTGGGAGGCAAGGCTGCAGTGAGCTCAGATGGCGCCACCGCACTCCAGCCTGGGCAACAAGAGCAAAACTCTGTCTCGAAAATAAATAAATAAAAATAAATACTGCAATGAATTATGTGAGGAACTTGCCTCCACTCTAGGAGGGGAAATGATAATTACAATTCCTTACATCTCTAATGGCAATTTTACAGTTTGCAAAGAGCTTAGGTACTTAGCATCTCGACTGACCATTGCAACAGTAATTTAGTAGAACGCGGATTATCACACTGACCTGACCGGATGTTACAAAGACTAGAAGCAGTAACGCACCTGGCACTCTTCCCAACGAAAGGGTGGGATGAGATAGTTCATAGGTATACCTAGCGAGGGTTGGCGACTAACTTAGATTAACAGCACTGTTTTTTCCAACACTCCATACGTCCTAGATCCCGTGCTAAGAGTTTTACAAACATCATCAAATTTGATTCCCACCTGTCTATGAGGCAGGTACTGCTATCAGCCACATCTCACAGAAAACAAAAGCGAAACACAGAGGTAACGGGTAAGGTCACCGTGCCAGTGGGGGCGCGGCGTGAACCCAGGCAAATTGACACAACTCCTGCACTTTCCTGCCCAAGGTCACGGCAGTGTGAGGTAGGCTGGAGAAGGGAGGGCGCTGACCTGTCAGACACTTGTTCCTGGGTGAGCTTCTTGTCGCTCTGCAGCAGGATGGACACGTAGTGGCGGATCATGCCTACGAAGAAAGTGATGATTACGATGGGTAGGACCACCCAGAGGCGGATGTTGGAGTCGAGCAACAGTTCTGGCCCTGCCATCGTCACTGAAAGCTGGCTCCCAGCAGGCGATGGGCGAGCTTCTCTTCTCTGGGGCGCAGTTGCTTCTCTTCGATTTCGCCTCCGGGCCTTCCCACGCCCCTTTGCCGGGCTAGCTCAGAACTCCGCTGCAGCGGTGAGCCCAGGGTACTGACTTCAGCTGGGCTGCCCGGCCTTCCACTTCCGGCGCGGAAGTTGACGTCACGTCGTGGCGCCCCTCGGTGGCGTCAGAGTGGCGTCGGGCTTGGCGGGAAGGTCGAAAACGACGGGCGGCGACGGCTTCTCGGTGGGTAAGTAGGGCGGTGGTCTTAGTCTCTCGAAGCCCCGCTCCTCTGCGGCCTAATCTCTAAGCCCGGGCCGCGGTTGGCGTTCTCCTCTGGGTCTCTGCGCCCTGAACCTCGGCCTCCTCGTCTGCTCTGAGATGGGATAATTCCCACAGGTACCTCTCTGCGTCGTTCACAGGAAGAAACGAGAAAGGTTTTTACCCTCACCCCCTTCCAGATGAACCCAGTCCAGGCGGTCGGCCTCAACTCCCATCTGTTGGGCTTCTCTGGGAGCCTCATGGTATCACACGTGTTAAGGCCGGGTGCTTCGAAGCCGGACGTCCTGACTTGCCTTAGTTTTTCCATCCGCAAGATGGCTGATAATGGTTATCCGTGTTAACTGTGGCGGCGCTAAATAAAAAGCTTAGCACAGTGCCCGGTACCTCCTAAGTGTTAACCGTTATTATAAGTCAGTATTATCATTTAAGAGTAAGTATAGGTGGTGAAGAGCGCGGCTGCTGGAGCCAGACTGCCTGAGTTAGAATCCCAGTTCTGCCACTGACGATGAGAAGAATCATGATACCCACCTCAGAAAGTTTTGTGGGAAATAAACGAATTATTAAACATAAAGCACTTGAAACAGTTTTTGTTAGCTTTTAGCATTTCCCCTGCCCTGCCAGCTTTTCTCACTCTGAATATTCTCAGAAGTTTTCTTTATGCCAGTAAGTATGCTGGGCATTAGGGACATTGAGTGAGACTGGGTTCCTGCTCTCAGAGAGCCCCAGTCTAGTGTGAGGTCAGGGGTCCTAAATATACCCTGTGGAAAAGGGAAGCTGCAATAGCAAACGCCCTTAGGGAGAGGAGGAACTCTTTTCAAGGAAGGTGACATTTGATTGAATGTTTAGGTCTGAGTAGGAATTTCCAGGCAAATAAGAGCACTTCAGATGAACACCTTTGTGCAAAGGGACTGAGACCACGAAGTTTCTGATTTACAAGATAAACTAAAAGGTCATGTGGTTCAGGCACTCCCCTACCTCTGTCTCATTTTTCTTTTTTTTTGAGACGGAGTTTCGCTCTTGTTACCCAGGCTGGAGTGCAATCGTGCGATCTCGGCTCACCGCAACCTCCGCCTCCTGGGTTCAATCGTGCGATCTCGGCTCACCGCAACCTCCGCCTCCTGGGTTCAGACAATTCTCCTGCCTCAGCCTCCTGAGTAGCTGGGATTACAGGCACGCACCACCAAGCCCAGCTAATTTTTTCTATTTTTAATAGAGACCGGGTTTCACCATGTTGACCAGAATGGTCTCGATCTCTTGACCTCGTGATCCCACCCCCCGTCTCAGCCTCCCAAAGTGCTGGGATTACAGGCTTGAGCCACCGCGTCCGGCCCTCTGTCTCATTTCTAACTCCACATCTCCTTGTTTCAGTATGAGTATTTATTGCCTGGATTCTTCTTCTCATACCTCTTTTACTGGCTAACTCTTGTTTCGGCCCTCAAGTCCCTGCTTAAAAATCATTTCTTCAGGTTAGGCACGATGGCTCACGCCTGTAATCCCAGCACTTGGGGAGGCTGAGGTGGGTGGATCACTTGAAGTCAAGAGTTTGAGAACAACCTGGCCAACATGGTGAAACCCTGTTTCTACTTTAAAAAAAAAATTACTTCTTCAGGGAGATTGTCCCTAAGAAATGTCCTTGCTTCTCTTTACCACCCCTTCTAGCAACTAGTCTAAATTTCCTAGTAATCTCTCACAGAACTACTTTTATAGCACTTACATAACCGTAGTTCAGTACATTAAGGCTATCTGTTACTATCTGTAAACTCCCTGAGGATAGATATCATGTCTGTCTAGTTCACAGTTTTAACTCCAACACCTAGCACAGTTCCTGACATGTAATATTGAAATAATGAGTTAAAAGGACAGGTAGGTGGCCGGGTGTGATGGCTCACACCTGTAATCCGAGCACTTTGGAGGCCAAGGCTGGTGGATCACCTGAGGTCGGGAGTTCAAGACCAGCCTGACCAACATGGTGAAACCCCATCTTTAAAAAAAAAAAAAAAAAAGGCCGGGCACGGTGGCTCAAGCCTGTAATCCCAGCACTTTGGGAGGCCGAGGCGGGTGGATCACAAGGTCAAGAGATCGAGACCATCCTGGTCAACATGGTGAAACCCCATCTCTACTAAAAATACAAAAAAGTAGCTGGGCATGGTGGCACATGCCTGTAATCCAAGCTACTCAGGAGGCTGAGGCAGGAGAATTGCCTGAACCCGGAAGGCGGAGGTTGCGGTGAGCCGAGGTCGCGCCATTGCACTCCAGCCTGGGTAACAAGCGAAACTCCGTCTCAAAAAAAAAAAAAAAAAAAAAAAAAAAGACAGGTCGACTGGGGATAGATAATGAAGGGTCTTGAATCTCAGATGGAGAGCTATATCTTTTATCCTTCAGCAACAGTGAAGTAATCTGCCTAAGAGGAAACTAATAAACAAAATAAATCTTGAAAGGAAGGTAGTATTGGCCAGATACAGGAGTTGAAATTTGCTTAGCACCTGGATTTAGATAGCATTAATGTGAAGGTGTGAGCCCCTCTGATTTTTGGATAGAGCAATTTTCTTTGATACCTTTAACTTCTCAGAATTTAGCTTTCTAGAGGGTAACTTCCGTTCCCTCATTTTGCTCTAGGAAGTAATTTAATTGCAGAAGACATTGGTCAAAATGGTTTCCAAAAGAAGACTGTCAAAATCTGAGGATAAAGACAACCTGACAGAAGATGCCTCCAGTAAGTATCTAGTCATTTGTTGCTTTATTTCCCGTAGCAATGTGTGAGGCATTTAAAGAGATAGAAAGTTTCTGTTTTTAAAGTGCTGAGAATATTCAAACTGTAATGGATAGAGCACAGAGAATTAAGGGAAAATAGAAGATTTGGGATTCAGTTTTTGCCTTGAATTCTGCATATAACTTTGAGCATCCCCACAGCCTCTGGGCCTCAGTCTCCACATCTGTAAGAGGAATTACTGTTATAGACTTTCTGTTATGCATAATTTAGGTGTTAAGGCACAAAGACATAACATAGTCTCTACCCTTAAAAAACTTTAAGATCTTCCTTCCTTTTGAAAAAAAAATTATCTTGACACATGCTATAATAGTGATGTATAGAGGAAAGATATATCAAAGCAAGCACACCAGAGGCAAAGAAACAATGCACACTCTGCCCATACGAGAAGTGGTTAATGTCCAGATAAAAGGAGCTGATGGCTGGGAGCAGTTGCTCACACCTGTAATCCAAGCACTTTAAGGAACTGAGGTGAGAGAATCACTTAAAGCTAGGAGTTCAAGCCCAGCCTGGGTAACACAGCAAGACTCTATCTCTACAAAAAAATTTTTTAATTAGCTGGGCGTGGTGGTGCGCACCTGTGGTCCCACTGTGGTTCCAGCTACTGAGTAGGCTGAAGCAGGAGGATCACTTGAGCTCAGGAGGTTGAAGCTGCAGTGAGTCACAGTAGCACCACTGTACTCCAGCCTAGGCGACAGAGTGAGCAAGTGAGACCGTGTCTCATAAAGGAAGCGGGGGTCAGGGGGTTGATAGTTCATTTATTGCACTCATCTACTCTATTAAAGCAATGCTAACTTTGTTTTTGTTTGTTTTTATTTTACTAGGTTTTTAGGGAACAGGTTTAAAGAACATGAATAAGTTCTTTAGTGGTGATTCCTGAAATTTTGGTGTCCCCATTACCCGAGCAGTGTATAGTGTACCCAGTGCGTAGTTTTTTAATCCTTCACCAACTCCCACCCTTTCTCTTGAATTCCCAAAGTCCATTATATCATTCCTGTTGTTGTTTTGAGATGGAGTCTTACTCTGTTGCCCAGGTTAGAGTGGGATGGCATGATCTTGGCTCACTGCAACCTCCGCCTCCTGGGTTCAAGCGATTCGCCAGCCTCAGCCTCCTGAGTAACTAGGATTATAGGCATGAGCCACCATGTCAGGCTAATTTTGTGTTTTTAGTAGAGGTGGGGTTTCTTCATGTTGGTCAGGCTGGTGTCGAACTCCAGACCTCAAGTGATCCGCCCTCTCCAGCCTTCCAAAGTGCTGGAATAACAGGTGTGAGCCACCACATCCGGCCTGGGTTTACGTTTTAATTTTTCCTTTACTATTTGCCATATTCTTGAAAATTGTGTCTGTTTTCAGAAACCAGGAACCAATCACTTTCTAAGAAGACAAAGAAATCTCAGGTTCTTAATGAAGTTGAAGAAAATGACAGCATCTTTGTAAACTTTCTTAAGACATCAGGAATTATTCTTAAAACCGGAGAGAGTCAGAATCAGCTAGGTAATATATTAATCTAATTTTATTCTCTGGGTTTAATGAAAGAGCTTAGGACTGAATCATGGGTTTTCTAAATAGAGAGGCAATGAAGATTAGAAATGAGAGGACCATCTATCTTGAGACAAAGATTAATTGCTTTTTAGAAAATGGTACAGTCAGCCTGGGCATGGTTGCTCACATCTGTAATCCCAGCACTTTGGGAGGCCAAGGCGGGCGGATTGCCTGAGCTCAAGAGTTTGCAACCAGCCTGGGCAACATGGTGAAACCCCATCTCTACTAAAATACAAAAAAATTAGCTAGGCATGGCAGCATGCATCTGTAGTCCCAGCTACTCAGGAGGCTGAGGCAGGAGAATTGCTTGAACCTGGGAGGGGGAGGTTGCAGTGAGACGAGATCATGCCACTGCACTCCAGCCTGGGCAACAGAGCAAGACTCCACCTCAAAAAGAAAATGGTACAGTCTTCGGTCCTCATTACTGCATGTTAAGTAAAGCATTTCTAATCCTTTTATAAGAAAAATGTTACATACTGTTATTTCTTTTTTGTTTTCTAATGAAAAAATAGATACCCAGAAAGCAACTATTATCAGTGTCAGAATAATTTCAGAAGAAAACGTATAAAGCCATATAAGATTTTGTTTTGGGGGAACAAATTATTCTATCTTGCTAAGGTTATGGCAGGTCTTTTTTAGAACATTTAGTGGCTACCTGCTATCAAAGCTAAGTCTTTTATGTGGGTTTAGAAGATTTGGCTCTGAAATTAGGTTGAAAATATTTTTATTGGTTTCATCAGGCAAGAAACTTGGGTTTTTAGAGAAGGAAAACTATGCTAGGAGACTGGTAACCAGCTCTTCTTTTTTCTGCATAGCTGTGGATCAAATAGCTTTTCAAAAGAAGCTCTTTCAGACCCTGAGGAGACACCCTTCCTATCCCAAAGTATGTATTTCCCCCCTGATATTTTTGCTTGTGCCAGCATAACTCTGGAATTTGGAATTTAAAGACACTGGTATAAAGTAGAATGAGCTAGAATGATTTTTAACAGCGAATATTAAACTAAAAATTTTTTTCTTTTGTGTTTTTTAAATCTCCTTATTAAGATAATAGAAGAATTTGTTAATGGCCTGGAGTCTTACATTGAGGATGAAGACAGTTTTAGGAACTGCCTTTTATCTTGTGAACGTCTGCAGGATGAGGAAGCCAGGTGTGGAAAGGAGGCATGGACTCTTGCTGAAATTCAGTCTTTTAAGCTAAACTGCATGGGGATGGGGAGGGAGAGTGCAGTTGTTTCAGATTTCATTTTTGGTGTAAGCTCTTTTTTCCTAAGAGTTTAAACCTAACTTCAAAATTCCTAAGTTTGTGGTCATGAGGCTAAAAATAAGTGTTTTCTAGAATGTGTCTCACCTGTGTTGACAGAATTTCAAATCTCTACCTCTTCCTTGCTAAGAGCCATGGTCACATCTGTATTTCCTGTCTAACAGGGTAGATCCTCTTTAAAGATTATGTATTTAACCAATTTTATTGAGAAACGATGATAAAAGCATTAAAACAAGGAAAACAAAGTAGAAAACATTTCTCTTTTACAGTATGGGTGCATCTTATTCTAAGAGCCTCATCAGACTTCTTCTGGGGATTGACATATTACAGGTGAGACTGTTGCTTTTTCTGTGAACATTTGATGGATGAGGTTTGTGGTGTATGCTCAAGTCTAAATAGTGGGAGCACAGGATAGAGTAGGGTTAATTGGGGAATTTGGGTTTGTAACAGCTTCACTACAGCCCTGTTGCTGTGATGGGTTTGGTAGAGCAATGTTTGTTTTAAAATTGTGCTTATTAGCCTAACACACCTGGTGGTCTCATTTATTCCCTTAGCATCTGATTCCTGTTCTTAAAGCTACATCCTGTGTACTCTGAGTACCTGGTAATCTTTATTATATTCATATCTACATCATCTCCCATTTAGCTTTTTAGATGCTTATGTAATTTAATTTTTGTCCTTTTATTCCTCCTCTTCTCTTTTTATTTTATTATCATTAATTTTTTGAGACGGAGTCTCCCTTTGTTGCCCAGGCTGGGGTGCACTGGTGTGATCTCAGCTCACTACCACCACCACCTCCTGGGTTCAAGCGATTTTCCTGCCTCACCTTCCCAAGTAGCTGGGACTGCAGGCATGCACCACTATACCCAGCTAATTTTTTTTTTTTTTTTTTTTGAGACGGAGTTTCACTCTTGTTAGCCAGGCTGGAGTGCAATGGCGCGATCTAGGCTCACCGCAACCTCCGCCTCCTGGGTTCAGGCAATTCTCCTGTCTCAGCCTCCTGAGTAGCTGGGATTACAGGCACGCGCCACCATGCCCAGCTAATTTTTTTTGTATTTTTAGTAGAGACGGGGTTTCACCATGTTGACTGGGATGGTCTTGATCTCTTGACCTCGTGATCCACCCGCCTCAGCCTCCCAAAGTGCTGGGATTACAGGCTTGAGCCACCGCACCCGGCCTGTTGTTTTGTTTTGAGATGGAGTCTTGCTCTGTCACCAGGCTGGAGTGCAGTGGCGCAATCTCAGCTCACTACAACCTCCACCTCCCAGGTTCAAGCGATTCTCCTGCCTCAGCTTCTCAGGTAGCTGGGACTACAGGCGCGCACCACCATGCCCTGCTAATTTTTGTGTTTTCAGTAGAGACGGGGTTTCACCATGTTGACCAAGCTGGTCTCGAACTCCTGACCTTGTGATCCACCCACCTTGGCCTCTCCAAGTGTTGAGATTACAGTTGTGAGCCATCACACCCAGACCTCTTTTAATATATTAAGTAGACAATACATTGATATGATTTAAATATCTCAAGTTAGACAAATGTATATAGAGCGAAAAATTTTCCTCCACTCCATTCTCCATTTTTCCTCTTCTCTTTTCCCCTACTGTTAATCTTTTCACACTCTTAAACTCTTTCTTTTCTTTGGAAATCTTGACTATAATTTAGTTTTCTTAAGTCTAAGAGCTCCCTTGTTTCTGTGGAGAGCTCCCCTCGCAACCTACTTAATCATCTTTTAAAGCCTGCATTTCATGGATTAACAGTTACCATATTTAATAATATTTTGATTATCTGCTTATTTTAACTTTGCCTTGATAATCATTTTCAGTTTTTCAGAAGACAAATTAAGTCTTTGTATTCCAATAGCATATTCTAAAAATAAAGACAATATTCATATGGATAGCCTTTTAATAAGGTATAAACTTTAGCAAAGTGTTTCCTCCAGGAGCTCTAGCTGGAGAGAGAATTATACATTTCTCTCTCTCTCTGTGTCTCTCTCTTTTTTTTTTTTTTTGGAATCAGGGTTTCCTGTCACCCAGGCTGGAGCACAGTGGTGTGATATCCACTATCCACTCACTGCAACCTCTGCCTCCCCAAGGTTCAAGCGATTCTCATACCTCAGCCTTCCAAGTAACAGATTATACATTTCTATTGTGTATTTTGAGATCATCTCCTAACTCCCTTTATCTTCTTTTTTAGCCTGCCATTATCAAAACCTTATTTGAGAAGTTACCAGAATATTTTTTTGACAAGTAAGTGGAGTTGTTATGGAATGTTCAAAGCACCCTGGTGTACTTAAGCTTCTCTCTGAAAAGGTTACTCTGAAGACTGTTGGTTTCTCTGAAAGTCATAGTTATTATGATGCTTTTTAAGTGACTACTAAAATTTTACTGGAGTGTCTTTGAAGTTTCATCTATTAATATGATTTTGTAAAAATAAATAGGATTACTGTTAAAAGTAACTATTGGCCAGGTTTGATGGCTCACACCTATAATCCCAACTGAGGGGTTATAGGGAAGCTGAGGCAGGCGGATTGCTTGAGTCCAGGAATTCAAGACCAGCCTGGGCAATGTAGTGAGACCTTGTCTCTATTTAAAAACAATTTTTTTTAAAGTATCTATTGCTTATGATAATCCCTAGTAGAAGGACAGTTGGCTGGAATCAGGTATTTTCTGAATACTTTTCCTTACCTTTTAAATTTTGTAGTGTATATTGAGACAGGGTCTCACCCTGTCGCCCAGGCTGGAGTGCCATGATTGTGGCTCACTGCAGCCTCAACCTCCCAGGCTTAAGTGATCCTTCCACCTTAGCCCCCAGCGTGCCTGTGAGTACAGGTGAGTACCACCAGGTCTGGCTGGTTTTCGTGGTTTTTTGATAGACATGAGGTTTTGCCGTGTTGCCCAAGCTGGTCTCAAAACTACTCTCAAATGGTTTTCTTGTTGAGTGTAGTGAATAGGCATGCTTGTACATTGCTAGTGAGCATATAAATTAGTTCAGGCATCAATTTCTAAGAGCAAAAGATTGTATGTGTCAAAAACCTTAGATTTTGCATACTCTTTAATCCTAATGTTATGTCTCGTGATTTATTCTAAGATAATAACTGAATGAAAATGAAATAACATTCGTTTAATGCTTGCTTTAGCAGCACAAATTGTAAAATTGGAACAATACAGAGATAAGCATGGCCCCTTTGCAAGGGTGACACCCAAATTTGTGAAGTATTCCATTTATTTTAAAAGATTACTGTTTAAAATAAAGAAATATAAATAATCGAGATGTTCAGAAAATTGAAATATCATATGCACATTAATAACTGTAAAAAGAACTAGTTAATATCATACATTAATTTTAAAAAACCCAGGTTACACATAGCATTTATATTAGGTTGGTGCAAAAGTAATTGTAGTTTTTGCTATTAATAGTTCAGTATTTTGTTAAGGAAGATGCACACATATACATATGCATATTAATAGTGTACATTTCTGGCATGACAGGATTATAGTCATTTCTATGTTCTCCTTTTTAATTTTTTCAGGGTCCTGTATACCAGTAATAATAAATTTGAAGTTTTATTTGTTTATTTTGAAACAGAGTTTCACTCTGTTACCCAGGCTGTAGTGCAGTGGTGCGATCTTGGCTCACTGCAACCTCCACCTCCTGGGTTCAAGTGGTTCTCCTGCCTCAGCCTCCCTAGTAGCTAGGATTGCAGGTGCATGCCACCATGCCCAGCTAATTTTTTGTATTTTTAGTAGATTCAGGGTTTCACCATGTTGGCCAGGCTGCTCTCAAACTCCTGACCTCAAATAATTCGCCTACTTCAGCCCCATAAAGTGCTGGGATTACAGGAGTGAACCACTGCACCCAGCCAATGTTTTTTTTTTGTTTGTTTATTTGTTTTTGTTTTGTTTTGGTAAATGGCTCATGCCGAATGCTTTATATTCTGGCCAGTGTTTTTCAGTTAAGATTGGTTGCAATAAGAAGGACCATGTTGTCAAAGAGATGGAAGTGGTCAAAAACTTCAGATACAGGAGGTTGGAAGGAAGGTGGAAACTATCATTTTTGGGGAAATGATAATTGAACCAACATTTCTTTATAAATGGTTTTTTTTAATACTTTCATGAACATAATCTAATTTGACTTTCAATTTTTTTTTTTTTTTTTTTTTTAAAACAGTCTCACTGTGTTGCCCAGGCTGGAGTGCAGTGATAGGATCTCAGCTCACTGCAACCTCCTCTTTCTGAGTTCAAGCAGTTCTCCTGCCTCAGTCTCCCGAGTAACAGATTGCAGGTGTCTGCCACCATACTTGGCTAATTTTTGTATTTTCGTAGAGACAGAGTTTCAGCCTGTTGGCCAGCCTGGTCTTGAACTTGTGGCCTCATGTGATCTGCCCACTTTGGCCTCTCAAAGTGCTGGGATTACAGGCGTGAACCACTGCGCCTGGCTTATGCTTGCCTTTTTAAAGCGCTTACTGTGTTGATGTTATTAGTGTCTTAACTTTTTTTTTCCTTGAGATAGAATTTCGCTCTTGTTGCCTAGGCTGGAGTCCAGTGGCGCGATCTCGGCTCACTGTAACCTCCACCTCCCGGGTTCAAGCAATTCTCCTGCCTTAGCCCCCCAGGTAGCTGGGATTACAGGCATACACCACCACACCCGGCTAGTTTTGTATTTTTAGTAGAGAAGGGGTTTCTCCATGTTGGTCAAGCTGGTCTCAAACTGCCGACCTAAGGTGATCCACCCGCCTCGGCCTCCCAAAGTGCTGGGATTACAGGCATGAGCCACCTTGCCCTACTTAATGTTCTATCTTTTAAAAATATTTGTGATAATTTGGTTTTTAAGATTCATTAACATCTTTTTAAAAATTATTTAGAGATGCTGTCTAGCCCTGTCATCCCTTCTCTTTAAACCCTCCCTGGATGTAGCTAGTGTTAATATTTAGTGTGTCTTCTAGACATCTTTTTTAACATACATAAGCATATATCTCCTGCATATTGGGTATCACTTGTGTGTCTAGCACAGTGCCAGATGCATAGTAGGTATTCAGTAAATGTTAATTGAATGCTAAAACATTTTGTGTAGTATTAATGCTTGTTGTTAATATTGGCCAGAAAGGTTAAGTTTCTTGTCTTCTCTTCCTAACATTTCAGCAAGAACAGTGAAGAAGTCAACATACCTCGACTCATTGTCAGTCAACTAAAATGGCTTGACAGAGTAGTTGATGGCAAGGTAGGCTTATGGACTTTATCTCTTGAATTTTTTTTTTTTTTTTTTTTTTTTTGAGATGGAGTTTCACTCTTGTTACCCAGGCTGGAGTGCAATGGCGCGATCTTGGCTCACCACAACCTCCGCCTCCTGGGTTCAGGCAATTCTCCTGCCTCAACCTCCTGAGTAGCTGGGATTACAGGCACGCGCCACCATGCCCAGCTAATGTTTTGTATTTTTAGTAGAGACGGGGTTTCACCATGTTGACCAGGATGGTCTCGATCTCTTGACCTTGTGATCCACCCTTCTTGGCCTCCCAAAGTGCTGGGATTACAGGCTTGAGCCACCGCGCCCGGCTATCTCTTGAATTTAATAAAACTTATATCTAATAAAACTTTTGGAAGTTGTTTGCTTGTTTTTTTATCTTTCTAAACAGAAAATTCATACTTTTCCATCCATCCATTAGCTTTTTCCAATTTTCATAATTTGGGAATTATAGATCTTTCACCCTTTAAATTTCATCAGAAACATTTATTCAAATATGAACAGTAGATATTATTTATTAAATAAAAATTTGGAAAGATTGTTTTACAAAGTCCAGAGATAACTGTGTTATTTATTTCTCAGATAATTTCAGTTCTGCATTTCACAAATAGATAGTCTTTGTCTATTCTGGGTAATGTGCTGCAGTTCTAATAGTGTCCTTTAACTGCAGGACCTCACCACCAAGATCATGCAGCTGATCACTGTTGCTCCAGAGTACCTGCAGCATGACATCATCACCAGCCTACCTGAGATCCTAGGGGATTTCCAGCACGCTGATGTGGGAAAAGAACTCAGGTGGATAAGCACTCTGTCATCATCTAAGCGAGGCTCGACTGTGGGAGCTTTATCACTGCAGTATGCATAGAGCAGTAGTAATGTGGTCTCATATCTAAAAAGAGGATGATACCTACTTTCATGAGTCGGGTATGGGATTTGACTTAAAAAAAAAAAAAAAGGTATATATTTGAATAGATCCATGTATTTTGTTTTAAATGGTATACCTGTTATGAGAATGAAGTCTGGCTTAGGATTGGGTATCTAAATTTGGCCAGTGGAGAAGTTGACCATGATCCCTTAGTTTCATTAACATGTTCTTCAGAGGGTCCTTAATCCTCGCTGCACATTAAAATCATCTGTGGAGCCTATTAAACATCTACATTCTTTGGATTCCTAGATTATTCATTGTAATGCACAGCCCTGCATCAGACTCCTTGCTGAGACCCATTGCTTACTGCCATTCATTTGAAAAATAGTAATTCGTAGGGCAGTATTTAAGAAGGAGAGAATAGTATCCCTAGGTAATAAAGCTTCTATCTTTTTTTTTTTTTTAGACAAGAGTTTTGCTCTTGCTACCCAGGCTGGAGTGCAATGGCGCAATCTCGGCTTACCGCGACCTCCGCCTCCTGGGTTCAGGCAATTCTCCTGTCTCAGCCTCCTGAGTAGCTGGGATTACAGGCACGCACTACCAGGCCCAGCTAACTTTTTGTATTTTTAGTAGAGATGGGGTTTCACCTTGTTGACCATGATGGTCTCGATCTCTTGACCTTGTGATCCACCCGCCTCGGCCTCCCAAAGTGCTGGAATTACAGGCTTGAGCCACCGCGTCCATCTTAATGCAACTTTTTATTATATTGGAAGTATTTTTTAAAATTCAATTTGTAATACTTTTTTTTTAAACTTTTTTTTTTTTTTTGGTATACTTTCCTATAGTCTGCAAAGCTACCTCCAAAACGTCCAATGATTTCTTACTTTTGTGCTTTTGGGCAGGATGCTCCCTCTGGGCAAAGCACTATGCCACCCACTTTACCTGCCTGATGCCAGCTCATCTCCTTTTGTATAGCCTTCTTTTAGAATCTATCACTGTTGGTCAGGTGCAGTGGCTCACACCCTTAATCCCAGCATGTTGGGAGGCTGAGGTGGGTGGATTGCTAGAGCCCAGGAGTTCGAGACCAGCCTGGGCAACATGGTGAAACCCCCTCTCTACAAAAATTAGCCATGTGTGGTGGTGTGCACCTATAATCCTAGCTACTCAGGAGGCTGAGATGGGAGGATCAATTGCATATGGGAGATCAAGGCTACAGTGATCCCTGATCATGCCACCATACTCCAACCTGGGCATCAGAGTAAGCCCTGTCTCAAAAAAGAAAAACAAACGACAATCACTGTCCTCACTACGTTGTGCTCCTGTAGCACTATCTATATGTGTTTGTCATACTTATCACATTTCATTGTATATGCTTTGGGTTTTCTTTTTTCTTTTTGTGGGGAAGGTATGTACCAAACTCTTTAGTTTCTGGTGTTCTTTGGATAGTGGGGATTGTGAAGGAAGGCTTCTTGTTTCTACTTTTATTTGAATTTTTATAATGAGCATGTATTATTTTTTGCAGTCAAAACAGTTTTTAATGAAAGATACTAGAAAGTATAATTTAATGGCAACTAAGTATATCGTTTCTTTTCATACTCTAGTGAATTATTTTCTCAAGTGATTGTCTCCGCAGCTGTGTTTAAAACATTACACAACTTTTTTCTTTTTCTGCCATTCACAGTGACCTACTGATAGAGAATACTTCACTCACTGTCCCAATCCTGGATGTCCTTTCCAGTCTCCGACTTGACCCAAACTTCCTGGTGAAGGTAGGAAAGACTTTCTTTCCAGAAACAGCCAGCTTTCCAACTTCCTGGAACAAGTGTTAGTCAGTCATTGCCTTGGGAAAAATCTTGTGTAATGAACATTTCATTTTGAAACTATAGTGAGGCATATTTGATTACTCTCTTTCTCTTTTTTTTTCTCAACAAGTTTCAGATGTTTTATATGATAGATTCATAGATCTGTTTTTAAGCAGGAAGTTTTGAATGGAAATCTTCTATATTGCTTGAATTGTACCTGCTTCTGAGGAATAATAGCCAGTTGATAATTTAGGCTCTAAATGTAAGATAATAGTTCTCTTTCACATTTATTGCCTGTTTTTGACGAAGCTGTGGTATTAACAACTAAAAGATTGTAATTTGGGGAAAATCAAAAGGTTTTTTTTTTCCCCTAAATTATAAGTGGGAAAACTGAGTGAGAGGAGTGATTTTTTTTTCCTAATTTTATCTAATACTTCAGGATAAAGTTGAGGTAGTGACATGAAAATGTATAAAATTTTTGTCCTTGTAATTTTTAGATCCGCCAATTAGTGATGGATAAGTTGTCATCGATCAGATTGGAGGATTTACCTGTGATAATAAAATTCATTCTTCATTCTGTAACAGCCGTGGATGCACTTGAGGTATGCTTTTATATCCCATCACACCTAGGTAAAGGGACTTAAATTAGTAAGTCTCAATTGGTCTTCTCTGTCCCCAGACTGAGAATACTGACTAATCCAGGTAGCATTTAGAGAAGAGAATGAAGCTGTTCAACAGATTCATTACTCTGTATAAGCTGCTGTAAGTTATATTTACTCTTTTTTTTGTAGTACCTCACAGAATTCTGAAATTTGGGGTATGGCATTCTGTGACATTGCATTAGCTATTCTCATCAACTCTATTTTTCAAAATGTCCAACATTTACAGTTTTTTCTTAGTCTTTCAGGAGATTGTTATGGTTGAGAGACTGGACTGTGCCTACCCACTATGAATGAACAGAACACCATTTAATATTTACTTTCTGCAGGTAATTTCTGAGCTTCGGGAGAAGTTGGATCTGCAGCATTGTGTTTTACCATCACGGTTGCAGGCTTCCCAAGTAAAGCTGAAAAGTAAAGGACGAGCAAGGTAAAGAGCTCATGGATAATTGCCACCCTTTTCCTCACATAGGATGTCACAGTTTTGTGATATCTCAAAGTCAGAGTTAGAGCTTAATACTTACAACTACAAATAATGGTACTATTATGACATTTACATCTAGTATTATATAATTATTCAAATTACATATATGTATGTGAGTATGTATGTGTTTATATGTTTTCTTAGCCATTCAGGTCAATCCTAGACAGACTACAGTATAAGTTTATTAGCCATCTTACACATGAGGTTGTCATTTGCTCCAGGATACATAGCTACTGAGCAGGAACTCAGATCTTGTAAGTTCTTTTCTCGTAGGTAGAAGAGTAATTTTCCTTTCTGCTACTTGTAGTTCCTCAGGAAATCAAGAAGGCAGCGGTCAGAGCTGTATTATTCTCCTCTTTGATGTAATAAAGTCAGCTATTAGATATGAGAAAACAATTTCAGAAGCCTGGATTAAGGTGAGATCTTTGGAACTTTTGACTATCAAGGAGGAAATGAGTGGCAATTAGTGACAGATGTATAAATAAGGTAAATTGAAATAAAAATCTCAAAAGTTATTCAAATGGAAATGATAGCTGATGGTTGCCATATGGACACATTGGCTCTCAGATGAGATAACAAGGCATGCTGATTAAGGTGAAACGTGTTTCGCTGATGTGTCATAATATTTTTGTGATTCTCTCTTGCTTTTTCAGGCAATTGAAAACATTGCCTCAGTGTCTGAACACAAGGTAATATTCATGTACTGTGCATTTTAAGTATTATAGACTTAAAGTAATGACAGTGGCTAGCTTGCCTTCCCGCTTTCTTTTTTTCCCCTCCTTCCAGTCACCCTTTTCTTTCTTCTGTAGTTGCTCTAATAAACATTAGCTGTCTGGGAAAGATAATCTGAGGTGGTGTCTGGCCAGACAGCCTGCCCCTACTCACTCTGGCTATAAAATAAGCTTACAGTATCCATAAGGGGAAATACACTTTAAACAAGCACTTCAAGATGCAGTCAAAGAAGCCAAGTCCCCACTGATGAGATGAAGAAAATAACCACCTAAGTCTTAGGTTTCTATATCTGCCTAATTGCCTTTCCTTCCATCCAGCACCACTGTCAAGATAATGGCATTTCATGTTTTTCTTTACTTTGCCCAGGTAGACCTGACTGGAGTAAATCAGTCTGTCCACTGTCAAGGTGATAGTACTGGATCTTATGTCTTTCTTAATTCTAGAAATATCTTCCATCAAAAAGCCAGATGATTGCCTGGGCACAGTGGCTCATACCTGTAATCTCAGCACTTTGGGGGGCTGAGGCTGGTGGATTGTCTGAAGTCAGGAGTTTGAGATTAGCCTGACGAATATGGCAAAACCGCGTCTCTACTGAAAATACAAAAAAAAAAATTAGCCTGGCCTGGTGGCACGTGCCACTGCACTCCAGCCTGGGAAACAGAGTAAGAATCTCTGTCTCCAAAAAAAACCTAGATGATTGAGTTTCTTAGGTGCTGATTGGTTGCTTTTAAAGATTTTTCTTTGGTTGGAATCTGTTTTGTGGGATTTTGGTTGTGTTATCTAATTTTTGGATGACTATCTTAAAAGCTTTTATAATGCTGAATAAAGCAGTGAAAAAATTTATAATTTTTCTGTGGTGAAAAATATCAAAGTACTCCAACACACTGTTTTTGGTTTTGCATAAACATAAATTGACCACCTTGGTTGCCTGCATACCTATTTGTACATATTTGTAATAATTGTATAAATATAGTTTGTATTCTTTTTTCTTTTAACATTTTTTCTCCTGTCATAAATATTTCACGTGCTTCTGCATTGTATTCATTGTTATTTTTAATGACTGTATTCTCATCTAATGTTTCTCGTCTAATGTGTCTTAAGGAATGGAGCATTCAGTTGAGAGGAGTAGTAGAATTTGTTTTGTTTTTTTTTCTTTTTTTATCCTTCTTGCCTTTTTTTAACTTTTTTTTTTTCCTGGAAGCATAGACTCAAGATGCCCTGAATACCCTCCCGGCTTTTTTTGTTTGTTTGTTTGTTTGTTTGTTTGTTTTAAGAGACAGGCTTTTGCTCTGTTACCCAAGCTAGAGTTCTATGGCAACATCATAGCTTACTGCAGCCTCAGACTCCTGGGTTCAAGCGATCCTCCCGCCTCAGTCTTCGGAGTAACTGGGACCACAGGCAAGCCCCAACAGACCTGGCTAATTAAGTATTTATTTATGAGGCAAAGTTTTGCTCTTTTACCCAGGCTGGAGTGAAGTGGCACTATCTTGGCTTGTTGCAACCTCTGCCTCTTGGGTTCAAGCAATTCTCTCTCAGTCTCCCTAGTAGCTGGGATTATAGGTGCCCACCACCACACCTGGCTAATTTTTGTATTTTTAGTAGAGACAGGGTTTTGCCATGTTGGCCAGGCTGGTCTTGAACTCCTGACCCCAGGTGATCCCCCTACCTCGGCCTCCCAAAGTGTTAGAATTATAGGCATGAGCCACCACACCTGCCCAATTCTTCTATTTTTTGTAGAGATGTAGGTCTTGCTGTGTTTTCCAAGTTGATCTCAAATTTTTAGCTTCAAGTGATTCTCCTGCTTCGGCCGCCCAAAGTGTTAGGATTATAGGCATGAGCCACTGCACCTAGCTCTGAAATTTTTCTTTTTTAGGTAAACAAGCTAATTGTGGAGAAAAACCCACAAGGAATCTACAGATGTAAAAAGTACAGTTTTAAAGGGCTGGGCGTGGTGGCTCAAGCCCGTAATCCCAGCACTTTGGGAGGCCAAGGCAGGTGGATCACAAGGTCAGAAGTTTGAGACCAGCCTGACCAACATGGTGAAAGCCTGTCTGTACTAAAAATACAAAAATTAGCCGGGTGTGATGCCACATGCCTTGGCTTGATCCCGGCTACTTAGGAGGCTGAAGCAGGAGAATCGCTTGAACCCAGGAGGTGGAAGTTGTGGTGCACCAAGAGTGCACCATTGCACTCCAGCCTGGACAGCAGAGTGAGACTCCATCTCAAAAAAAAAAAAAAAAAAAAAAGGTACAGTTTTTCTCCACTCTCTTCCCATTCCTCAGGGATAATCATCCTTTCAAATTTTTTCTGTTCATAGACAAGCTGTAATTGTATGCAAGTACAGGTATACTCTTATGCCTACACATATGTATGTTTATATATTGTTTTTGCAAAGCAGAATCTTAACTATGATTACGAGTGGTATTGCTTAAAGAGACAGGGTCTTACTCTGTCACCCAGGCTAGAATGCAGTGGCACGATCATAGTTCACTGTTACCTCAATCCCTTGGGCTCAAGTGATCCTCCCTCCTCAGTTTCCCAAAAGCAGTGGGATTGCAGGCATGAGACACCATACCCAGCCTGATTATTACTTTACAGGTTGCTTTTTTTCCCACTTCATGTCAGGAATGTCTTTTCTCTGTCAAAAAATATAATCTAGCTCAGCAGTCTCTAACCTTTTTGGCACCAAGGACTGGTTTCATGGAAGACATTTTTTTTCCACAGACAGTGTCGGGACATGATTTCAGGATGAAACTGTTCCACCTTAGATCATCAGGCACTAGTTAGATTCTCATAAGGAATGTGCAGCCTAGATCCTGTGCACGTGCAGTTCACAATAGGGTTCACACTGCTATGAGAATCTAATGCTGCCGCTATCTGACAGGATGTGGATCTCAGGTGGTAATGCCCACTTGACTGTCGCTCACCTCCTGCTTTGCAGCTTGGTTCCTAACAGACCACGGACTCTGTGGCCCAGGGGTTGGGGATCCCTGATCTAGCTTATTCTCTCTTTCTTTTTTATTTTTTTAAATTTTTAAATTTTTTAATTTAAAAACTTTGACAGTCTTGCTCTGTCACCCAGGCTGGAGTGTGGTGGCATGATCTTGGCTCACTGCAACCTCCACCTCCCGGGTTCAAATGATTTATCTGCCTCAGCCTCCTGAGTAGCTGGGATTACAGGCCCCTGCCACCATGACCATCTAATTTTTTTTTTTTTTTTAGTAAAGATGGGATTTTACCATGTTGACCAGGCTGGTCTTGAACTCCTGACCTCAAGTGATCTACCCATCTCGGCCTCCCAAAGTGCTGGAATTACAAGCCTGAGCCACCATGCCCAGCTCGTCTTGTTCTTTTTGATGACTGTAATATTTCAAAAGTTAAAATTACTCTGATGATTTATTGAACTTTTCCCATATTGATGGGCATTTACAGGCTTTCCAACTTTTCACAAAGTGATTTTCCTAATAATAGTGAAAATACATACTGGAGTTGGCAAGTGATTGAATATTTTAGTAAATGTGAAGATGTTCAAAGTTACTTCTATAGTGATACCACTTTCACGTATATTGCAATGTATTCTTAAGAGATACCAGTGGTTAATAGTTGTGACACTTTATTTCTCTAAGAATTATTTCTGAGGCCGGGCGCGGTGGCTCAAGCCTGTAATCCCAGCACTTTGGGAGGTCGAGGCAGGTGGATCACGAGGTCGAGAGATCGAGACCATCCTGGTCAACATGGTGAAACCCCGTCTCTACTAAAAATACAAAAAATTAGCTGGGCATGTTGGCGCATGCCTGTAATCCCGGCTACTCAGGAGGCTGAGGCAGAATTGCTTGAACCCGGGAGGCGGAGGTTGCGGTGAGCCGAGATCGCGCCATTGCACTCCAGCCTGGGTAACAAGAGCGAAACTCCGTCACAAAAAAAAAAAAAAAAAAAAAAAAGAATTATTTCTGGGTTTTGTGAAAAGTATAGATACTCCCAGGGGAATTTGTTGAACAAATGAGCACCATCCATTCCGTGTTTCAATGGGAAAAAGCTGCTGTTTTGTTGTACCAAAGGTACTGATTTACTGACTGTTCTTCTGTTGCATATCTGACAATAGGTTTTTGACCTGGTGATGCTTTTTATCATCTATAGCACCAATACTCAGACAAAGAAGTACATTGAAAGGGTGCTAAGAAACAAGATTCGATCAGGCTGCATTCAAGAACAACTGCTCCAGAGTACATTATGTGTTCATTACCTAGTAAGTGTCAGAGATTATTGACTTACAATCTAAAAAGGAAAGCTTTAAAACTCCCATGTAAAATTTCGTCTTACTTCAGTCCATTGTTCACACCCATTGAGATTTTTGAATTTTATTTTTGCATTAATCATTTTGATTGTCTGTCTCAACGCAGTTTGCAACTTTGACAAACTGGCCTTCCGTATCCTACCTAAGTAGCTTATAAAAATCTTGAAGGAAGGCCGGGCGCGGTGGCTCAAGCCTGTAATCCCAGCACTTTGGGAGGCCGAGGCGGGTGGATCACGAGGTCGAGAGATCGAGACCATCCTGGTCAACATGGTGAAACCCCGTCTCTACTAAAAATACAAAAAATTAGCTGGGCGTGGTGGCGCGTGCCTGTAATCCCAGCTACTCAGGAGGCTGAGGCAGGAGAATTGCCTGAACCCAGGAGGCGGAGGTTGCGGTGAGCCGAGATCGCGCCATTGCACTCCAGCCTGGGTAACAAGAGCGAAACTCCGTCTCAAAAAAAAAAAAAAAAAAAAAAATCTTGAAGAAAATAGGACCAGCCTGTAGAAACTAGTAGAAAAGGAATATGAACTTATTTGAACTGTCACTCTGGCTATTCAAAACTGTGTACTTAAGGTAATCAGTCCTCTAGATATGTAAATTATTCAAACTGGAATTCTATAAGCTGGGAATAGTGTTTTTCTGGCTGAACGTTCAGGATATTAGCAGTATAGAACTTGGAAAACTGGATGAGCCAGTGGATTGGGTTTGGCCTAGGAGCTAATGAGAACACCTCATTGAGTCTTAAGATTTTATATTTAGGAATAGATTTAATGTTTGTATTATTTTATCTTGCAGTTCTTTCTGTGTTTATTTCTGCCAATGATAAATGCTTTGGGCTGTAATTTTCTATAGGATAAAACCCACATGTAATTTTTGATTTCATTTTCCCCAATAGAGTATTATACCCAGCTTAGTACTAAATGTAAGATTTTTTTTTAAAATTATGACATCAATAAGGAAGCTATGTTTATTAACTGATTACTTACTCTGGGTCCATTAATGTCTGTGTATGTATATTGCATTATTAGTAGGACATGATCACTTCTCTTCTTGATCTTCTTTTTTAAAAAAAATCAGTTTAGTTAACACTGAACCTTAATATACCTATTTCAAATTATAACCAAGGTGGAGCATCCCTGGTGGATGGTGTGATTGTGTAAGGAAACTGGAATTTAGAAGATCTGGCCTCCAATCCCAAACTGAGCAGATAGGAATGTACTATTAGACTTTATAATTTAACTTATTTGAGCTTAAAGGTTAATTATTATCCAAATGTGCAATCCCATTGGTCCTGAGAGAAAACTCAGAATGGTGAAAGATTATTCTGTGTAAAACAAATATTAAGATTTCTTTTTTTTTTTTGAGACGGAGTTTCACTCTTGTTATCCAGGCTGGAGTGCAATGGCGCGATCTCGGCTCACCGCAACCTCCGCCTCCTGGGTTCAGGCAATTCTCCTGCCTCAGCCTCCTGAGTAGTTGGGATTACAGGCACACGCCACCATGCCCAGCTAATTTTTTGCACTTTTAGTAGAGACGGGGTTTCACCATGTTGACCAGGATGGTCTCGATCTCTTGACCTCGTGATCCACCTGCCTCGGCCTCCCAAAGTGCTGGGATTACAGGCTTGAGCCACCGCGCCCGGCCTAAGATTTCTTAAGTTAAAATGAGAGGGAGGAGAAATCTGATATCCCAAAAGGATAAGCAACTCTTAGGCTGTGTATTAACTGTTTGCTACAGCTTCTTTTCTCTCTCTACTCTTCCCCACTCAAGGTTCTTAAGGATATGTGTTCATCTATTCTGTCACTGGCTCAGAGTTTGCTTCACTCTCTAGACCAGAGTATAATTTCATTTGGCAGTCTTCTATACAAATATGCATTTAAGTTTTTTGACACATACTGCCAGCAGGTATGTTGAAACATTTATTTTGGTAAGGAGGGAACAGGGGAAGGGAAAATAATGTGATGTTTATTTCTTGTTGGTTGGAACTTACTGAAGGGGAAGGAACTCTGAACTGGGTCTCAGGAAAGCTCAATTCTAGTCCCAGCCTTGATGAAATGAAGAGACTTGACTGGTGGATCTAACTCTGTGTTCTGAGCTCTAAGATCCTCTGTCTGAAATCAAGATCCAGATCCAGGCTCTTTCAAATAAACCTTGGCTTAAGTATTGGGGTCATCAATAGGTAGTTTCCATAATACAGGAATGGCAGTTAAATTTAGCTGTAAATAATTCCAATCTTGGAATTGTTCTCTAGAAAAAATTGTGGCAAAAAACAAATGAACAAGAAATGCTTGAGGTTCTAACCCTATTTCCAAGAACATGAGACACTTTTTTTTTTTTTTTTTTTTTTGAGATGGAGTTTTACTCTTGTTGCCCAGGATGGAGTACAGCGGCAGGATCTTGGCTGACTACAGCCTCTGCCTCCTGGGTTCAAGCGATTCTCCTATCTCAGCCTCCTGAGTAGCTGAATTGCAGGCGCGTACCATCACTCCCAGCTATTTATTTATTTATTGAGACAGTTTCAATCTTGTTGCCCAGGCTGGAATGTAATCGTGTGATCTTGGCTCATGGCAACTTTCACCTCCCGGCTTCCAGTGATTCTTCTGCCTCAGCCTCCCAAGTAGCTGGGATTACAGGCATACACCACCAAGCCCACCTAATTTTCTATATTGGGTAGAGATGGGGTTTCTCCACGTTGGTCAGGCTGGTCTTGAATTCCCAACCTCAGTGATCCGCCCACCTTGGCCTTCCAAAGTACTGAGATTACAAGGTGAGCCACCACGCCCAGCCTAATTTTTTGTATTTTTAGTAGAGACAGGGTTTCACCATGTTGGCCAGGCTGGTCTTGAACTCCTGACCTCAGGTGATCTACCTGCCTCCACTTCCCAAAGTGCTGGAATTATAGGCATGAGCCATCACACCTGGCCGAGACACATTTTAATAGCGTATGTCCAGAGAGGGAGGACTGTACTTGCGTAAAATGTTTATGAAAGCAAGTACTGAACAGTGTCTTTATTTTGTGTTTTTACATATATTCTTCCTATTATTAGCAATGTTAAAATGCATTTAAATAGAACTTTTAAAATGAAGATTTATGAAAAAAAAATTTCAAATAGAGCCATAGTTGCAGCTGACGTGCGGTAGCTGTTGCAATTGAGAATATAATTCTGTTATGACTATCATGGAGCGATGGTATAAAAGAAGAATGGCATCTAAGACATTTTTGAACCCTCTTAATATCTTAGAGACACTATCATAATTCCATGTTTGCTTGGAAACATGCGAGTCTAGCCTGTACTATATAGAGAAAACCTTTAAAGCTTTTAGCTCCTTGAGTGCCATCTTTTTGAGAAATTTCAACTGATCTTGTATAACTCCAACTTAAAGTGTAAAATTTAATACATATGAGGAAAAAGAAAGAGGAAAACTATGCCAAGAAGCAAAATCAGGAGGGCTTAGGTAGTGCTCACTGATAAATTATGGGAAATAGGTCAAGAGTGGTTGATAATAGTTACATTGCTTATTCCTATATCTCCTGAAGCCACCATTAATGAAAACTAAATAATAGATGATGGGATTGGGTTGATTGTTATTTTAACAAAGTAGAGATTGAAGAGGCCTTGGGGTAAACCCTTTTAGAGCAGCCATTCCATATTTTGTTTTAGACTGTCTATTGACTCTCCCCTGTATAGGAAGTGGTTGGTGCCTTAGTGACCCATATCTGCAGTGGGAATGAAGCTGAAGTTGATACTGCATTAGATGTCCTCCTAGAGTTGGTGGTATTAAACCCATCTGCTATGATGATGAATGCTGTCTTTGTAAAGGTATCTCATTGCTTCTTGTACCTTAGATATTGAATATATAATTGGTAGGAGGAGGTGGGAAGGAGGTGAAATAATGGGCGAGTAATATAAATAAAAAGTGACTTTTCTATATGTTAATTCATTCAGTAAACACTTCTTTATACTTAATCTATGGGCTAAGCTCTATTCTGGGTGCTGTGCATGTAAAGTAGGTCCTTGCCTTTGATATTAAAGACTAAGACACCTAAGCAAGTCACTATAAATACAACATGGTGAATTTTCCAGTAACGTACTATAGATGCAACAGAGCAAGAATAATTATTTAGCCTGGGAAGCTGGAGAAATCTTCAAAGAGGCAATTTGAGTGATTGCTGAAGGATAGGAATGGTTGACAAGTAAGGGAATTGGATTCTAGACAGAGAAAAGTTTGAGCAGAAGCAAATTGTTGCCCAAGTCAATGGTGTGACTTGGAGGAATGAGAAGCAAACAAGCATGACTGAAGTATAGGATATATATGGAGAGGAGTGGTGGGAGGTGAGGCTGGTAAGATACAGGACAGGCCCATGTTGCAAAGAATCTCAAATAACCTGCTAAAGAGTTTCAACTTTATTTTCTAGATAATAGGGAGCTATTACCAGTTTTTAGATAGAGTTGACCTAATCTACTCGACTTTGACAGATAACTCAGTAGGCTATATAATGGGTGGATTGGAGACCACTAAAATGGTCTAAGGGAGTGAGAGTAGGGTCAGATTTTGGTCATGGGAATGTAGAAGAAATGATGGTTTAAGAGACAATTTGGTGTTAGAATTAACATGACTTGGTGACTGTTAAGAATATGGTGGCAATAAAAAACAGGAAAACTAGGTTTGAGTTTATCATCTTAGAAAACTAATGGTTGTGTCATTTTCCTGAGACCAGGAGGGAGAACATCTTCTGTAGGAAGTATGATGAGTTCATTCTGGGATAGCCACGTGTAGATGGTTAGTGGATAGTTGGAAATTCTGGTTTGGAACCCTGTGGGGCACCCTTTGGTAGAAGATTTAATTTGGGTATTCATAACCATATAAATGTGAGCTCAACTGAGGCAGTTTAGAGGCAGAAGACCATAGAAGCTTAGAAGAGCACAGACATTTTGAGAACGTTGCAGTTTAAGTGGCAGACTAAAGCAAATGTCCATAGAAGGAAAATGAAAAAACTAGAAGGTGAGTAATGTGAGCTTGAAGGATGTCAGGTAGCAAAAGCCTAGGAATGAGTTTCAGGACTGAGGAATTTATCTCAAGTGTTGGATACTGTAGGAGTTGAAGATGGAGCATAGGTTATTGGCTTTGGTAATTAGGATAGCTCTGGTAACCTTTGAAAGAACAATGTTAGTTGAATTGTAAGGATGGAAGACAGAGAAGAGTAACTTGAAAACTGGGGGAATAGAGTCAATATTGAGAAGCATCAAGGAGGAAGAGAAAATAAGAAAAGTAGCTTAAGAGAGAAGCTGGTTGCAAGAGAGATTTTTTAGATGAGGAGGTTTGAGATTGCTTTTAGGCTGAGAGAAGATTCAATAGAGAGGAGGAAATGGAAATTTTTTAAAATTAAAAGTTTACAAAGCTGTTTTATTACTTTTTCCTCAGACAAACTATGAAAGGGAATATAGCTGTTATTGCCATGTTACAGATGAGAAAAGCTGAAGCATTTTCCAAGGTCACAAAGTAAATAGTTTCCTTGTGACTCCTTCCAGATCTGTAGAGAAAGAAGAAAAAGTTCATTGAGTAGAAGCTGGGAAGGGATGATGTGGCAAGGAATAGGGTAAAGACATAGCTTTTGATAGAATACTGTTTTCACCGAAAAAAAAAAAAAAGGAAAGGTGGAAGTAAAAAATACAGAGAACGGAGAACTGGAAGATGCATTAGAATGACTAAGCAGAAGATTATTAAAGCCCCGGATTATTGTGGTTCAGAGTGAAGAGGACAAAGAAAACATCTTTCCTGATATTTGTTCCTACTCTCTGATAATAAGAGAATTAGAAAGCTTTAAGAGTTTTCTCAGTTTATATCCAGTCTATCAAACCTTTGGGCTCTGAGCAGAGCTTTTAGAACTTAAGCTCTTCTTTTTTTTTTTTTTTTTCTTTTTTAAAGAGATGCGGTTTCACCATGGCCAGAATGGTCTCCATCTCCTGACCTCATGATCCACATGCCTCAACCTTCCAAAGTGCTGGGATTACAGGCGTGAGCCACTGCGCCAAGCCTAAGACTTAAGCTTTTTTTTTTTTTTTTTTTTTTTTTGAGATGGAGTTTCGCTCTTGTTACCCAGGCTGGAGTGCAATGGCGCGATCTCGGCTCACCGCAACCTCCGCCTCCTGGGTTCAGGCAATTCTCCTGCCTCAGCCTCCTGAGTAGCTGGGATTACAGGCACACGCCACCATGCCCAGCTGATTTTTTGTATTTTTAGTAGAGATGGGGTTTCACCTTGTTGAGCAGGATGGTCTCGATCTCTTAACCTCGTGATCCACCCGCCTCGGCCTCCCGAAGTGCTGGGATTACAGGCTTGAGCCACCACACCCAGCCTAAGACTTAAGCTTTTAAGGAAACTAAAAAGTTTTAGATACCTGGCTATCTATGTGTGCCTCTCTTACAGGGATTTTAATTTTTTTATTTTTAAGGGAAAAAAATGTTAGTTGCTAGCGTCATTGTTGGTATCATTTTTCCACAGGGCATTTTAGATTATCTAGATAACATATCCCCTCAGCAAATACGAAAACTCTTCTATGTTCTCAGCACACTGGCGTTTAGCAAACAGAATGAAGCCAGCAGCCACATCCAGGTAAGGGGCAATATGTTGGGAAATTTTTTTTTTTTTTTTTTTTTTTGAGATAACCCAGACTGTAGTGCAGTGGCTCATTGCAACTTCCGCCTCCTGGGTTTAAGCAATTCTCCTTGCCTCAGCCTCCCGAGTAGCTGGGACTACAAACACATGCTACCACACCCAGCTAATTTTTGTATTTTTAAACCACTTTACTTGAAATTTGCTGGACAAAACCAAGCAAATGATAGATTTACTAGTCTGTGTAGTAGTGGAAATAGAGTACATAGCCATAGTTCCAGCAATTTTTTATTCTTACCACAAACATTAAGGGCCTACTCTGCGAGGCACTGATAAATTAGATCAATCCTCTGCCCTCAGAAAAAAAGCTTTGTCTCTTAGGGTACAGATGGGTCTGTGATCAGCTAATCATGAAACTATTCAGCTTCTGAATGCAGTGGGGGCACATAATTGCCTTGTTTCCTAAGAAACATGTCCATCTAATGTGAACTTAACCTGGGCTTGCTTTTGTTTGTGGACATCATTCACTGAAAAAGCCAGGCTGTAATCCCAGCACTTTGGGAGGCCAAAGCAGGAAAATCATGTGTGCCCAGGAGTTTGAGACCAGCCTGGGCAACATAGTGAAACCTGTCTCTACAAAAAAATAACGCCCAGCCTTGCCTCCATGTTTAAATCTTTACCTAAGTATTTTATTCTAGTTCAGTATTCTAGCTGAGCTGTCATCAACATTATGATAATTTTCATATCCTTATAGAAATATTAATAATAAAAACTATTATGATTGAATGTCCATCATGTGCCAGGCACTGTTCTAGAAGATTTTGGTAATTTGTCTCGAATCCTTAAAACAACCTTCCCCATTTCACAGATGTAAAAATTAAAACTTGGAGAGATGAAATGACTTGCTAAAGACACAGAGGGATGGGCATGGTGGCCCATACCTGTAAACCGAGCACTTTGGAAGGCCGAGGTGGGCGGCTCACCTGAGGTCAGGACTTCAAGACCAGTCTGGCCAACATGGTGAAACAAAGTTAGCCGGGTGTGGTGGCAGGCACTTATAATCCCAGCTACCCAGGAGGCTGAGGCAGGAGAACTGCTTGAACCCAGGAGGCAGAGGTTGCAGTGAGCAGAGATTTCACCATTGCATTTTAGCCTGACAAGAGCTAAACTCCGTTCTCCAAAAAAAAAAAAAAAAAAGGAAACAGTAGAACTCTTTATGGTCTAGCTGTATAACTCAATATCCATTCATTCTTTTGCTGTGCCATGCCAGCATTTTCATTTTTCTTCATCGTCTCATTGCAGGATGACATGCACTTGGTGATAAGAAAGCAGCTCTCTAGCACCATATTCAAGTACAAACTCATTGGGATTATTGGTGCTGTCACCATGGCTGGCATAATGGCAGCAGACAGGTAGACATGGAGATTCTGACTTCTGTGGTTTAAGATCAGTTAATCTTGCTAACTAAGTATTACATCACATAGACATTTTAACAGTAGATGTTACAACTATAAGAGAAATGAGCAAATGTGTTTTGGAACTTTTCCATGTTTCCTCCTAATCGTGACTGTATATGATACCATGTATGTTTTTTGCTGGATTGTGCTCCTAGCCACTACAGTCTGTGGGTAAAAACTAAGGATTGCCTAGAGGTAAAATTCTAGAAATCTTTGCACAAAAAGGGAAACCTGATTATTTTGGAATGCATTTTTCTGTATCTGCTTCTGATATAGGCACTAGACAACTCAGGTGTCTACGTTGCTGTGTCATTTCTGTCTGGAACTTTATACAAAGTTCAGTTTGCAATTCAGTTCATGCTCCTTGGAAATTATTTTCTGAGACATCAGGAGACATCTTTAGAACCCACATTGTGGAATCCTAACTAGGGAAAAGGAGTCAGACTAGTGGGAGCAAAGAAAGCAAAGAGAGAAAATGTATAATTCTGCCTTTTTTCATAGTCCAGGACATGCAGCTTTCCTGTGTCAAACTTAACACCAAGACACCTGCAAGTTAGCTCACTGCAACCTTGGCATCATCAGTACTGCACAAAACTCTCTTCAGCAGATAGCATACCTCATAAATACTATTCTATAAATCCCCAGCAAGCCTTTGTTTCCTTGCAGTCAGCTCCTCTATTGCTGGCTGGCCATTGCTTTCTTGCAACGTATTTTCATACTTTCTCTCTAATAAATCTGCCTTTCTTTACCTACAGCTGTCTTGGTAAATTCTCCCTAGCTCTCCTCCTGCTAGCAGCTCAGATAATCGTTGCTCCTCTGTGACACATTAATGGAAAGAGGTTGCAGAGTGTACTCTTAAGAGTTCATTCACTGAAGCCATACTGCTTGCCGGGGGTCAAATTCTGGCTTCCTTGTTTATTAGCTAAATTACCTTGGGTAAGTTACTTTATCTCTGCCTTTGTAGACTCACATTTACAGGATAATAATAGTATTTACTTCATAGAGTTGTTGAGAACATTAAAGGGTTAGAGCAATGCCCAGCACATAATATGTACTAAAGAAGCACTTGCTCTAATTATTACTAATTTGCCCTTTATATATATAAGAAAAAAGAAAAGAAAAAAATAGATAACGATTCTTTGCTCTAGTCTGTTTTATATGGACGAAATAAATACTCTTCTCTGCCTTCATACACTTTTATCTTTACCCTACTCCAGAGAAGTCAGAATTCTTAAACTTATTGCCAATTGTTACAAAATATTACATAAGGGAAATTACAATTCTTTGTTTTTAGAAGTGGATCATCTAGTTCAACCCAAGAGAGAGCCAGTCTGAGTGATGAGCAGTGCACTCAGGTGAGTTGTTGATGTTGTTGTTGTTCTTCTTCTTTCTTCATCTTCTTCTTTCTTCCCTCCTCCTTCCTCCTTCCTCCTTCCTCCTCCTCCTCCTCCTCCTCCTCTTCTTCCTCCTCCTTCTTCCTCCTTCTTCTTCTTCTTCCTCTTCTTCTTCTTTCTTCTTTCTTCTTTCTTCTTCTTCTCTCTTTTTTTTTTTGAGGCAGAGTTTTGCCATGTCACTCAGACTCCGGAGTGCATGGCAAGATCTCAGCTCACTGCAACCTTCACCTTCCAGGTTCAAGTGATTCTCCTGCCTCAGCCTCCAGAGTAGCCGTGATTACAGGCACTGACCACCACACCTGGCTAATTTTTTATATTTTTGTTAGAGACAGGGTTTCACCATATTGGCTAGGCTGGTATCGAACTCCTGACCTCAAGTGATCCACCTGCCTCAGCATCCCAAAGTGCTGGGATTACAGGCATGAGCCTCGGTGCCCTGCCAAGTTCTTATAATGTAATTGGATATGTTAATGGGTAACTGAGGAATTGCTTCTAGTCACTGTCAGTTCACCAGAAAGTGCTTCTTTTGAAAAAGAAGTTTTCCTGAACTTCTTTTATGTTTATTTATTTATTTTGGGCCCAGATCTCAACTCTGTTACCCAGGCCGGAGTGCAGTGGTGCCTCCTGGGTTCAAGTGTTTCTCCTGCCGCAGTTTCCCAAGAGGCTGGGATTATGGGCTTGTGCCACCATGCCCAGCTATTTTTGTATTTTTAGTAGAGACGGAGTTTAACCATGTCGGGGTTTCGCCATGCTGGCCAGGCTGGTCTTGAACTCCTGATCTGAGGCTATCTGCTCACTTCAGCCTCCCGAAGTACTGGGATTATAGGCGTGAGCCAGCTCACCCAGCCCCATTACATTTATTTCTATATCCATTTAATCTCTCTAATTAAATTACAAAGTCTTAGCAAGCAAGATTTGCCATGTTTATGGAATAGCACTTTGGTTGAGCATGGGGACAAATAAGTGTATAGTTGGAAAGTAGGATATAAAGCTAGTTTAGGCAGTTCACTGGAGAGCACGTTGGGAGCCCAATGTAAGGCTAAGTGCCTCACAGGGTCGTGGGGTGAGCCTTATGCTGTGCTGAGGCGCAGGATCCGAGAAATAAAGAGACAGGACACCGAAGTACAAAGAAAATGCAGCTGGGCTCAGGGGGCCACGCCACCTATAAGCGGAGTCAGGTGAGGCTGGCTGGCAAGGCGCCTGGTGAGGTGACGAAGCCCTGAATGTCCAGAAGCGTGAGTATTTATTGTGTATAGGTTAGGGGGCAGGGCAGTGAGTGAAATCTTCTTTAAAGATAGTGATAGGGTCGTGAGCAATAAAACATAGGGTCCACCCCCATTAGGTCACCTAGGCCAGGAGATGGACAGCATGCAGCAAGGGGCCCGTTCCCACAAAGACAAGGGCCATGTGCAGTAAGGGGTCCACCCCCATTAGGTCACCGAGGCTTGAAGGTGGGCCATGCGAAGTGAAGAGGGTGCAGAGTGCGATACTTCTATCTATGGGAAACTACTTCTAAGAAGATTTATTGGAGGATGCTTGAATCACATAGCAATGACAGAGCTCTCAAGGTTACTGCCACCTACTGGCAGCTTCCAATGGGTTCTATGGGAAGATGCTTTTCAAGCAGCACAGTAGCAAGAGCTGATAAAGTTCACAGTCACCAAGGTGGATTGCCGTTCTGAGGGCAGCCTTCCACAAGAACTGGAGCAAGGTCCTACAACTCCTTTATCAGGAGGAGTGGCTCTCGCCCCGAGCCTGCCATACAGCGGGTATCTTTACAATACTGAATGCTGCCACCTGGGCCATGGATTCTTGTCCTGGTATAACTGTTTTTCCCTTAATTCATGCTCTGCACTGTATCTGCTCTAGGCATTCCTCTGATTATAAGCTGCTTATTCCTTAATTCATGTTCTGTACTGTGTCCACTCTAGGCATTCCTCCGATTAGGAACTAAGATATAATTATAGGTATATATGTAGGGAAATATTCTTTAGGCACTCACACTATCAACTATTATATGATTATATATAAAGGGAGCCTACAAGCCCTATTTCTATAAACAATATATGATTATATAAAGGATTACATAAAAGGAAATAGCTGAGTAGTAACAGTGTAAAGTGAGATATTCCTCAAACCCTAACTGTGCCAGTGTTCTGCTTAGCTCTCATTCCTCGGTGCCTATATGGGGGGTTACCCACAGGTCACGGCGGCTCAGCCTGTAATCCTAGCACTTTGGGAGGGTGAGGCAGGAAGATCACTTGAGGTCAGGAGTTTGAGACCAGCCTGGCTAACATGGTAAAATCCTGTCTCTAATAAAAGTACAAAAAAATTAGCTGGGCATGGTGGCAGGTGCCTATAGTCCCAGCTACTCAGGAGACTGGGGCAGGAGAATTGCTTGAACCCAGGAAGCATAGGTTGCTGTGAGCCAAGATCACCCCACTATACTCCAGCCTGGACAACAGAGCAAGACTCCGTCTCAAAAGAAAAAAAGAAAAAGCTAGTTGAGAGAAAACAGAGGGCCTTGAATGCAAAGCAATACATTTTTATTTCATTCTTCAGGCAGAGGTATTTCTTCAGGATTTCTTGTCATGGAAATGGTTAAATCAAAGCTTTGCTTTAGAAAAATTAATCTGGCTGCAGTGTCTGACAGATTGGAAAAGGATGATATTGAAAAGAGACATACTGGTCAGGACGTTCAGGAAAACTTCAAGTGAGAAATAGAGCTTTGCCAGTAAAATAAGAAAGTGAGAAACTTAGTCTTGAATGGGGCGAATGGAGTTTAGGAAGGATTGGCAGCCCAAGGTTTAAACCATTCTTCCTCTTTGTTCCAGGTGACCTCCTTGTTGCAGTTGGTTCACTCCTGCAGTGAGCAGTCTCCTCAGGCCTCTGCACTTTACTATGATGAATTTGCCAACCTAATCCAACGAGAAAAGCTGGATCCAAAAGCCCTGGTAAAGCCAATTGTCTTAAAGCAATAAAGCATGAGAGCTGCTTTACTATATTCTTCAAGTCTTTCTCTCCAGTGCAAAAATAGAGAGATCATTCTGTGAGCTCTTCTAAATTCTAATTGGGAAAGGCGATTCTGCCCTACCCTGCCTCAGGGCTCTTCTCTGAGGCCTCCTTCACTTAATAACAATAACAATAGTAAAGAAGAGATTGAGGTTGTTAATGATGATGGCTGCTATCTGTCTGAGAACTCTGTTCTATGCTAGGCCTTGTGCTAAGTGCTTTTTATGCACTCTTTTTTCTGTTTCACAATAATATTTAGTTACTTCCTTTTTAGAAATGAGGGAACTGAGACTTAGGTTAACAGTAAATACACCCTGCACTGCCTTTTTTGTTTGTTTGCTTCTTGAAGGAATGGGTTGGGCATACCATCTGTAATGATTTCCAAGATGCCTTCGTAGTGGACATCTGTGTTGTTCCGGAAGGGTAGGTATTGTTTACCTGCTGGCTTGGTTGTACTGGTGAAGTTACATTCTGTCAGTAGCTGATACAGCTTTAGAATACCCTTGACCTCAGCTACAGCTACCCACTCCCACAGGTTCTTTCCTCCCAACCTCAGCACTCCTGCACCCTTAGCTCCAAAATTCCTAAAAGGTTCACTGTTCGTTCTTCTGTTTCTAATTTCTCCCCATGATAGTTGTGTTTGAAATTGGTTTGCTCTAGTGGTTTATCCCATAGCCTTGTGTATTCCTGAGCTGCAGCATCAAATTCTGGTTTTTCTCCGCAGTGACTTTCCATTCCCTGTGAAAGCTCTGTACGGACTGGAAGAATACGAAACTCAGGATGGGATTGCCATAAACCTTCTGCCGCTGCTGTTCTCTCAGGAGTTTGCAAAAGATGGAGGTCCAGTGACTTCACAGGAATCAGGCCAAAAGTCAGTATAGTTTTTCTTTCCTAAACCTGTTAGTGTTTTGAATGTTCACAGGGAATTCCACAGTTCTTTCATCAATATATGAGGAACTTGAGTCAAAAAGTTTCTCTGAGGACAAATGGTATTTGGAGAGGTTAGGGAGAATGGGGAAGATTCCTTGTTTTTTTCTGGATCCTTGGCTTGAGATTTATAGTGCCTTGTGTGAGCCAACAGATATTCTGAGACTACATTCTTTTTTGTTTCTTATTCTTTCCCTCCCTTGAACATCCTTGGCTACCTCTGCCTCTCTTAACCTTCTCTTTATCTTATTTCTGGTTCTCCTAACACATGGACTTTCATTCCTCATACCTCTGCCATCCTACAATTCAGCTCATTATATTTATTTTCTTAATGGAGCATCCATTAAGTTCTGGGTGAATCACTTGAGGCCAGGAGTTCGAGACCAGCCTAGCCAACATGGTGAAACTCCATCTCTACTAAAAATACAAAAATTAGTGGGGCATGGTGGTATCTGCCTATAATCGCAGCTACTCAGGAGGCTGAGGCAGGAAAATTGCTTGAATCCAGAAAGCAGAGGTTGTAGTGAGCTGAGATCGTGCCACTGCACTCCAGCGTGGGTGACAGAGCAAGACTGTCTCAAAAGAAAAAGTTGCGCTCCCTATGTGTGTGGAGTAATATTCCTATGAAGTGTGGTCTAGAAATTGATTTTTCCTTTTCAGATTGGTGTCTCCACTGTGCCTGGCTCCCTATTTCCGGTTACTGAGACTTTGTGTGGAGAGACAACATAATGGAAACTTGGAGGAGATTGATGGTCTACTAGGTATAGGATGAAGTCATCAGATCCTTTCTTCTTTACACTCTTTGGTAAACTTAAGGAAAGGGCAGATCAATACATGGTATATGTGGGGAGGAATTTTCCAACTTCAGCAGAGTAGTTTAGCATTGGAATTCCAAAGACAAAACAGTACATGCAGAATCCCATTATGTTAACAAATCAGTTGTTGCAAAAACTTTCTATTTATATTTGTTGGTTTGCTACATGATATGCAAATATTTTAATCAGATCTTGGCCTTCAAATATGAGTTAAAGGGGAAAGTAAGTAGCAAGGAGAGCTAGCTCTAGAGGTAGCTTCCAGATTTTATTGGCTTGAACTAAAGGTAGTTGGAAATGTTTGTTCTCTCTCAGATTGTCCTATATTCCTAACTGACCTGGAGCCTGGAGAGAGGTTGGAGTCCATGTCTTCTAAAGAGCGTTCATTCATGTGTTCTCTCATATTTCTTACTCTCAACTGGTTCCGAGAGGTGAGCAGAGTTAATAAGATGTTTCATTTACTCTCCATGGTTTTTCTCAAAACTATTTTTTTGGTTCCTGCAAGACTCACTAAAAGTCTCCACCAAGCACTAACCCCTGTGTGTTTCTCTGTTATGTCCCACCAACCCCCAATTAGATATACCTCCTTACGTAGCCAAATCAGAAACTTAGAATTCACTTCACATTGCCTATGCTTTATTTTCTCCAAGCTGCCTTCTACCTAGAATGACCTCACTTTCTCCACTGTAAAACTACTGGTCATCCTAGCACAGGCATGTGCTTACTGTTTTGATTTTACTGTGGTGGTAGTTTCCCTCCCATTAGAACATACTGTGTTTAATGATAATGACAATGATGGCAACATCTTACATCTCTATCTCACTGCCTTCCCCTTACATATTATTTCAGGAATGTTTGTGCATTTGAATGAGCTTATTTGATTACCACAGCTCTGTTATGATGTGGGCAGGATAGGTATTGCCCTCAATTTACACATACTGAATTTCAAGTATAGGGAATTCAAAGTAATTAAAAAGTTTTAAGTACTTTCACTATACCAAGTGCTGGACTCATTTTTTTCTGAAGAAATACTTAGAAAGCTTAAAGACTCAGCCAAGGTCACACAGCTAATAAGTAGCAGAATAGAACTTGTTTCATTAAAGTGTGTGCTCTCTGGCTATTCTACCTTGTAACATAACTAGTAATAAGCAAAACTAGGATCTCCTTTTTTTTTTTTTTTGAAGATGGAGTCTTGGTCTGTCACCCAGGCTGAAGTGCAGTGGCACAATCTTAGCTCTCTGCAGCCTCCACCTCCCAGGTTCAAGCAATTCTCGTGCCTCAGCCTCCCGAGTAGCTTGGATTACAGACTTGTGCCACCATATCTGGCTAATTTTTGTATTTTTGGTAGTGATGGCCTTTGCCATGTTGGCCAAACTAGTCTCTAGCTCCTGGCCTCAAGTGATCCCCCTGCCTCGGCCACCCAAAGTGCTGGGATTACAGGAGTGAGCCACCATGCCTGGCTGAATCTCCTGTTTTTGGCCCAGAGATTTCTTTATACCACCTTGCTGAGGACACTTCTATTACAGACTAAACTCAAAAGATCCTACTGTTCATAGACATCTCACAGCTCTGGATAAATAATACAAACAAGGTTAATATCTGAACATTTGGAAGTATAAGAATGTAATTTGTTTTTTGCAGATTGTGAATGCTTTCTGCCAAGAAAGATCACCTGAGATGAAGGGGAAGGTGCTTACCCGGTTAAAGCACATTGTAGAACTGCAAATAATCCTGGAAAAGTACTTGGCAGGTAAGGAAAGTGTCCTATACTCATAGTACTGCTAGGCCAGTAGTGAGGTGATAAAGCACTTAGCTTTCCCTGATACCAGAACCAGACAAAGACACATCACAAAAACAAAACTACAGGCCAATATCCCTGATGAATGTTGATACAAAAATCCTAACAAAATACTAGCAAGCTTAATTCAGCTTGCTACACAATAAAAAGATCAGCGGGGTGTGATGGCTCATGCCTGTAATCCCAGCACTTTGGGAGGCTAAGGCAGGCAAATCACTTGAGGTCAGATATTTGAGACCAGCCTGGCCAATATGGTGAAACTCCATCTCTATTAAAAATACAAAAATTAGCAGTCTTGGTGGTGGGCACCTGTAATCCCAGTTACTTGGGAGGTTGAGACGGCAGAATTGCTTGAACCTAGGAGACAGAGGTTGCAGTGAGCCAAGGTCATGCTACTGCGCTCAAAGCCTGGACGACAGAGCAAGGCTCTCAAAAAAAAAAAAAAAAAAAAGATCGTTCATCATGACCAAATGGTATGCTTTATCCCAGGAATAAATTCAACATACGTTTAACGTATATTCAACATACAATAATTCAAAGATTATTCAACCTACGTAAATCAACGTGATACATCATATCAACGGAATGAAGGACAAAAACCATGTAATATTCAAATTGATGCTTTAAATTTTTTTGTAAAACTCAGCATCCCTTGATTATAAAAAAGAAAAAAAAAAAACCTCAAACTGTATGTAGAAGGAACACACCTCAACACGATAAAGACTGTATGTGGCAGATCCATAGTTACTATTACACTGAACAGAGAAAAACTGAAAGCCTTTTCTCTAAGATATGGAACAAAACAAAGATACCCACTTATGTAAAACCACTATTATACAACATAGTATTGGAAGTCCTAGCTAGAACAGTCAGACAAGAGAAGGAATAAAAGGCATCCAAATAGGAAAGGAAGATATTAAATTATCCTTGTTTGCAGATGGTATGATCTTATATTTGGAAAAGCATAAAGATTCCACCAAGAAACTGTTAGATAAATTCAGTAAAATTGCAAGATACAGTATCTACATATAAAAATGAGTAGCATTTCTGTTTGCCAACAGCTAACAATCTGAAAAAGAAATCAAGAAAATAATCCATTTACAGTAGCTACAAATAAAATATCTAGAAATAAACTTAACCAAAGAAGTAAAAGATCTCTACAATGAAAACTGAAACATTGATGGAAGAAATTGAAGAACACACACAAAAAAGGAGGATACTTCATGTTCATGGATTAGAATAATAACCCAACACAATCTACAGATTCAAAGCAATCCCTATCAAAATACCAATGATACTCTTCACAGAAATAGAAAAAAAAAAATCCTAAAATTTTTACAGAACCACGGAAGACCCAGAATAGCCAAAGCTCCCCAGAGTAAAATGAATGAAACTGGAAGAATCTCATTACCTGACTTCAGATTATACTATAGAGCTGTAGTAACCAAAACAGCATGATGCTGACATAAAAACAAATCGTAGACCAATGAAACAGAAGAGAGCCCAGAAATAAAGTCATACATCTACAGTGAACTCATTCTCAGCAAAGGTGTCAAGAATATACAGTGGGGAAAGACACTCTCTTCAATAAATGGTGTTGGGAAAACCGAGTATCCATATGCAGAAGAATGAAACTAGACCCCTATCTGTTGCTTAATGCAAAAATAAAATTGAATTATAGGTTTAAATCTAAGACTTCAAATTATGAAACTACTAACAACAATAACTTTCAGAAAACTCTTTAAGACATTAGACTGGGCAGAGACTTCTTGAGGAATACTGCACAGGCAACCAAAGCAAAAAATGGACAAATAGTATCACATTAAGTTAAAAAGTTAAGTTTCAGCTGGGTGTGGTGGGTTATGCCTGTAGTCCCAGCACTTTGGGAGGCCGAGGTGAGTGGATCATCAGATATCAGAAGTTCAAGACCATCCTGGCCAAGATGGTGAAACCCCATCTCTACTAAAAACACAAAAATTAGCCAGGTGTGGTGGTGCACACCTGTAATCGTAGCTACTCAGGAGGCTGAGGCAGGAGAATTGCTTGAACCCAGGAGGTAGAGGTTGCAGTGAGCCAAGATCATGCCATTGCACTCCAGACTGGGCAACAAGAGCAAAACTCCATCTCAAAAAAAAAAAGTTGAGTCTCTCTCCTCTGCATAGCAAAGGAACACCAAAGTGAAGCAACAACCCACAGAATGGGAGAAAATATTTGCAAACTCTCTGATAAGGGATTAATAACTGGAATATATAAGTATAGGAAAAACATTCTGATTGAAAAACGGGCAAAAGATCTGAATAGACATTTCTCAAAAGAAGACATACAAATGGTGGATACATGAAAAGGTGCCCAACATTAAAATGACTTTTATCCAAAAGACAGGCAATGACAGATGGTAGTAAGAATATGGAGAAAAGAGAAGCTTTGTACACTATTAGTGGGAATGTAAATTAGTACGAGCACTCTGGAGAACAGTTTGGTTCCTCAAAAAACTAAAAATAGAACCACCATATGTTCCAGGAATGCCACTGGTAGAAAGGAAATCAGTATACCAAGGAGATAATCTGCACTTTATGTTTATTGCAGCACTATTCACAATAGCCAAGTTTTGGAAGCAACCTAAATGTCCATCAGCTGGTGAATGGATAAAATATGGTACATATACACAATGGAGTACTATTCAGCCATAAAAAGAATGAGATCCTGTTGTCTGCAGGAATACAGATGGAACTGGAGGACATTGTGTTAAGTGAAATAGGCCAGGCACAACATATTTTCACATATATGTGGGAGCTGAAAATTAAAATAATTAAACTCATGGAGATAGTGTAGAAGGTTGGTTACCAGAGACTGGGAAGGGTAATGGTGGTTGGGGGACTAGGAGAAATGGGGGTGGTTAATGGGTACAAAAATATAGTTAGATAGAATTAATAAGATCTAGTTCTGTTTTTGTTTTTTTGAAATGGAGTCTCGTTTTGTCAGCCAAGGTGGAATGCAGTGGCACAATCTCAGCTTACTGTAACCTCCACTTCCTGGGTTCAAGCAATTCTCCTGCCTCAGCCTTCCAAGTAGCTGGGACGAGGGTTGTGCACCACCACACCCAGCTAATTTTTGTACTTTCAGTAGAGACAGAGTTTTATCATATCGTCCAGGCTGGTCTTAAACTTCTGACCACAAGTGATCCACCTGCCTCAGCCTCCCGGAGTGCTGGGATCACAGGCATGAGCTAGTGCACCTGGCCAAGATCTAGTTTTTGGTAGCACAACAGGTTGACTACAGTGAACAATTACTTACTATACATTTTAAAATAACTAAAATAGTATAATTGGATTGTTAATAACCAAGGAAAGGATAAATGCTTGAGGTGATGGATACCCATTTACCCTTATGTGATTATTATGCATTGTATACCTGTATCAAAATATAGCTCATGTACCTCATCAATATATACACCTTTACTTTTTTTTTGTTTTGGAGACAGAGTCTCTCTTTGTTACCTAGGCTAGAGTACGGTGTGATCTTTGCTTACTACAACCTCTGCCTCCTGGGTTCAAGCAATTCTCCTGCCTCAGCCTCCCAACTAGCTGGGATTACAGGCACCCACCACCACACCCAGCTAATTTTTGTATTTTTGGTAGAGACAGGGTTTCACTTCATTGGCCGGGTTGGTCTCGAATTCCTGACCTCAGGTGATCCGTGCACCTCAGCCTCCCAAAGTGCTTGGGATTGCAGTCATGTGCCACCCTACCTGGCCACCATTTAAATTTAAATGTTTGTTTTAGTCCTTATCTTTTTGATAGTTATGTATCATTATTTAGAATGGTTTTATGATAATTTATCATAATTAGTATGATATTTCTGTGTTATTTCTGGCCAGTTTGCTATGCCAAAACAATGTCAGATGACTTGGATATGTCATAAGCATTCAGCCACACTTGGTAATTTTGGAAACTAGTTTTTAGCCAATCGAGTGACCGAATTTCAAGTCTAATGGTGGTGTGTCATTGGTACACATTGAACTTCAGCCTCTTCTCTGTTTCAGTCACCCCAGACTGTGTCCCTCCTCTTGGAAACTTTGATGTGGAAACTTTAGATACAACACCTCATACTGGTGCTGCTGTTTCAGCAAAAATCAGAAAGAAAGGAAAAATAGGTAAGTATGTTCTTTTCCTCTTGTCTTGTGTCTCTAAATAAGCTGCATTGAATTAGCCTAAAAGTTATGTGTATCATGGCATCAATAATTGGAGCAATTGCATAATTGAACCCTCTCTTTATTAGATTTATAAATACACTGTAATGTAGAGTTATAAAATTATCTCTTCTACCTCTAGGCAGTTTCCAAGAGGTTGCTTTCTGAGGGCAATGATATTTGGCAGACATGATTATTAATTACTTGAGGCACTTTTCTCTTTTTAATATAAAAGAAAGGAAACAAAAAGCAGGTGGCAGTAAGACATCCTCCTCCGACACATTTTCAGAAGAGAAAAATGCAGAATGTGACCCTACGCCATTACATAGAGGCCAGCTAAACAAGGTATTGGAATGATGGGTGTTCATGAAGGTTTGTGACATCCCGGTGTGATTAACAGAAACCCAGCTTTATTCTCTGCATTTTGCAAAGAAAAACAGCGAGGCAAAACTTTCTTAGGCTTTAGAATAATCTCCTTAGTAGCAAAGTTTGGATTAGACTCTATGTCCTTATTCCTGCCACACACTGTTGACTGTCTTTTTTTTTTTTTTTTTGAGATGGAGTTTCGCTCTTGTTACTCAGGCTGTAGTGCAATGGCGCGATCTCGGCTCACTACAACCTCCGCCTCCTGGGTTCAGGCAATTCTCCTGCCTCAGCCTCCTGAGTTGCTGGGATTACAGGCACGCGCCACCATGCCCAGCTAATTTTTTTTGTATTTTTAGTAGAGACGGGGTTTCACCATGTTGACCAGGATGGTCTCGATCTCTTGACTTCGTGATCCACCCGCCTCGGTTTGACTGTCTTTTTAAATTATTCTCTTGACTGTTTTACTCCCTTTTTTGTACCCCAGCAGTACACTGAATTCTCTCTTGAAGTATTTGATTAACAGTAGTGCCCTTTTACTTTACATTTGTACTGTTTACAGAATGAGTTTCATGTGTTTGTAAAATTGCCTGGACCACATTAATCCCAATTATTTCTGTTTATCAGCTACCATTTATTGTATATTTATGAGGTATAGTTTCTATAATCCTCCTAAGGGCCCAAGTTTAATATTAATACCACATTTAATAAATGAGGAAACTAAGACCCACGGAGGGCAAGTGACTTGCCTGAAGTCACACAGTTAACAAGTACTCGAGCTAGGATTTGAAGCCAGATCATTCTGGCCCCTAAGCTCATAGTTTTCTATGTTAGACCTTAATGCCTTGATTTGCTTAATAGATCATTCCTAAATAGAAACCAGCTAAGGATCTTGATGTGTGACTTGTATCTGCTCTGTAAGAGCTCTGTCTTGGGAATATTTAGGGACTTGGGCTAGAGGAAGTTGTTGGCATAATGAAAATGTAATTTTTTGCATTAAATAAATGCATATTTGCACTTTAAAATTTTTATTAAAATTTAATTAATGTATTATTTATTCTCTTTGTTGCTGTGACTTCTCTGCAGGAGTTCACAGGGAAGGAAGAAAAGTCATCATTGTTACTACATAATTACCATGCTTTTTTTCGAGAGCTGGACATTGAGGTCTTCTCTATTCTACATTGTGGACTTGTGACCAAATTCATCTTAGATACCGAAATGCACACTGAAGTAAGTGACAGGCTGGGATCGCAAAACTTAATCTTCTTTCAGAAGGTTCCTCAGTTCTATTCTTATTTCAAAAAGAACACTGTGACACTGAGGAGAAAAGTTAGACTGGCTTTACAAGCCTTTGTATGTGAAAGTAATGATGAATAATCATCCTCAGCATACTGGTGTTTGTAAGTCATAAGATTTTTAATAATGTGTTAGACATAAAATATCATGCCAATGATGTGATACTTACGTTTAGGTTACTACTACTACTACTAATAAACTGGCCAGGCGCGGTGACTCACACCTATAATCCTACCACTTCAGGAGGCTGAGGCAGGCAGATCACGAAGTCAAGAGATGGAGACCATCCTGGCCAACATGGCAAAACCCCATCTCTACTAAAAATGCAAAAAAAAAAATTAGCTGGGTGTGGTGGCACACACCTGTAATCCCAGCTACTCAGAAGACTAAGGCAGGAGGATCACTTGAACCCGGGAGGCGGAGTTTGCAGTGAGCCAGAATCGTAACACTGCACTCCAGCCTGGTGACAGAGCAAGACTCCATCTCAAAAAAATAAAATAAAAAATAAGCTACTTTGATTATTTTTGTAGAGGAGCACTCTTCTGATTTTTAGAGGTCAATTCCCTTTTTACTTTTTCATGACATTTGTTCAGTGTCTGAAAGATGCTTGCTGAGTCCTATTTTGTGTTTGCCACTAAACAAGGCACTTGCAATACAGTAGTACATAGAGCATGATCCTTGCCTTCAGATAGCTTATAATCTAATCAGAGAGGCCGGGCACGGTGGCTCAAGCTTGTAATCCCAGCACTTTGGGAGGCCGAGGCGAGTGGATCACGAGGTCGAGAGATCGAGACCATCCTGGTCAACATGGTGAAACCCCGTCTCTACTAAAAAATACAAAAAATTAGCTGGGCATGGTGGCACGTGCCTGTAATCCCAGCTATTCAGGAGGCTGAGGCAGGAGAATTGCCTGAACCCGGGAGGCGGAGGTTGCGGTGAGCCGAGATCGCGCCATTGCACTCCAGCCTGGGTAACAAGAGCAAAACTCCATCTCAAAAAAAAAAAAAAAATCTAATCAGAGAAGTAGAAACAGCTAGCAGGACCTTCTTTATTGATGCCAGATACCGTATTAATGGTCTTAACCAAGGACTAGTGAAACTTTAGTGAGAGAATGATATTTATATTGAAGTTGGGAGTAGAGAGCATTTTCACAGAAAAAGTAAATTTTGAGATGGGATTTCATCAGAGTAGAATTTCTCCAGGTTAAGAGAACTTGAAATAGCATTGATTTTTACCTGAAATTTACACAAGTGTAGGTACCTTCAGAGAAGAAATAATACCTTTTTTTTTTTTTTAATCTTTCTACATTGTCTCGCCCTTAGGAGATTCCACATAAATGTGTATTGAGTGAACAGTTTACAGTGAGACCATATTTCACCCATTCTCCTTCTGGCAGTGTAATATAGTTATTACTCTGGGATCCTGCCCAGAGTTAATAGTAGCAGAACATTAGAGGAGAAGAAGTATGAAAGAATTATTTAATAAACAGAGAAAAGTGAAATTCCCTTGAATTAGTCTTTTTTTTATTTTTATTTTCCCAAACCCTGCATGTGGCTTTCAAACTCATTTTTTTTTTTTTTTTGAGACGGAGTTTCGCTCTTGTTACCCAGGCTGGAGTGCAATGGCGCGATCTCGGCTCACCGCAACCTCCGCCTCCTGGGTTCAGGCAATTCTCCTGCCTCAGCCTCCTGAGGAGCTGGGATTACAGGCACGTGCCACCATGCCCAGCTAATTTTTTGTATTTTTAGTAGAGACGGGGTTTCACCATGTTGACCAGGATGGTCTCGATCTCTTGACCTCGTGATCCACCCGCCTCGGCCTCCCAAAGTGCTGGGATTACAGGCTTGAGCCACCGCGCCCGGCTCAAACTCATTTTTTTAATCACAGGATATTTAGGAAATGCATCTTAGATCCATAGTTGGAAAGGTATACAGAGGAATAGAGAAAAAGTATGTCTTCTGAAGTATACTGTCTTGAATTCCTATTTTATTATTCTGAATATTTATTTTGGACATGCTTGACTTTATTATATAACAGGGCATAATAGCTCTTCTTTATATGAGATGGATGAAATTTCCTCCTTTGTCTCTTTTTAATTTTTAGAGACAGTCTTGCTCTGTCACCCAGGCTAGAGTGCAGTGGCAAGACCATAGCCCACTGCAACCTTGAACTCCTGGGTTCAGGGATCAAGTGATCCTTCCGTCTCAGCCTTCCAAGTATCTAGGGCCACTGGCATGCCCCACTACACCTGGCTAGTTATTTTGTTTGTTTGTTTGAGATGGAGTCTTGCTCTGTTGGTCAGGCTGGCGTGCAGTGGTGCGATCTCGGCTTGCGGCAGCCTCTGCCTCCCAAGCTCAAGCAATTCTCCTGCCTCAGCCTCCCAAGTAGCTGGGATTACAGGTGCCTGCTACCACACCTGGCTAGTTTTTGTATTTTTAGTAGAAAGAGGATTTTGCCATGTTGTCCAGCTGGTCTCAGACACCTGACCTCTAGTGATCCTGCCTTGACTTCCCAAAGTACTGGGATTGCAAGCATGAGGCACTGCACAGGCCATTTTTATGTTGTTTTTGCTTTTGTTTTAATAGAGACAGGTCTTGCTGTGTTGCTCAGGCTGGTCTTGAACTCCTGGCCTCCCAAATTACTGGAATTACAACATGAGTGACTTCAGATCTTTTTTGTTAAAAGTCAGATTCTTGGCCAGGCATGGTGGCTAACACCTGTAATCCCAGCACTTTGGAAGGCCAAGGCAGGAGAATCACTTGAGCCCAGGAGCTCGAAACCAGCCTAGGTAACATAGTGAGACCTGTCTCTACAGAAAGTAAAAAAAAAAAAGTAGCCATGTGTGGCAACACATACCTGTGATCCCCAGCTACCTGGGTGGCTGAGGTGGGACCATCACTTGAGCCCAGGAGGTTGAGGCTACAGTGAGCTGTGAACACAATATTGCACTCCAGCCTGAGAGCAGAGCGAGATCCTGTCTCAAAAATAAGTAAAAAAATAAATACAAATCAAATTACTTACCCAGCTGGGCACAGTGGCTCACGCCTGTAATCACACCACTTTGGGAGGCCAAGACAGGCAGATACCTGAGGTCAGGAGTTCGAGACCAGCCTGGCCAATATGGTAAAACCCATCTCTACTAAAAATACAAAAATTAGCCAGGCATGGTGGTGGGCACCTGTAATCCTAGCTACTCGGGAGGCTGAGGCAGGAGAATTGCTTGAACCTGGGAGGCAGAGGTTGTAGTAAGCCAAGATCGTACCACTACCCTCTAGCCTGGGTAACAGAATGAGACTCTGTCTTTAAAAAAAAAAAAAAAAAATTCTTCACCCTGGCTGTTAACATGAAATAGCCAGGTATGGTGGCTCATGCCTGTCTGTAATCCCAATACCTTGGGAGGCCAAAGCAGGAGGATTGCTTGAGCCCAGGAGTTTGAAACCAGCCTGGGCAACAATGTGAGACCCTATCTCTATAAAAAATTTAAAAATTAGCTGGGCCAAGGTGTATTGGTTCATACCTGTATTCCTGGCAGTTTTGGAGCCTGAGACAAAAGGATCATCTGAGCCCAGGAGTTTGAGACCAGCTTGGACAATATAGTGAAACCTCATTTCTTATTTAAAAAAAAAAATTAGCTGGGCATGGTTGCATGCACCTATAGTGCCAGCTACTCAGGAGGCTGAGATGGGAGAGTAACTTGAGCCCAGGAGTTCAAGGCTGGAATAACTATGATCTTGCCACTGTACATTTACAAAAAAGAAAAAAAAAAAGAGTTAACATGAAATGACTAGGACATTCTTGAAACTAATCCTTTCATCCATGTGGCAGGCTACAGAAGTTGTGCAACTTGGGCCCCCTGAGCTACTTTTCTTGCTGGAAGATCTCTCCCAGAAGCTGGAGAGTACGCTGACACCTTTTATTGCCAGGAGAATTCCCTTTCTCAAGGTTAGTATAGGCAGAAGCATAGGACTTGGGCTTAGTGGATTTGGAAACAAAGGAGATATTAGTGCTGAAAAAGTTGTCACTTTATCTGGCATTGTGTTTGGGTCACTGGGTAGCATGGGTGCAGCTGTATTGCCAGATGATATCCATCTTGCTTTGAAAAGGAAGTCTGAAGGCTGGGTGTGGTGGCTTATGCCTGTAATCCCAGCACTTTGGGAGGCCAAGGAGGGCAGATCACTTGAGTTCAGGAATTCCATACTAGCCTGGCCAACATGGTGAAACCCCATCTCTACTAAAAATACAAAAAGAACTAGCCAGGTGTGGTGGCATGGCTGTAGTCCCAGCTACTTGGGAATCTGAGGCATGAGAATCACTTGAACTGGGAGGTGAAGGTTGCAGTGAGCTGAGATTGCACCACTGCACTCCAGTCTGAGTGACAGAGTACGTCCCCCCAAAAAAAGGAAGTGTACCAGTGCAGTGACTCACCCATAATCCTAGCACTTTGAAAGACTGAGGCAGGTGGATCACCTGAGGTCACGAGTTTTGAGACCAGCCTGGCCAACATGGCAAAAGCCTGTCTCTACTAAAAATAAAAAATGTAAAAAAAAAAGCCAGGCGCAGTGGCTCACACCTGTAATCCCAGCACTTTGGGAGGTCAAGCCTGGTGGATCACTTGAGGTCGGGAATTCAAGACCAACCTGACCAACATGGAGAAACCCTGTCTCTACTAAAAGTACAAAAATTAACCGTGCGTGGTGGTGCTTGCCTGTAATCCCAACTACTCAGAAGTCTGAGGCAGGAGAATTGCTTGAACCCAGCAGAGGTTATGGTGAGCCGAGATGGCACCATTGCACTCCAGCCTGGGCAACAAGAGCAAAACTGTCTGCAAAAAAAAAAAAAAATTACATTATCTGGGTATGATGTCGCATGCCTGTAGTCCTAGCTACTGTGGAGGCTAAGGCAGGAGAATTGCTTGAACCTGGGTGGCAGAAGGTGCAGTGAGCCAAGATTGCACTACTACACTCCAGTCTGGGCAGTAGAGCGAGACTCTATCTCAAAAAAAAAAAGGAAGTCTGAATCAGAAAACAACAGCACCTAGAATAAGAAATCTTATTTCATTTTTTGGTTTTTTTTTAGATGTGGATTCTTGCTCTGTCACCCAGGCTGGAGTGCAGTGGTGTGATCTTGGCTCACTGCAGCCTCCACCTCCCAGGTTCAAGCAATTCTGCCTCAGCCTCCTCTGTAGCCTGGATTACAGGCACATACCATCATGCTTGGCTAATTTTTGTGTTTTTAGTAGAGACAGGGTTTCACCATGTTGGTCAGGCTGGTCTCGAATTCCTGACCTTGTAATCCACCCACCTTGGCCTCCCAAAGTGCTGGCATTACAAGCATGAGCCATAGTGCCCAGCATAATAAATGTATTTCTAAATGCTCTGAACATTCCTGAATCCTGTCCTCCCAAACTAAGCCCGGGCCCCTGCCTCAGTATAGTAGTAGGCTGTCTAGAGAGGCCAGAACTTCAGATGTGTATACAGTATACAAATGTGCACCTAGGTGGTGCATATTAACAAAATATGAAAATCTTGGGTATATGCCTTTAAACACTAATATATCCAGTTGATTCATTCTTCTTTGTATTCACTATTGGCTCTATGTAGGGTCCAGCCCTACAGGGTTTGTGAGCTTCTCCCGGATGGTACAGAGACAAGAAATTGTAGAAATAAAAGACACAAGACACAGAGATAGAGAAGAGAGAGTTTGGGCCCAGGGTTCCACTGCTACCCAAATTGAGGAGACCAGTAGTGGCCCTGAATGCAGGGATACTCTCACTTTTATTGAGTTGCAAATCTCAGGGTGGGGTAGGCAGGGCCTTGGTGGTTGAAGACTCTGGGCAGGGTAGATAGGGCATGGCAGTGATAGGGTCAAGTATATCAGGTGTCATTCAGGTAGGAACTCAGGAATTTCTGGCACCTGAATTGAGGTAAGGAGCATAATGCATCAGCACCTTTTCTATCCTTATCAAGAAAGAACTAAAACATTAAGATTTATATTACTGTTACTGATTATCTTTTCTAAGACAAAAGGAACCAGGTACAGAAATAGAACTCAAGAGTAGACATGGAATGTGACCACCGAAGCACAGCATCACATAGAGACAGTTAAGCCCCCAGATGTCTGTAGGTGTGCCTGACAGCCGTCAGGCCTTACCGTAAGAGCTTAGAGAAGCAGAGTTTTCTCCAAACTTCCCCAGGAAGGAGATGTCTCAGCCATTTTGGACATCTCCTTCCCTAGCTGGCTAAACAGCAAGCACTTTCACAGTGCTGGCGCTGCCACACAGCCAAGGTACCCTCCAGCAGCCCTTATGTGGGCATGACAGAGGGCTTAGAGCATCTTGCCTTAGTGTCATTCATTTCACAATGTCACCCCAGGTTCACACTTCCGACCTGATAGGCATTAATAAAGGAATTAAGATCACCCGTGAATAACTGGTAAGATTACATGTACATAGCTAAGATCACATATGAATAACTAATAACTACTATGGTTATATTTCTAGTTAGTTTCTTCATTATTTACATGGAAATAGGCTGAGGCCTTTTGCTCCTGCCTTGGCGCTTGTAGGATTTTCCCACTACAGCTCTACTTTTTCTTTTTGAAACAGGGTTTTGCTCTGTTGCCCAGGCTGGAGTCCTGTGGCACAATATTGGCTTAGTGCAACCTCTACCTCCTGGATTCAAGTAATCCTCCCATGTCAGTCTCCTGAGTAGCTAGGACCACAGGCATGTGCCACCACACCCAGCTAATTTTTGTATTTTTTATAAAGAAGAGTTTCAGCATGTTGCCCAGGCTTCTACTTTTTTTTTTTCCCCCCAGTTACAAGAAGGAGGTTGAGCATGGTGGCTCACTCCTGTAACCCCAGCACTTTGGGAGGCCAAGGTGGGTGGATTGCTTGAGCTCAGGAGTTTGAGACCAGCCTGGGCAATGTGGTTAAACCCCATCTCTACAGAAAATACCAAAACTAGCCATGCTTGGTGGCATGTGCCTATGGTTTCAGCTACTCAGGAGGCTGAGGTAAAAGGATTGTTTGGGCCCAGAAGTTCAAGGCTGCAATGAGCTGTGATCGTGCCATCGCACTCCAGCCTGCATGACAGAGAAGAACCTTGTCTCAAAAAAAAAAAAAAAAAAAAAAATATAAGGAGTCTATTCTACATTTGTCAACCTAAATGATTTCTGCTTTTATATGACCCTTACCTGATTAGTTACGATAGGTCTGTATGTCTCAATCAAACACTGTTCCTACTCTTCAGAAGCCAATTTCTCAGTTATTGGGAAATAGAGCAGGATTTTTATCCCTCTATCAGAATATAATCATAGGTGAACAACTCATTTCTCCCATCTGCTCCTACCTAGTGACACAGGTGACTTGACTCCATTGCAAACCCTTAGTTTCTGAGAAGCTATCCAGCAGTGTCTTCACCCATAACTCTGAATTTATTATAGAACAAAGGAAGCCGGAATATTGGATTCTCACATCTCCGTCTGAGATCTGCCCAAGAAATTGTTTGTTGTGTTTTTCAACTGCTGACCCCAATGTGTAACCATCTGGAGAACATTCACAACTATTTTCAGGTCAGAAGCCTAGACTTAGACGCCACTAAGTGAATATAAGATTTCATTTTTGGTTGAGAAAAAGGAAAATGAGGAAAATTACTGAAGCAACTATCCTAAAATCATTTTTATTTTTAGTGCTTAGCTGCTGAGAACCATGATGTAGTTGATGGATCAGGAGTGAAAGTTTCAGAGTACCACATAATGTCTTCCTGCTATCAGAGGCTGCTGCAGATTTTTCATGGGCTTTTTGCTTGGTGAGTATGTGGGAAGTGTGGAGAGAAATGAGTGTATACTTGCTTTTCCTTGACAGTTACCAAGGCACTGAAATGTAGAAAAGAAAGAAAAGGCTCAAAAACTTTATGTAAATGTGGTGCTTTAATTTGGGGGGAGTGTTTTTGTCTGTATTATTTCATTTGATCTTGTACCCTCTGAGTCCTTTGGAGCCACTGTTGTTAACCCATTTGACAAATTAGGTTACTTGCTGATGAGCTCACGTATAACAAATCTGGCCATCTGATCCTCAGTCCAGTTTCTTTTAGCATGCTTTAATTCCACATTGTTTGGTTACAACCTGAACCCATTGTAAGCTGGGCTATTTCATGATACCTTCATGGAAACAGTGAGACTCGAGGGAACCCTAGAAAGGTATATGGCCTTTAGAGAGAAAAAAAAAAACAAAACAAGAAAGGAGGTAGAAGGTACAACATGGACAAAAGTAGAACTAAGGGTGATGTGCCCCTTAAATACTTTTGTTCCTCAGGGACAGGCCTTGGGCTCTCTGTTCTCATTATATAAGATTTCTGGTCAATTCTGCCCAAGCTTAAATTTAGCCAAAATTTATCTTCTGAGCTATAGGCATTTATATGCAACTGCCTACTCAACACCTCCTTAGATGTGTCATTGACACCTCAGACTCCACATCCAAAATGGAATGTGTCATCCCTAGCACACTCCTTCAGCTTTGCCTGGCTTAGTAAATGGTACCACCAGTTGCCTAAAGCAGAAACCAGAAATTATTCTTTGTCCCTCCCTCTGTTCTCCACCATCTTTTTCCCACATCTGATTCCTGTTGATTTTATTATAAATAGCATTCAGATTCTAGTCATCTGTCCCTGTTTTTCCACTGCTTCCAGACTCCCATCATCTCTCAATCTGGCTTGGGCTAGGTTCACACTTGACCTCTCTCAGTCCATTCTTCACATGGCAGTAAGAGTGATCATCCTAACACAAACTCAATTTGATCCTATCCCAATTTTGATTTCTGATTGCTGTTAGATTTTTCTTGAGTTATAACTCTCTTACCTAGCCTCTAGGTCTTCTTCTGACTCCTGCTATTCCACTTACTGTCTAACACTCTGCCTCCAGCCTCACTGAGTTAATTTTAGCACCCTATATAACTTTTACGTGGGAGGCTTTGCACATGTTCATTCTTCTGTCAGGACCCCCACTCTTCTTGATCCACAACTTTTTCTGACTCATCACATATCTTGAGTTCTGGACTTAAGCACCCATCCTGCCTCTCTAACCCCCAGTTGTCTCCTAACACTCTGGTATCCATTCATGATAAAACTTAATCACATTTTATTATAATTATTTGTTCATCCAGTCTTTCCTGCTAGACTCCGAGCTCCATGGAGGCAGATATCTGTCATTTTTATGTACTCAGTACTTAAAAGCAGTACGCGACAAAAAATTTGAACAATTTATCAAGGAGACTTATAGATGGCTAATAAACATGGGAACAGGGCCTGACATGGTAGCTTATGCCTGTAATCCCAGCACTTTGGGAGGCCAAGGTGGGCAGATCACTTGTGCTCAGGAGTTTGAGACCAGCCTGGGCAGCATGGTAAAACCCTGTCTCTACAAAAAATACAAAAATAAACTGGGCATGGCTTGAGCCTGTGAGGCAGAGGTTGCAGTGAGCCAAGATTCCAACACTGCATTCCAACCTGGGCAACAGAACCAGACCCTGTCTCAAAAAAAAAAAAAATTCTGGGCACCATGGCCCAGGAAAGTTAACACAGAAAATAAACCATCTCTAAAAATTATAAAAACAAAAAATAAAATAAATACATAAGATGTTTATTACTGTTATTAGTTATTAAGGAAATGCAAATTAAAAGCACGATGAGATAGCATAACATACTCACTAGCACAGCTACATTAAAAAGACTTAGCATGCCAAGTGTTGGTGAGAATGTGGAGCATCTAGAGCTCTCATATGCTGCTAGAGAGACCTTATAATGGTATATCCATACTGGAAAATAGTTTGGTAGTTTCTTGAAAAGTTAGGCATGCATCTACCAGGTAACTCACCCATTCCATCCCTAGGTATTTATTTACCCAAGGGAAATGAAACCATATGTCCACTAGGGTCTGATAATAGGAACATTTTTAGCAATTTAGCCTGTGGTTTTACATAGTATATTCTAAACTTGTTTCCCATCCTTTTTTTTTTTTTTAGACTGCGTCTTACTCTATCACTCAGGCTGGAGTACAGTGGTGTGATCTCAGCTCACTGCAACCTCTGCCACCCAGATTCAAGTGATTCTTCTGCCTCAGCCTCCTGAGTAGCTGGGATTACAGGCACCTGCCACTGCGCCCAGCTAATTTTTGCCTATTTAGCAGAGACAGGTTTCACCACCTTGCCCAGGCTGGTCTTGAACTCCTGACCTCGTGATCCACCTGCCTTAGCCTCCCAAAGTGGTGCTGGGATTATAGGCTGAGCCACCTCCCTGGTCTTTTTTTTTTTTTTTTTTTTTTCCTGAGATAGGGTTTTGCTCTGTTGCCCAGGCTGGAGTGCAAGGACACAAATCACAGTGTTGCAGGATGAGACACTGACAGAACCCCTCAGACACCAGAGTGAGGAAGGAAGAGACTTTATTTAGCTAGCTATGGAGCATCGGTTGACTTGTGTTTAAAAGTCAAGCTCCCCAAAAAGCAGGGTTTTTTTTTTCTTTTTAAAGACCTACAACCCAAGGGGGAGCAGAGGTGAAACTGTGTTATTGCCCATTGGCCAGGCAGCCAACCTTAGTCTTTGGCCTTCATTGATTTGCTAATTTACATGTAGTGCGCACCGGAAGAGGCAAAGGGGGAGAGCTGTAGAAGTTGAACAAAGGCAGTAAATTAAAATGTTAAAGGCATTTTTTAAGTAGTAGGGAGTCTGGTTTATGCCAGCATGACTTAGGGAAGGTCCTTGGGCAGCAGGAAAAACTTTTTTTTCTTTTGCAACATTTTTGAGGCTTATAGGTAACATAGGCACCAGTTACAGAGAGGGGAGTTAATTTTTTTAGCCCTCGGGCCCTGCCAAGCTGGTGAAGTCAGCATCTTGCCTGACTACTGACTTCAACTTTTTGCTGTTTTACTTCTTTTACCAGCAAACAGCAGGCTGGAAATTAATGCTTCCTCCAACAACAGCTCACTGCAACCTATGCCTCCCAGGCCTACAAATCCTCCCACCTCAGCCTCACGAGCAACTGAGCTAGGACTACAGGGATGTACCACCATGCTCAGCTAATTTTTTTTTTTTTCTTTTTTTTTTTGTTAGAGACAGGGTTTCACCATGTTGCCCCCAGGCTGATCTCAAACCCCTGGGCTTAAGTGATCCACCTGCCTCAGGCTCCCAAAGTGCTGACATTATAGGTGTGAGCCACCATACCTGGCCTAAATTCAACTTTTTTTTTTTTTTTTTTTGACACGTTCCATTTTTCAGTACAATAAATTCAACATTTTAAATAAATGAAGTTTATTGTACATCAGCTGTACCTCAATGAAGCTATGGTAGACAAACTTGACACCTAATAGGCCCTCAGAATACGTTTATTGAGGCCGGGCGTGGTGGCTCAAGCCTGTAATCCCAGCACTTTGGGAGGCCGAGGCAGGTGGATCACAAGGTAAGAGATAGAGACCAACCTGGTCAACATGGTGAAACCCCATCTCTACTAAAAATACAAAAAAATTAGCTGGGCATGGTGGCATGTGCCTATAATCCCAGCTACTCAGGAGGCTGAGGCAGGCGAATTGCCTGAACCCAGGAGGCAGAGGTTGCAGTGAGCTGAGATCGCGCCGTTGCACTGCAGCCTGGGTAACAAGAGCGAAACTCTGTCTCAAAAAAAAAAAAAGAAAGAAAGGGGGTGTAAAAAGAACACTCAAAAGGTATCACTATGGGCCAGGCGCAGTGGTTCTCACTCCTGTAATCCCAGCATGTTGGGAGGCCGAGATGGTGGATCACGAGGTCAGGAGATTGAAACCATCCTGGCCAACATGGTGAAACCCCATCTCTACTAAAAATACAAAAATTAGCTGGATGTGGTGGCACGTCCCCGTAGTCCCAGCTATTCAGGAGGCTGAGGCAGGAGAATCACTTGAACCCAGAAAGCGGAGGTTGCAGTGAGCCAAGATTGCACCACTGCACTCCAGCCTGGGCAACAGAGCAAGACTCAGTCTCAAAAAAAAAAAATATAAAGTTGTCACTGTGATCCACACATGTGCTTATGGGGCCTGGCCAAAACGATGGTCTGGGATTGAAAAGGAAGGAACAACATGAAAGGTAATCCAAAGATAGAAATGTCAAGCTTTGACTCATTAATGTAGGAGAAGGGATAAGTACCACTATGGGCTGGACGTTGTTTTAGCAGTTTGACAAAGTTAATTCTATGTTTTTAAAGAAGACTACGCATCTCTAAAGTGTAAGCTTTTTGCCCTTGAAAATAAACTTCAGGAAATATTACTTTGGATGCACTTCAGTTTCTAATATGATACTTAGAGCTGTGATTGAATTTGGTACTTCTGTACTTTCGATTTTTTTTTTTTTTTTTTTGGAGACAAAGTCTTGCTCTGTTGCCACCAGGCTGGAATGCAGTGGCGCAATCTCGGCTCACCACAACCTTCGCCTCCCAGATTCAAGTGATTCTTCTGCCTCAGCCTCCCGAGTAGCTGGGACTATAGGAGCGCACCACCACGTCCGGCTAATTTTTGTATTTTTAGTAGATACAGAGTTTCACCATGTTGACCAAGACGGTCTTGATCTCTTGACCTCATGATTCGCCCACCTTGGCCTCCCAGGGTGCTAGGATTACAGGCATGAGCCATGGCGCCCGGCCTCTCAATTCTTTTTTCAAACTGATGAACTATTGATGGTACAGACTGGAGGCCTGGATCCTTAAATAGTATCCAAGTAGTTTTCCAGAAACTGAGCTAACCCCTCTTACCTTGACTTCCTTAGGAGTGGACTTTCTCAACCTGAAAATCAGAGCTTACTGTACTCAGCCCTCTGTGTCCTTAGTAGCCGACTAAAGCAGGGAGAACACAACCAGCCTTTGGAGGCACTGCTCAGGTGAGTCAGACTGCATAACCAAGATTGTCATCCCAAGAAAATCCTAGGAACAGGATTGGCAACTTTCTTTAAAATAACCTGGAGTCTTTCAGTAGTTGTAAAGGAAATTATTTTCAGCTGTTCTCCTCATATGTGAGCTTTCTCATCTATGTATTCTGATAAATCTTGAAGTATTAGAAACCTTGAATAATCAGGCTTATTCATGCATGCATCAGCCTGTAAACTCAGCCTTTTCAAGTAATAATGATGAAAACATTGACCGTCTGTAATCAACTCTTAATTTACTGTCTCCCAGCTGGGATGGGTAATTAGGCAACAGCTAGTTATCACTACTAGCCTGTTTCTTTCCCCTTGTCTTGTAGGAAGACCATATATGGCTGAGGGGTAGGCAGTGAACAAGGGAAGTGAGATTATCTCAGGGGCATGGCTTTCAGCCCCCTCTCCCTTCTCTCAAAGTGACTTGGTTCTTCTCTCACTTCCCTTGATATCCTAGACCATCACTGGGTCATCAGTGCTTATCATCCCTGTCTGTAGGTCAGGACCTTATTTCTTTCCTTCTTTTTTTCTTTTCTTTTCTTTTTTTTTTTTTTCTAGGGAGAGTCTCGCTCTGTCACCGAGGCTGGAGTGATCTTGGCCTACTGCAACCTCCACCTTGTGGGCTTAAGTGATTCTCCTGCCTCAACCTCCCAAGTAGCTAGAATTACAGGTGCATGCTGCCATGCCCTTCTAATATTTTATATTTTTCTAGAGATGGTTTCACCATGTGGCCAGGCTGGTCTCTAACTCCTGAGCTCAGGTGATCTACCGGTCTCAACCTACCAAAGTGCTAGGATTATAGGCCTGAGCCACCATGCCCAGCCTGTGAACCCAGATTTTTTAAATTATTGGCCGGGCCAGTGGCTCACACCTGTAATCCCAGCACTTCGGGAGGACAAGGCTGGTGGATCGCCAGAGGTCAGGAGTTCAAGACCAGCCTGGCCAAAATAGTAAAACCCTGTCTCTACTAAAAATACAAAAAATTAGCTGACCGTGGTGGTGCATGCCTATAATCCCAGCTACTCAAGAGGCTGAGGCAGGAGAATCGCTGGAACGGAGGAGGCAGAGGTTGCAGTGAGCTGAGATCGCACCATTGCACTCCAGCCTGGGCAATGAGAGCGAAAATCCATCTGGAAAAAAAAAATTTTTTTTTTCAGTGTATTACCTAAGGGTTTAAAGAACAGATAATTTATCTAGGGTTGTACATATTAGCATGGTGTTTGGGTTTCTTGGCATCTATGACCCCTTCAAGGCCAACATTCCATTCATGGGACAATCTTCTGCCCTGGCTTTTTCCATACAAAGATATGGTTTTCTATGAAGATCCTTGAAACAGGTTGATACTAAAGCACCTGAAAATAAGGAGGATTGTGATTAGGCCATCAAACACTGAAAAGGGACCTGAGCACGTCATGTGGATTTAAGTATCTCTGCAATACATAGGATACTATTGCATTTGTTTGTTTTTCTTGTTTCCTTACAGCCAGAGCTTCCATTATTTGCAGAATTTCCATCAAAGTATTCCCAATTTCCAGTGTGCTCTTTATCTCATCAGACTTTTGATGGTTATTTTGGAGAAATCAACAGCTTCTACTCAGAACAAAGAAAAAATTGGTGATGGACCCAGATCCTTTTTTTTTTTTTAAATGAATAGGATTAATATCTCACACTTGTAAACTTGGAGCTTCCCAGGACATTTTTACATGTAAATCCCCGTATAACCTTGGACAGGCCCTCTTGCTATACCAAGAAGGTCATTTTCCCAGAACAACCTGACTGATTTCTATTAACATTGCTTAGTCTGAATTTGGTTAAACAAGCTATTCAGTTAGTTTTCTCTTTGGCTTAAGTTTAGTCATGTTCTTCCTTTCTAAAAAAAAAAAAAATTATCTGAGACATTTAACAAAAAGAGATAAAAACCATGAAGTTAATAAAGTAGGAGTAAAAGAGGAAATGAGGGTCAAGTGTAAAAGAAATACTAGCCTCTTCCCTGGCCTTTTTCTTTAACTGTCTTTTATTATAGCTCTTAGAAGACAGCTTATCCTAGTTGGCAACACATCAGAAAGCCAGATAAAAATGCAAAACCGGCCGGGCGCAGTGGCTCACGCCTGTAATCCTAGCACTTTGGGAGGCCGAGGCAGGTAGATCACGAGGTCAAGAGATCGAGGCCATCCTGGTCAACATAGTGAAACCCCGTCTCTACTAAAATACAAAAATTAGCTGGGCATGGTGGTGCGTGCCTGTAGTCCCAACTACTCAGGAGGCTGAGGCAGGAGAATTGCCTGAACCCAGGAGGCGGAGGTTGCAGTGAGCCGAGATCGCGCCATTGCACTCCAGCCTGGGTAACAAGAGCGAAACTCCGTCTCAAAAAAAAAAAAAAAAATGCAAAACCAACCTTTATGTTTCCCTATTGATTAAAAGGGGAAGGTTTGGTCTGAATCTTGGAGGTGACCACTGCTGTTGGCCAGCCCAGGAGGAGCAAGATTGGCCTTCCCACTGCCCAGCAGCATTCCTTTTCTCTGTGTGTCCATATTTATGTTCATGTTTGCGTGTTTCAGGATGGGGTTGGGGTAGGACATGTTGGGCCTTAGACAAATGAGTTTATGTCTGACAAAAGGGCCAGTGGAGCAGGAACATGACAGCTTTTTATAAATTGCTTGTTAGACTGGGAACTTCTTAGTAAATCTAAACTAAAAATCCCTTTGACCAATAATCATATTGTAAAAGCCTGAAAAGCAAAAGTGAGGTCAGGTTCCCAAATGTAAGATTTTTTTTGTCTTTTCTAACAGCTTCCCTGGCCAGACAGTTCCTCTGTCGGGTGTGGCCAAGTGGGGAGAAAGAAAAGAGCCACATCTCTAATGACCAGCTCCATGCTTTGCTCTGGTAAGATGTTTGATTTCTTCCAATGAGCCAAATTGCGTTTTTCTATTTTGCTACTGTTGTTTGTCAGAGACTGACAAATGACCTTTTTTAGTGAGAATTTGAAAACACTGGTAAGTTAAAAATGAACACAATTTGGAATACGTGGATCTTAAGATTCTCTAGTTCTGTTTTATACTGCTAGCTACTGCTTATTGTTAATTCAGATCATAAAGGAATTAGAGGAATCTGCAGTTGTTTTCTACTTTGTTAATCAATGGGTCAAATATTTGACTCTCAATGCAGTATCTACCTGGAGCACACAGACAGCGTTCTGAAGGCAATAGAGGAGATTGCTGGTGTTGGTGTCCCAGAACTGATCAACTCTCCTAAAGATGCATCGTCTTCCACCTTCCCTACACTGACCAGGTAAAGGAGTTATCTCCTCCAGTTTTTTCTGTAAGATAGAATCATTATCAGGCCAGGCACAGTGGCTCATTCCTGTAATCCCAGCACTTTGGGAGGCTGAGGCAGGCTGATCACCTGAGGTCAGGAGTTTGAAACCAGCCTGGCCAACATGGTGAAACTCTGTCTCTACTAAAAATACAAAACTTAGCCGGGCGTGGTGGTACATGCCTGTAATCCCAGCTACTCAGGAGGCTAAGGCAGAAGAATTGCTTGAACCCAGGAGTGGAGGGAGGTTGCAGTTTACTCCAGCCTGAGCAACAAGAGTGAAACTCTGTCTCAAAAAAAAAAAAAAAAAATCATAATCATACTGTCCAGTGTTTGTAGCTTCCATGCAACTGCCTTACTCCTCCTCATCTAATTCTGATATACATGGTAGATATAATCTTTCATTCAATAAAGAGAGCCTGCTATGCATTCCTTTCAAGGGCTGTCAGCTAATACATGTGAGAGGACCTTGGTGGGTTTTTGGGAGTGGGTGGGTGGGTTGGTTGGTTTGTTTTGAAAAAACTCTCGTCACCCAGGCTGGAGTGCAGTGGCACGATCTCAGCTCACTGCAACTTCCGCCTCCTGGGTTCAAGCGATTCTCCTGCCCCAGCCTTTCAAGTAGCTGGGATTACAGGCGCCCGCCACCATACACAGCTAATTTTTGTATTTTTTAGTAGAGATGGGGTTTCACCATGTTGGCCAGGCAAGTCTTGAACCCGGCCTCTGGTGATCTGCCTGCCTTGACCTGCCAAAGTGCTGGGATTACAGGCGTGAGCAGCTGCGTGCAGCTGCAAGGACCTTGTTGAGGAATGAATTTACAGTCTTCAAAGGCAATGAACATTTAGGTTTAGTCACCAAACTTCTCCTATCCATACTTTAATCCTTTAATTTGAGATTATTCCAATAATTTTAACCATCTTGAGAACTGGGTGATCACATGTATGTCTCACTTAATGGGTTTGTGTCTCAGAATACCAATAGTTATCTTAACACTTGTAGCCTTTTCAGTTTATAAAGCACTTTCATTTTATCTCATTTGATCCTTTGATAATTCTGTGAGGTTGGTATCATTGCCCCTATTTTATTGCTGAGGAAAATGAGAAGTAGGGAACTTCTCAAGCTTACACATGTAATAAAATAGACAGAACCAGGACTCAAACTCAGATCTCACTGTTACTTCACTGCTTTTTCCATACTACCATACTACTTCCTTTCATAAAGTTAATTCCGTTGTTTGACAGGCCGTCGTCTTAGGCTTATTACTAAATCCTTTCCCCTCCCCCATCCTCTTAGAAAGGACCCTGGTGAAAGGACATTTAGAGAGGTAGGGAAGGAAGCTACTTTTGGTTCCTGACTCTTCCCAGTTAGTTCTAAGCAGTGGGCATGCATGCTTTTCCCCTCTTCTAGGCACACTTTTGTTGTTTTCTTCCGTGTGATGATGGCTGAACTAGAGAAGACAGTGAAAAAAATTGAGCCTGGCACAGCAGCAGACTCGCAGCAGGTGAGTAAGATACAGCCACCCCAAGAAGTAGACTCTGGATTACTTGGAAGTTGCTGATTCTTCTGTTTCTTGTGTCCAAGTTTTCTCCCAAGCTGTTTTTTGTTTTTGTTTTGTTTTGACTTTCTGAGATTTAGGATTTTTTGCAGAGTTCCTAGTTTAATTTCCTTTCCCTCTAGTTGGAGGTGAGGAATGGGCTCTCTTTTCCTTGGCTACTGTTCATTTTGCCTCCTGCTAACTGGCATGAGGTAAGTCAGCCTGTTTGAGATACTGTGGATCTTGGCAGCTTGCTAACTAGAACGGTGCTAGACTAGTAACAAAGGGCTGGCATAGGGAAGCAGAGAAGCTATAGCCAGTATATGTTTTTTCTTTTCTTTACTTTTTTTTTTAAAGATGAGTTTTCACCAGTTGGTCAGGCTGGTCTTGAACTCCCCACCTCAGGTGATCCGCCCACCTTGTCCTCCAGAGTGCTTGGATTACAGGCGTGAACCACCACACCTGGCCAGTTTTTGTTTTGTTTTGTTTTGTTTTTTTTAAGACAGGGTCTGAGTCACATCCAGGTTGGAGTGCAGTGGTACGACCTTGGTTCACTGCAACCTTTGTCTTCTGTGCTCAGGTGATACTCCTACCTCAGCCCCTCCTACCTCAGCCCCCCGAATAGCTGGGACCGCAAGTGTACGCCACCATGCCCAGCTAATTTTTCTTTTTTTTTTTTTTTTTTTTTTTTTGGAGATGGAGTTTCGCTCTTGTTACCCGGGCTGGAGTGCAATGACACAATCTCGGCTCACCGCAACCTCCACCTCCTGGGTTCAGGCAATTCTCCTGCCTCAGCCTCCTGAGTAGCTGGGATTACAGGCACGCGCCACCATGCCCAGCTAATTTTTTTTTGTATTTTTAGTAGAGACGGGGTTTCATCATGTTGACCAGGATGGTCTTGATCTCTTGACCTCGTGATCCACCCGCCTCGGCCTCCCAAAGTGCTGGGATTATAGGCGTGAGCCACCGCGCCCGGCCCTAATTTTTCTATTTTTAGTAGAGGTGGGGTTTTGCCGTGTTGTTTAGGCTGGTTTCGAACTCTTGGCTCAAGCAGTCTTCCCACCTCAGCCTCCCAAAGTGCTGGGATTACAGGCGTGAACCACTGCACCTGGCCTGATGGCCAGTATGTGTTGCAATGGCTTTTACCTACTTGGGAATTGCTGAAGAGGAAACTTTTTAGAAAGTCTGTATCTATGAGGTATTCTAATGTTACTACAACATGTGCAGGCCTCAGAACCATCTTGTGGATGCACTGGTGCTACATCTCTTTGGAAGGATAATTGGCTTAAATCTCAGAATAGCTAAGTAATTCAAGAACTATATCTTAGTGGGAATACAGTAAGGGAAGTATTTGGCTGTGACTCAGAGGTGCCCATATATTTGGCTGCTCCAGATACATGAAAAGAAGCTCCTCTACTGGAACATGGCTGTTCGAGACTTCAGTATCCTCATCAACTTGATAAAGGTGAGTATGGAGGTTCCTTGACCCATCTCACCAAATCACTGCAGAAACCAAGTGTCCTGGCTTCCAGAATGGACTCTCCCTGCTCCTCTTCCCACTCTTCCTTGGGGCCTGCTCTCCCTGAGTCATCATTTTTCTTTGTCCCCCTACTCATCCTGGATAACCCCTTTTCTTAGCAGGCATTATTATTATTTTTAGTTAGTTTTTGAGATGGAATCTCACTCTGTCACTGAGGCTGGAGTGCAGTGGCCTGATATCAGCTCACTACAACCTCCTTTTTCCAGGTTCAAGCGATTCTCCTGCCTCAGCTTCCCAAGTAGCTGGGATTACAGGCATCTGCTACCATGCCTGGCTAATTTTTTGTATTTTTTGTAGAGACAGGGTTTTATCATGTTGGCCAGCCTGGTGTTAAACTCCTGAGCTCAGGTGATCTTCCCACCTTGGCCTCCCAAAGTGCTGGGATTTCAGGCTTGAGCCACCACACCCGGCCAGTAGGCATTATTTAATGACTCCTTCTGTCTATAATTCCCTAACATTTTCATCTTGCCTTGGGTCATCTGTGATCTGAGCATGTATTCCCTCTTGTAATCCTGAATGCCCTTGATCTTCTTCAGACACACTGTACTCTCACCCACTCAATCATGGTTTTGCTCTGCTTATGCCCCCAGCCTGAAGTATCCTTTCTTTTCCACCTCCACCTCTTTCATGCCCTTTTTTTCTTTTTCTTTTTCTTTTCTTTCTTTCTTTTTTTTTTTTTTTTCTGAGGCAGGGTCTCACTCTGTTGCCCAGGCTAGAATGCAGTAGGGTGATCACAGCACACTGCAGCCTCAACCTCCTAGGCTTAAGAATCTTCCCACCTCAGCTTCTGGAGTAGCTGGGACTAAAGGCACATGCTAATGTTTTATTTTTTGTAGAGACAGAGTCTCATTCTGTTGCCCAAGCTGGCCCCGAATTCCTGGGCTCAAGTGATCCACCAGCCTCAGCCTCCCAAAATGCTGGGATTACAGGCATGAGCCAGCATGCCTAGCTTCACTGAGTCTTTCGTCAGTCTTCAGATCAAGGTTTTGGACTTTGAATAATGCCATCTTCTCAACACCCCCAGTTAGAATCAGTTTGTTTCTCTTTGCTTGTCTCTTTCTTTTCTTGAACTTCCGTTGTGATGATTACTTTATTCTGCTTTGTAATATTAATTTAAATGTTGACATCCCTCCATTTTAGAATTCTCTACAGCACCCAAAGCTGTGCTTTGTGCAGTGGGAAAGAGGCTGGAGTGCCCAAAGGAGCAGATCTCAGCCTTGGTTTCTTTTCTTTCACCTCTTCAGGTATTTGATAGTCATCCTGTTCTGCATGTATGTTTGAAGGTGAGAGACTTACGGGGCCCTATTACATATTTATTCTTCCTGTGGATCACTCTAGAGAGGACCTCAGCTAAGATAAATTCCTCAATATCTTGCCTATATGCCAGAGTTTCCAGAATCTATGCCAGTGTAGGGAAGACAATGAATACATTTCCCCACTCTAGATAGATGACTGGAGAAGCCAGTTTTCCTATGAATTTGAAAACGTTTGGTAAGAATCTTAGTAATAGGAGGAATGGCTTCAAATGGAATAAAAAATCCGTTTGATTTTTGAGTTGTTACATCCTCTAAATAAACCTTTTGGACCCTTCTCAATTTGTTATATATATATATATATATATATATATATATATATATATATATATAAATAAGAAAATAAAAATTGAGGAGCAGTAGTTACTTTCCCTACCATTCCTTATCAGGCAACATGAAGGAAAGAGGAGTGGATGATTCTTCTTTAAAGTCTGTGTGGTGACCTTAGAAATGTGAGATCTGATATCCTGATAATTGCAAACTTATCTTGCGTGGGAATAGCCTATATTAGCCCTAGATTTGATGGGAAGCCCAGTCGGAATGTTAAGGGGAGAATGCTACTTCCCCACTCCTGAAGTTTTCATTCAAGTGGATGGCGCCCCATTGTTATCTACTGGTCTCTCTTTCCCTTGTTACTCTATCCTGTTTAGTGTGGGAGATGGGTGTGTTGGAGAAAGGTGTGATTTATCTGATTGGGAAATTTGGAAATTGGTCATTTGCTTCCTTAGCTTTACCCAGTTTTTCCCTCTTGGGAGTAAGTTACCCTCAGATAAAGCTCCCCTCTACTCTATGTCCTCACTCCTAAGCTGAGCAAGTTCCCTGGCCATTGACCGTATCTGTGGTAGGTAAGTCTGCCTAATTCTGGGTCTTATTTAACAGGCCTATTGGATTTTTGTGTTAAGTTACATTCTCCAAATAAACCTTTTGGACCCTTCCCAGTTTGTTTTATATATATATAAATACAAAAATAAAGCACTTGGGCTGGATGAGGCTGTTCTGCCTCAAAAAGGGGCCTTCCAATGAGAGACCTCAGCTAGGGATAACAGTGTGTCTCTCTTCTTCAGTACGGACGTCTCTTTGTGGAAGCATTTCTGAAGCAATGTATGCCTCTGCTAGACTTCAGTTTTAGAAAACACCGGGTAAGAGCTAAGAGCAGACAACAAAGATATGCACTGAAGAGTTGCTCAGAAGATATGTCCTTGGTGACTCCTGGGTGAGGCTGGGAGTGTTCTACCTGGGTCCTCTGGTCTACTTCAGCTGTAGCCAGAGATGCCCAAATGAGACTGAATATTCCAAAGTAGGCTGAACTACTGAGACCTACTCTGGATCAGACCCACCTTTCTACTTCTCCAAATCTGATGGTGGTTTTCCTTTTAGCATGATTTTGTTGTGCTACTGTACTCTCAGGATGTCATGTATCAGTGTGTCATTTGCTTACTCCTTTATGCTTCTGTAGATTAAAACAAAAAAAACTCATTTGTGTCATAAAACCCTTTGCTTTGGTAATGAACAGTCCTGACACTTTTTTAGCCAGTGACAACCAGGACTAGAGTGGTGAAGTAAGGACAGAAACAGATAATTTCCAATACATATTTAACAAGTCGAACAAAACATTCACCATATTTGGTTGATCTCTCATAGCTCTGAAAGAGAAAGGGGAGGTATTATTTTATCCTAATATTGCAGAAGGGAAAGCTGAGACATGGTAACCTATTTAAAACGAAAATGCAGGTCTTAGAACTCTCAGATTTATACAAGGGACAGAAGTGGAAGAGTTGAGAATAAGGGGTAGCCACCATTCTTCCTACTTGAGGGCCAAATTAAGATGATTATCAGCATAGGTTGGAACCTGCAGAGTTTATCCTCTTTGGAGCTTTTGATTGCAAGGGTATCTTGCATCTGCGATGAAATCAGGACATATCATAGAGCATGTATAAACTTATTGGTTATAGGAAGATGTGCTGAGCTTATTGGAAACCTTCCAGTTGGACACAAGGCTGCTTCATCACCTGTGTGGTCATTCCAAGGTAAGAAGGGGGGCAGGTCCTATCAGCAGCCTGCCTTTTGGCTTAATCTGCAGTTGTTATTGGAGTATCCATGGGCTACTGTCCTGCTTCCTTTATATCTGGGAATGTGTCTGTCCAGAGGCAGGTTTTTGTGTGGTATGTGTGTGTGGGTGTGTGGGTGTAAAACCAAAGTCAGTTTATTCAGAGCAAGTTCTTAGTTGCTGCTTGAGATTGGGCAGTCCTCTAGAGGGGAATTTATGCATCTGAAATGTGACTCACACTCCAAAGCTCTTTTTCTCCTAGAAACTTCCTGGGTGAGAGAAATAGAATGCTGGTATATGTTTACTTCTGCACAGTCCTCTAGGTGGGAAGTCTGTGTTATAAGTGATGACTCTGCAGGAGGTGGCTCTAAAGCAGCCATTTTTAGAGACTTTCATCTGTGCTACTTTAAAGGAATGCATCTATGTCTTATGAGAACATCTTAGCATTAAAGGATTTTTCCACTTGAAGCCTTATAGTTGATGGAGTATTGTCACGTTTTGTCTGAATGAACACAGAACCTGAGAGTTCTACAGTCACTGGCAGACCAAATGATTCTTCAGTCCAGTTGCTATTACTTTTTTTTTTTTTTTTTTTTTTTTTTTGAGACGGAGTTTCGCTCTTGTTACCCAGGCTGGAGTGCAATGGCGCGATCTCGGCTCACCGCAACCTCCGCCTCCTGGGTTCAGGCAATTCTCCTGCCTCAGCCTCCTGAGTAGCTGGGATTACAGGCACGTGCCACCATGCCCAGCTACTTTTTTGTATTTTTAGTAGAGACGGGGTTTCAGCATGTTGACCAGGATGGTCTCGATCTCTCGACCTCGTGATCCACCCGCCTCGGCCTCCCAAAGTGCTGGGATTACAGGCTTGAGCCACCGCACCCGGCCCAGTTGCTATTACTTACTTTCTCCCCTTATTCTTAAATTTAGAAGGTGTTGAACAGTGATTTTTTTTTTTCTTTCTGAGACATAGTCTCACTCTGTTGCCCAGGCTGGAGTGCAATGGCACGGTCTCGGCTCACTACAACCTCCGCCTCCCAGATTCAAGCGATTCTCCTGCCTCAGCCTCCTGAGTAGCTGGGATTACAGGTGCCCTCTACCATGCCTGGCTAATTTTTGTATTTTTAGTAAAGACGGGGTTTTGCCATCTTGGCCATGCTGATCTTGAACTTCGGACTTTGTGATCTGCCCGCCTCAGCCTCCCAAAGTGGTGAGATTAGAGGCATGAGCCACCACGCCAGACCTGAACAGTGAATTTTTAAGTTTTCTCTTAAACAGGGCTACTCTCTATTGTTTAATATCAGTATAATATATATTCAAGAACATTTTAGGTAAATTCATTAATGATCGACCAGTAAGAGCTTATGAAGAGGAACTAGAGGTGTTGGTAGTATGTTTTCTAGGCTTTCAGTTCTTTAGCTACCATTCTCTTTGGATTAGTCTGCCAAACTACTCCTGTTTGATGGAACATACCTTTGGCCCATATTGGCAGGACTTACGTTCTTATTCAATGTTCAAAAGTGTCTATAGGAAATGTGAAGGCATGATAATAAACTCACAAGAGACAGATGTTATTTGTTTCCATTCAGATTCACCAGGACACGAGACTCACCCAACATGTGCCTCTGCTCAAAAAGACCCTGGAACTGTTAGTTTGCAGGGTCAAAGCTATGCTCACCCTCAACAACTGTAGAGAGGCTTTCTGGCTGGGCAATCTAAAAAACCGGGACTTGCAGGTAAGCCTTGGGTCCTGCCAGTGACAATCCCCCACTGTCATTCTTTGTGATAACATCAAATGGTATGTAAGGCAGGCTGCACTCCTCCTTAGGCAGGAAGGCAGCAAAACATGCCATTGATATAAATAGTGGCTCTGAGATAAAGGAGCCAGAGCAAAAACCTCTCTCCATAGCCAGAGGGGCTCCTTAAAGCCCCACTGAGGGTAGATTCATAATAACATTTTTGTATAGGGACAAACATTTCTTTTGTTTAGTTATTTTTTTCCCCTAAGCCACTCTGTCTTATTCCTGAAATTACAATTTAATCTCTAATTTTAACTAATTAGCGTTTCTGAGATTTTTCACTTGTCTGATTAGCTGAAATCTTGTTATTTATGCTACTACTTTGGAGTTACAGCATTTTTCAGATAAGGTAATATAAGCCCTTTTCTTTCATGCTTACAGTATCTGAGTTTTCTAGTAAGTTATATATGAAATATATAAAATAGCACCACGGAGAATTAGCTTCCTTTCTTCACATCAGCCTTATGAGGTAGATACTATTGTTTCTGTATGAAAATTGAAGCTAGAAGTTAAGTAATTTGCCTACTGTCATTCAGCAATAAGTGAGTGGAGCCAGGGTTTGAGTCCAAACAGTCCTCATCCAGAGTTGATGTTCTTAAACCACTTCACGGTACTGCCCTTTAGCCTCCGCATGGCCATTTGTGGTTGGTGTGATGGTGCTTTAAGGTATTTGGGAAATTTTAGAACCATGTTCGGCAACAACTTAGAGTCACCAATACAATCTAGCCTTGTAAAATCTAGTTGTGATACCAGCATAAAAAGATGAACCTTTTGTTCCATTACTGTGTCAGAGCCACGGGCATCTCAGAAACCTGGAGTTGAGTGTCCCTCTTCTAGATACTGAATCACAAGTCAGTATCCATGTTTGACTGTTTGGAATGGCTAGAATATCTTCCTTTGTATTGCCTATAAACTCAGCCTTTTCTCCTGATCCCTAAATGTGATCATTATAACGCACCATTTTTCTTTGTTCATTCACATTTAGGGTGAAGAGATTATTTCCCAAAATTCCCAGGAGAGCACAGCAGATGAGAGTGAGGATGAGGTGTCATCCCAGGTCTCCAAGAGTAAAGCCACAGAGGTATCTCTGCAAAAGGCACCAGAGTCTGGCACTGATGGTTGCATTTTGTTAATTGTTCTAAGTTGGTGGAGTAGAACTTTGCCTACTTATGTTTATATCAAATACTTCTATCCCATTTTCATTCCCTCCATAAAAGCTTCTGTGCTTATATAATTTTGTGGGACCCAGAAAAAGCAACCACACAATCTTAGAATCGTTCCTGATTATCTCAAGTTATGGCATTTATTATGGAGTTGACAATTCTCTACATTATAGCCTCTCATTTTCCGTGAATTCATATCTGAAACCATTTTACAAGGGAGAAAAGAAGTCATCAAAGTGTTTACTGAGGGTTGAGAAGAATGAGTTAAACCATTTAAACACATTTGAAACATACAAAAATAGAAATGTGAAAGCCAAAGCACAGAGTCAGAAGCTGACACCTTAGAGAACTGAAATAAAAATAGAACTTCTTACTCTTTTTTGTGGTACAGATGCTTTTGAGAATTTAAAGAAAACTAAATAAAAATGTATATATGGCTGTCACAGTAGCTCATGCCTGTAATCCTGGCACTTTGGGAGGCCAAGGCAGGAGGATTGCTTGAGCCTGGGAATTTAAGACCAAGCTGGGCAACAACGTAACAAGACCCTATCTCCATATAAAATGAAAGCCAGGCGTGGTGGCTCATGCCTGTAATTCCAGCACTTTGGCAGGCCCAGGTGGGAGGATCATGGGGTCAAGAGATTGAGACCATCCCGGCCAGCATGGTGAAACCCCATCTCTAGTAAAATAGAAAAAAATTAACTGGGCATGGTGGCACGTACCTGTGGTCCCAGCTACTTGGGAGGCTGAGGCAGGGGAATCACTTAAACCTGGAAAGTGGAGGTTGCAGTGAGCCAACATGGTGCCACTGCACTGCACTGCAGCCTGGCAACAGAGTAAGACCCTGTCTCAAAAAAAAATGAAAAAGAAAAATGAAAAATAAAGCTAGGCACGGTGGCTCACGCCTGTAATCCCAGCACTTTGGGAGGCTGAGGCAGGTGGATCATGAGGTCAGTAAATTGACACCATCCTGGCCAATATGGTGAAACCCCGTCTCTACTAAAATTACAAAAATTAGCTGGGCATGGTGGCACACACCTGTTGTCCCAGCTACTTGGGAGGCTGAGAGAGGAGAATCACTGGAACCCCGGAGGCAGAGGTTGTGGTGAGCCGAGATTGCTCCACTGCATTCCAGTCTGGGCGATAAAGCGAGACTCCATCTCAAAAAAAAAAAAAAAAAGTGTACGTTTATAAAATTTTGTTACAATTCAGGCAGGTTATAGACACCAAAAAGCTCAGATTTAAGAACCACTGCTGTGGGGCCTCTCTGTAATACAATTTGAGTCTGATGCAGAACGATCATTTAATGTGTAAAGTCTGGCCTGGAGGGGTGGCTCCCACCTGTAATTGCAGTAGTTTGTGAGGCTGAGGTGGGAGGATTGCTTAAATCCAAAAGTTCAAGACCAGCCTGAGATCTCATCTCTACAAAAAAAATTTTTTTGGACTAGCCAGGCATGGTGATGTATCCTGTGGTCCCTGTACTCAGGAGGCTGAGGTGGGACGGTTGCTCAGGCCCAGGAGGTAGAGGCTTCAATGAGCCATCATCACACACCAGCCTGGATGACAGAGTGAGACCCTGTCCCAAAAAAAAAGCCCTTTATTTACATGGTCTCCAGTTTTGTTTGTTTAATATACCCCTTCTACCTTTTTCTCAGAGAATTTGAGGCAGACCATATCCTTAGTTTGGTACTTTAAGCAAATCTCTCGTACTAGAATTTTAAGCCAAACAATTTTGTGCTGGATTCCTGTTGAGATGCACCAGCACTACTACTTCTTTCTTCTTCTTTCTTCTTTCTTTCTTCTTCTTTCTTCTTTCTTTCTTCTTCTTTCTTCTTCTTCCTCCTCCTCCTCTTCCTTCCTTCTTCCTTCTTCCTTCTTCTTCCTCCCCCTCTTCCTCCTCCTCTTCCTCCTCCTTCTTTCTTCTTCTTCTTTTCTTTTCTTCTTCTTCTTCTTCTTTTTTTTTTTTTGTTTTTTGGTTGCTGCTGTTGTTGAGATGGAGTCCCACTCTATTGCCCAGGCTGGAGTGCAGCGGCACAATCTTGGCTCACTGCAACCTGCATCTCCCGGGTTCAAGCGATTCCTCCACCTCAGCCTCTGAAATAGCTGGGATTACAGCCATTTTTCCCTGCGCCTGGCCACACCAGCACTTTTAATAAATATTTCATTCTATATTCAATGCCCACTTTGTTCCTGTGTCATATACATGCAGTAGAGCTGGAGGACCATGGCTTGTTTAAAATTAGGCAAATTGGTCCCGGCACGGTGGCTCACACCTGTAATCCCAGCACTTCAGGAGGCTGAGGCAGGTGGATCACCTGAAGTCAGGAGTTTGAGACCAGCCTATCCAACAAGGAGAAACCCTGTCTCTACTAAAAATAGAAAAATTAGCTGGACATAGTGGCACTCACCTGTAATCCCAGCTACTTGAAAGGCTGAGGCAGGAGAATCGCTTGACCTTGGGAGGCAGAGGTTGCAGTGAGCCAAGATCACCCCACTGCACTCCAGCCCTGGGTGATGAGTGAAATTGTGTCTCAAAAAATAATAGTAATATATCCTGAGAGTGACAGTGTAAAAAAAGAAAGATAATAATAAATAAAATTATGCAAATTGGTTAGGTTGCAAATGGCATCAATCAGCATTAAAATGACCAATCTCCCTCTCTGGTCTTGGCTTACAGTTCCTGTTGTCAAGAAGAACAAATTTATTTACAAATGGTGTAAAGTCTATCATTAGTTTTAATAGTGATAATAGTACAGTTGTGTATCCCCTGGGACCCTTATCACCCAGAGCAGAGACCTAAAATACTTATTTGTTCTCCCTTAGGATGGTGAAGAAGAGGAATTAAGTGCTGGAGAAGAGGAGCAAGATAGTGATGAGAGTTCTGACGACTCTGATTAGACCGCAGACAGATTTTTGTCCCCTTCTGTTTCTCTGCGAGCCTCTGACCTTTTGTGTTTAGAGTTTGAAATCCACCGTTTGCCTTTCTTACTGGAAGCATCCTATTTTGTTCCTTTTTCTTTTTAGATGGCGTCTCACCCTGTTGCCCAAGCTGCAGTGCATTGGCGTGATCTCAGCTCGCTGCAACCTCCGCCTCACAGGTTCAAATGATTCTTCTGCCTCAGCTTCCTGAGTAGCTGAGACTATAGGCACACGCTACCACACCCAGCTAATTTTTGTATTTTTTGAAGAGACGGGGTTTCACCATATTGGCCAGGCTGATCTTGATCTCCTGATCTCTTGATCCACCCACCTCAGCCTCCTAAAGTGCTGGGATTACAGACGTGAGCCACTGCGCTAGGTCCTATTTTGTTCTTAAAGTGAGGGGTTTATTAACTTAATTGTGGACATCACGGATTGTCTAACATCATCACAATCCCTGGATCAAGATTCTAATATAGCATTATTTATTGGTTTGGATAAACCCAGCCTTGCTACACTGCAGAGTAAAATCTCTTGAGTCATTATTCTGGAGTTAGGGAACTAGTTTTGAAACTCTGATTTATTCTAGAACTTAGGCTTGTACCAGTTTTATAAATAAATTCTGTTCTAAGTTCTGCCTCAGCTGCCTGATTTATCTTTCTGGATTTGCTTCATTGTTCAAGAATTAGGTGAAGTTGAATTGAGATTTATGCAGAGAAATTATGGAGACTGGTGCTAACAGTTCTGCCAATTAAAATCACGTCTCCTATTGTAAGAACCAACTTCATTTGAGATGAGATGTATCTGATCTTTCTGAAAGATTGACTTGAACTTCTTTTTTTTTTTTTGAGACAGAGTCTCACTCTGTTGTGCAGGCTAGAGTGCAATGGCACAATCTTGGCTCACTGCAACCTCTGCCTCCGGGATTCAAGCAGTTCTCCTGCCTCAGCCTCCTGAGTAGCTGGGACTGCTAAAATGCACCACTATGCCCTGCTAATTTTTGTATTTTTTAGTAGAGATGGGGTCTCACCATATTGGCCAGGCTGGTCTCAACACCTGGCCAACTTGAACTTCTTGTCAATGGCTGCTTTTTAAATTTTTTTTTTTTTTTTTGAGACGGAGTTTCGCTCTTGTTACCCAGGCTGGAGTGCAATGGCACGATCTCAGCTCACCGCAACCTCCGCCTCCTGGGTTCAGGCAATTCTCCTGCCTCAGCTTCCTGAGTAGCTGGGATTACAGGCACGCACTACCATGCCCAGCTAATTTTTTGTATTTTTAGTAGAGACGAGGTTTCACCATGTTGACCAGGATGGTCTCGATCTCTTGACCTCGTGATCCACCTGCCTCGGCCTCCCAAAGTGCTGGGATTACAGGCTTGAGCCACCACGCCCAGCCTAAATTTTTTTTTATTGGTGTGTTCGTGTAAGATCAAAAATAAAAAAGCAGCATCACACTCATGTTGACATTGTACATAAAATGTTTTATTTCCATATTCTGAGTTATACCTAACATAGTTATAAGAATGCTACAAAGGCCAGCTACAGTGGTTCATGCATTTAATCCCAAACACGAGGGGATTGCTTGAGCCCAGGAGTTCGAGACCAGCTCGGACAACGTGGTAAAGCCCCATCTCTTAAAAAAAAAAAAAATACTATAATTAGCCAGTGGTGGTGGCCCAGCTACTGAGGAGGCTGAGGTGGGAGGATCGCTTGAGCCTGGGAGTTTGAGACTGTGGTGAGCCAAGACCGTGCCACTGCACTCCAGCCCAGGTGACAGAATAAGACCTGTCTCCAAAAAACAATGCCACAAAATTACTTGTAGTTTATTAGAAATAGAACATTAGGAGTGCATTTCAGCTAAAATGGAGACACTCATGAGTTCCATGTAGCCTATCAGAAAGCCTAGTTTCAATGCTGCTACCAAGATTTTTCTTGCCAGGCTGTAAGTATTGTTTAATATCAGTATTTCTACCCACCTTTGTACACTCCAGTATCGAGTGGTAATAGGGTGTGGTTAGTTAGGGGTTTTTGGGGTTGTTTTTTTTTTTTAATTTTTATTGTTTTGGTGGGGGGAAGTTTTTTGTTTGGTTGGTTTTTGGTTTTGTTTGGTTTTATTTTTTGAAATGGAGTCTTGCTCTGTTGCCCAAGCTGGAATGCAATGGCATGATCTCAGCTCACTGCAACCTCCACCTCCCAGGTTCAAGCGATTCTCCTACCTCAGGCTCTCTGGGATTACAGGCGCCTGCCAGCACACCCTGCTAATCTTTATCTTTTTAGTAGAGGCAGGGTTTCACCATGTTGGCCAGGCTGGTCTTGAACTGAGCTCAGGTGATCTGCCCTCCTCGGCCTCCTAAAGTGCTAGGTTTACAGGAATAAGCCACTATTCCCAGCTGGGAGGTTGTTTTTAAATGAATCTGTGACCTATCTATAGAATTTTTTTTACATCCTCTGGTACATAGAAATCCATACATCTTTATCCTCAGCACCCCTTTTCCCCGCAAGTCATTGTGGTCTCAGGTGTTTGCATGAGTTCACACTAGGCTCATTGGTTTATATTATTTCTTTAATGGTTATCATGTACATGTCAATGCTAGTCTGACTCAAAATGGTTCAACTTTACAATGGGAATTTTCTCCCTTTTTCTGTATCATTGGCCCTTTTTTGAAGGGGAAGGGATATCAGGGGCTCCTGAATCACCACTGCCTGACAAAAGCAAGACGGCTGGGGCAGTGTCACAGTTTCATTTACATGGGCAGGGTTCTGTAAGCTTCAGGTACCTACATACCAAAGGGCATGGTATGAAGAAATAGGGATCAAATGAGGACCCTTTACTTGGAGTGCTGCAAGGCAAAGGTGCACTTTTTGTAAGTTGCATACAGCAAAAGGATAGAGCGCAGCATCTGTTTGCACATAGTCACTGTCATCTGAATTTGAGCTTCCTTAAGTCCAATGGGCCACTGGTGCTCCCTGCTAATGATTTTGCAAAAGGCTGACTTGTCTGAAACTCTGAAAGTCCCAGTCCACTTTGGTGGCTGAGCTGTGATAACCCTGCCAAAGACAGAATCTACTCCACTGAGGCGTATGGGCTGGGGCTTCCTGACCAGTCCTTTGTTGTTCATGTTTCGCAACTCTGATGTGTGGCAGGGTAACTTGGGACTCAATCCAGATTCCAGACTGTCTAGGACTAGAGTGACCTCTTGAAAGCACAGCTGTACTTCTAGGTCAGACGGTGTGTGTGGGAAGCAGGGGGAGGCCCTAAAGGGGTGCTTGGAGGAAGGTGTAGGTGTTGTGTGCCGCAGCCATTGGAAGCTCTCGTCCAGTGGGGTCCATGGTGACCAAAGCTGGTATCCTGCCATTGACAGTCCTAAAGGAGAGAAATCAGAACATGGAATTTCCCTGGCATACTTTTCGTGAGGGTATGGCCTTTCAAATTCCCATCTCTGTCTTACTATTGACATAAACTTAATCTGTAGTTCCCATGAATAGATTCCAACAGGTGTTAGTGTATTAATTCTTAATTTTTTGAGACAGAGTCTCACACTCAGGCTGGAGTGCAGTGGTGAGATCTCAGCTCACCGCAACCTCTGCCTCCTGGGTTCAGGCAATTCTGCCTCAGCCTCCTGAGTAACTAGGATTATAGGCACTCGCCACCACGCCCAGCTAACTTTTGTATTTTCAGTAAAGACAGGGTTTCGCCATGTTGGCTAGGCTGGTCTCAAACTCCTGACCTCAAGTGATCCACCCATCTCAGCCTCCCAAAGTGCTGGGATTACAAGCATGAGCCACCACACCCAGCCTGGGTGTTAGTAATTCTAATAAAGGAAGTAGGGAACGATTACAAGTATTGAATCTGGCCACTGCTATGTGTACTATAACTTACTTTTTCACAAGCCTGTGGAAGTTGGTCTTAACCATTTTATAGATGAGGAAGTGGATTTTTCTGAAATGATTATCCCAGTCCACTGTTAGGACCCATGCTGTGTTGTTAGCTGCTAATGACAGAATCTGTATCTTCTAGGGTGACAGAAGCTACTGGGACTTCATGATGAGACCTTATTACTTGAGATTAGAACAAGCTCACGAAAGTATGTCTCAAAAATATTTGTGGCCAGGCACACTGGCTAATGTCTGTAATCCCAACACTGGGAAATTGAGGCAGGCGGATCACTTGAGGTCAGAGTTCCAGACTAGCCTGGCCAACTTGGTGAAACCCTGTCTCTACTAAAAATATAAAAATTAGGCCGGGTGCAGTGGCTCACACTTTGGGAGGCCGAGGTGGGTGGATCACAAGGTCAGGTGTTCAAGATCAGCCTGGTCAAGATGGTGAAACCCCATCTCTACTAAAAATACAAAACTTAGCCAGGCATGGGGTCAGGAGCCTGTATAACCCCAGCTACTCAGGAAGCTGAGGCAAGAGACTCACTTGAACCAGGGTGGCAGAGGTTGCAGTGAGCTGAGCTCAAGCCACTGCACTATACCCTGGATAACAGAGTGAGACTCCATCTCAAAAAAAAAAGTACAAAAATTAGCCAGGCCTGGTGTCGCACACCTGTAGTCCCAGCCATGTCTTGGGAGACTGAGGCATGAGAATCGCTTTAACTCGGGAGGTGAAGGTTGCAGTGAGTCAAGATCACACCACTGCACTCCCACCTGGACAAAAGAGCAAGACTCAGTCTCAAAAAAAAAAAATTTGTGGCCGGGCGCGGTGGCTCAAGCCTGTAATCCCAGCACTTTGGGAGGCCAAGGTGGGTGGATCATGAGGTCAAGAGATCGAGACCATCCTGGTCAACATGGTAAAACCCCGTCTCTACTAAAAATACAAAAAAATTAGCTGGGCGTGGTGGCACGTGCCTGTAATCCCAGCTACTCAGGAGGCTGAGGCAGGAGAATTGCCTGAACCCAGGAGGCGAAGGTTGCAGTGAGCTGAGATCGCGCCATTGCACTCCAGCCTGGGTAACAAGAGCGAAACTCCGTCTCAAAAAAAAAAAAAAAAAAAAAAAAAATTGTGAGGTTCTCAATGTATGAACCCTGGACTAACAACTTCAACATCATTTGGAAACTTGGAGAAATGCACATTTTGGGGCCCCACCTCAGACAAACAGAAAAAAACTCTAAGTGGGGCCCAGCAATCTGCACTTATATAAGCCCTCTAGGGGACTCTTGCATTGTCTATTAAGAGAATTTCTTATGCTATTCCTTCCAATCTACTCCGGCTTTAACTGTTCATTACTGAGAATCATCTCCTGGCCCAAAAGCCGTCTGTATTTTCTAGCATAAAGGAGCAACTTGCAGACCCCTGGGCTATTTATATACCACCTCAGAAGAGCTACACCAGGCTGGGCATGGAAAACTTTTTCAAAGTCCAGTCAAAAAATTACGAAAGATTTTTGTTTCTCTAGGTGTGGGTGTTTTTTTAAAAATTGTTTTGGCGCGGTGGCTCAGGCCTGTAATCCCAACACTTTGGGAGGCCGAGGCGGGTGGATCACGAGGTCAAGAGATCGTGACCATCCTGGTCAACATGGTGAAACCCCATCTGTACTAAAAATACAAAAAAAAAAATTAGCTGGGCGTGGTGACCCGTGCCTGTAATCCCAGCTACCCAGGAGGCTGAGGCAGGAGAATTGCCTGAACCCAGGAGGCGGAGGTTGCGGTGAGCCGAGATCGTACCATTGCACTCCAGCCTGGGTAACAAGGGTGAAACGCTGTCTCCAAAAAAAAAAAAAAAAAGGGGGCTGTGAGGATATTGCTAACTCAAAATTTATCTGAGTAAAATTCAAATTTTCCATCATTCTCCTTCAACATTGCCAGTATGTAAGAAGTTTTACTGAATTCAGAAGCCAATTTTTTTTAGCACCTACCTTTTGTGTTAGTGGGCATAGCAGCTCCCCTTTCTTTCTAGCCAAGTGTATTTCTCTGCCCCTTTTTTTCCCATAGAAGATAGAAGCAGATAGATCCCATCCTATCCAGTAATTGCCCCAGAAATACTGTGAAAATTTTGACACCTTCACCACCGTTTGTGAGGTAGAAAAGTTCATTTTAAAAAAAGAACCAATGGCTGGGTACAGTGGTCACGCCTGTAATCCCAGCACTTTGGGAGGCTGAGGCAGGTGGACCGCTTGAGGTCAGGAGTTTGAGACCAGCCTGGCCAGCATGGTGAAACCCCGTGTCTACTAAAAATACAAAAACTTGCTGGGTGTGGTGGTACACGTCTGTAATCCTGGCTACTCAGGAAGCTGAGGCATGAGAATCACTTGAACCCAGGAGGCGGGGGTTGCAGTGAGCGATTGCACCCCAGCCTTGGCCACAGAGCAAGACTCTGCCTCATTAAAAAAACAACAACAACAACAACAAAAAAAAACTGTTGTTGACATTTCAGACCAGAAGACCTGCCCCTGATAATGCTTAGTATAGGGGGATTTGTTGATTTTCTCCAACTAGTATGTTTCTCGTGATCTATGCAGGCTCTTTGAAAATTACTGAGTGTTCAAATATATGGGCTGTTTTAGAATGAGAAAGGGACAACCAAGGGATGGTTACCTATTCCAAACAGCTTGTGAAAGGCTTCTGGTGTTGATAACTTGACCTTCAGAGCACACCCAAGAGAGGGACTACTCTGGTACACCACCATGACAAGGTATGTAGAAGGTATGAACGCTGCCAAGCATATGACCAAAAAAAGTATTTAATCTCAGGATCCTTTTCTTGCCACATCTTCTAAGAGGAAATAGAGGCAGAAGTAAAAGGCTTTGTCACAGCTGGGAGTGGTGGCTCACGCCTGTAATCCCAGCACTTTGGGAGGCCAAGGCAGGCGGATCACGAGGTCGGGAGTTGGAGACCAGCCTGACAAACCTGGTGAAACCCTGTCTCTACTAAAAATACAAAACATTAGCCGGGTATGGTGGTGTGCGCCTGTAATCCCAGCTACTCCGTACGCTGAGGCAGAAGAATTGCTTGAACCCGGGAGGCAGAGGTTGCAGTGAGCCGAGGGCCATTGCACTCTAGCTTGGGCAAGAAGATTGAGACTCTGTCTCAAAAAAAAAAAAAAAAAAAAAAAAGAGCGGGGCGGGGTGGGGGCTTGGTCAAATGTCCAGCCTAGGTCGGGGCACGGTGGCTCAGGCCTGCAATCAGCACTTTGGAGGCCGAGGCAGGCGGATTACTTGAGGTCAGGAGTCAGTCTAAATATTCGGCAGAACCAACACGGGACGGGAGGGCTTCTAAACCTAGGGCCCTGCACCACTTCGCACAAAGTTTAAAGATGGTTCACCCCATCCCCACCGCCCAGAAGTCACTCTCAACTACTGCAGAAGGGCTTGAACCTGCGAACTCTGCCCAGGCTGCTCAATAGGTCCCATATAGGGAACACTGGATTCTCCTGACCAAAAAATTTTCCCCTTCACACCGCACTTCTAGTTCCAAGGAACCCCATCTTTTGATTTCCCCACCTGGGAAACCCGGCAGGCGATAGCGCCAAAGTGCAGCTGAGGTCGTGAACTGTAAATGGAGATCCCTAGGGTCCGGAGCTGCCCAAAAGAGCGAGAGGCTCCCAGTCCCCGCCAGAAGAAGGGGGTCCCTACCCGGGGGCAGGGACCAGACGGTTCTGGCTGAGGCGGAGGAGACGGTGGGAACCCCAGCCCAGCCCCACCATCCAGGCCCGGGGGTTCACGGGGCTGAATTCTGAGGGTCGCACGATCCACAGTGGCAGCCGCTGTTTCGTGGCGCCCTTTCTCCGCCTGGCGCCTGGCAACCGCCTTTGTGACCCAGGACCGCGGGGGAGCCCGAGTCGAGGCGCCCTGCTGGGAGGCGTCGGGGCCGCACTCCCCCCACCCACCTCATTGGAATGCCTTGCCCAGGACTCGGGCTTCAGGAGAGCTGGTTTGAACCCTGTCCCCTCCATTGTCCTCCCCATCGCGCCACACCTGTGTGCCTTTGATCAAGCCACAGAGAACAGGCGACCCCTACTTCAAAGGCTTTGGTCAGGAGTCTGCATACAAGTCCCAGGACCTGTAGTTAGTGTTTAAAAATTAGTCCCAATTCATCACACTCTGCTTAGTGGGTATTCAGGCAGAACGACCCAGAGCCCTACCAGATTTTGTTGCTCTATTTGAATGATTCAGTGCAAGGAAAGAGAATTAATAAATGTTCACCTGTCAAGAGCAGGAGAAAACGCACGTCTTTCCTTGATTTTCAGACAGAACACCTTTCTCAGCCTTCTATTTAACCTCAGAGAGCCTGTAATCCCAGCTTTCTGGGTGGCTAAGACAGATAGACTGCTTGAGTCCAGGAGTTCAAGACCAGTCTGGGCAACATAGCAAGACGCCTGGCTCAAAAAGAATAAATAATCTCAAAAGAATGATTTTGTCTCATTCTCACAATGCTGAAATACTGACACTTTTGCTGTATTAGCGAAGGAGTGATTTGACGACTTTGTAATCATCACTTAAAATAATGACCCTGGATGGCTGAGGGAAGGGAGGAGTCTACCCAGCTGATGTCTGTATTCCCAGTACCTGGCTATTGCAGTGTCTGGTCGTGTGCAGTATTTGTGGCGGGAAGCAGCTAATGGCCTACTTGCCCTTCCCTTGTACACCCAGAATCACCCTTGCATTTTACAAACTACAGAACACACACCACAAATAAGATGTCACCTTTTGTCTGGTTCTTTTGGTAAAGCTGATGGAGAGAGATTGAGGGCCTGAGAATAGGGTCAGGCCAAATCCTGATTTAGAAGACCAGAGAGTCGTTAGGTACTTGTCAAAAACTATCAAATGCCCACTGTGTGTGCATGTGCACCTTATGGGAGGAGAGGTAAATGGAGAAGAGTTTGGAGGGGTGTCAGAAAATGAAGAAAGGGGCAGAGAATAGTGACACTGGGAAGAGACACAAATGATTTTGAATTAAAAAACTTTTTTCCTAGTTAGTTGATTTTTTTTCCGTGTTTTTTTTTAGACAGAGTCTCACTCTGTTGCCCGGGCTCATTGCAACCTCTGCCTTCCAGGTTCAAGCGATTCTCCTGCCTCAGCTCCTGAGTAGCTGGGATTACAGGCATGCGCCACTGCACCAGACTAATTTTTGTATTTTTAGTAGAGACGAGGTTTTACCATGTTGGTCAGGCTGGTCTTGAACTCCTAAAGTCAGGTGATCCGCCTGCCTTGGCTTCTCAAAATGCTGGGATTACAGACATGAGCTACTGTGCCCGGCCTTTATTTAGTTTTTAATTGCACAGTGGTGATTTTTTGTTTGTTTGTTTTAGATGGAGTCTTGCTCTGCTGCCCAGGCTGGAGTGCAATGGCCCCTCTCAGCTTACCGCAACCTCTGCCTCCCAGGTTCAAGCAATTCTCCTGCCTCAGCCTCCCAAGTAGCTGGGATTACAGGTGTGCACCACCATGCCCGGATAATTTTTGTATTTTTAAGTAGAGACGGGTTTCACCGTGTTGGTCAGGCTGGTCTGGAGCCCCTGACTTTGTGATCCACCCACCTCAGACTCTCAAAGTGCTGGGATAACAGGCATGAGCCACCGTGGCCAGCTGGGGTTTTTTTTTTTTTTTTTTTTTTTTTTTTTAATGAAAGCCCTCAATGAAAATTGTATGTTTAAAAATTATTGGATAGGCTGGGCGCGGTGGCTCATGCAGGAGAATCGCTTGAACCAGGGAGGTGGAGGTTGCAGTGAACCGAGATCGTGCCATTGCACTCCAGCCTGGGCGACAAAGTAATCTGTCAAAAAAAAAAAAAAAAAAAAAAAAGAATTTGTGCAGCAGTCCTCTGTGCAGTCTGCCCAGCTCTAAGGGACATGTGCCATTCACCATCACCTCCAAGTCTGATAGCCTGCTCCATATGGAAAACCAGAATGTGGTCTGTATCATGTAGTGCTCAACATTCTGGTTGCACTGTTCAGGGATTCTCATGACAATAGCCACATTTACTCTGCCAAAAGCTGATTCAGTGCTTTCAAAACAGGCAGCGATGTTGCTATGGTGCACATGCCGTCTCCACCCTTCTATGATGTCTCAGTTACATTTATTGTGGCACAAATATGGTGTCACAAAGTGTTAGTAGGAATTTGAAATACTGACCTAATAGGCCCAGCTGTGCCGATAATGGTCCAAGTGCATATGACTGCAAAGGAAGCTCAAATGACCAGGCTTAATGCAAGCGCTAAATTTCTTCGAGCTTTGATTCCACATTGATTCTTATACCTGAAGTCATCAATGAGATCCCAAGTTCCATGAAGTGTATGACCAACTCAAAGTGAAGACAGGGGCTGGGCACAGTGGCTCATGCCTGTAATCCTAGCACTTTGGGAGGCCGAGGCAGGCAGATCACTTGAGGTCAGGAGTTTGAGGCCAGCCTGGCCAACATGGTGAAACCCAGCCTCTACCAAAAAAATACAAAAATTAGCCAAGCGTGGTGATGCAGGCCTATAATCCCAGCTACTTGGGAGACTAAGGCAGGCAAATTCTTAGAACCCAGGAGGCAGAGGTTGCAGTGAGCTGAGATCGCACCACTGCACTCCAGCCTGGGTGACAGAATGAGACTCTGTCTCAAAAAACAACAACAACAACAAAAAAAGGCAAAGACAGGGACCTGGTTTTGCTATGTTGACTGTAGCGCTCCTTGTTGCACCAACATTCCCAAAGCTGGCCTCTGCAGCCCTGTGTCACTCATCAGAAATGATTCCTACAGTGAAAAACTATCATGCTAGCAAACCCGTAACTGGAGGACTGTCTGACAGCAAGTTCTGTAAAGCATTTAGGAAAAGGCTCCTGAAGTCCACAGGAACCATCTTCACTCAAGAACAGCATCATATCCTTGAGTCACTTGGAATTACAGGGGAGATTCTTGAACAGGTATACAGGAAGTCAAGCGAAAGGAGAAGACTTCAGTCTGACTTGTCCATGGAAGATGATCATTTAAAAAATTGTTGGATAGATAGTTTTCTGCTGTCTGCATATTAAGAAAATATAAACTGATCCTGAGTGCATGCTTTATGAAGAGCTAGGCATTGTGCTTAGTGTTTTATTTATACTTTCTCACATAATCCTCCAATAATCCTAATTCATCAGTGTTGTTACCCTTGAGTTACACATAAAGAAATCAAAGCTCAGAGAGGTGAAATGACTCCTGGATGGTAGATTTAAGATTTGAAACCATGATGCAATATCTTTATTTTTTATTTTATTTTTTGAGACAGAGTTTTGCCCTTATCACCCAGGCTGGAGTGCAATGGTGCGATCTTGGCTTACTGTACTCTCTGCCTCCCAAGTTCAAGTGATTCTCCTGCCTCAGCCTCCCTAGTAGCTGGGATTTCAGGTGCCTGCCACCGTGACTGGCTAATTTTTTTTTTTTCTTTTTGGTATTTTTAGTAGAGAGATGGTTTCACCATGTTTGCCAGGCTGGTCTCAAACACCTGACCTCAGGTTGATCTACCTGCCTTGACCTCCCAAAGTGTGCTAGGATTACAGTCCCGAGCCACCATGCCCAGCCAATGCTATATATATATATATATATATATATATATATATATATATATATATATATATATTTTTTTTTTTTTTTGAGATGGAATTTTTGCTTTTGCTGCCCAGGCTGGAGTTCAATGGCAAGATTTTGGCTCACCACAATCTCTGCCTCCCGGGTTCAAGTGATTCTGCTCCCTCAGCCTCTCGAGTAGCTGGGATTACAGACATGCGTCACCACACCCGGCTAATTTTGTATTTTTAGTAGAGATGGGATCTCTCCATGTTGGTCAGGCTGGTCTTGAACTCCCAACCTCAGGTGATCTGCCCGCCTCAGCCTCCGAAGGTGCTGGGATTACAGGCATGAGCCACCGTGCCCAGCTGAGGCAATTCCTTTAAAGGAAAACAGGTCTATCTGACTGTGATATGTGAGTATAATGCCACTTCAACAGCATCACTTAGAATACAGGGCCCTGAACGGCACATTGCCTACTGCATGCTTAGGCTTTCCTTAATTCTCTGTATCTATTATTTATTTTAGAAATCATTTATATGTATACATAGGAGAGCTCGGACAGACTTTAACCTGTTTTCAGAGTGGTATAGTGAAGAGATAATGAAGTCTGGAATCAGCTGATTAGGGTCTACCATTTAATTGGCTTTGTTGCCTTGAACATCAGATTTCTGATTTCTGATTTATGAAATGAGAAACTTCTTCCTGGCTTCCTTCCACTGGGTTTGTGAGGGTCCAATGAGGTAATAGCTATAAAAGCATCTTGATAGGTTATAAAATCCTCTACTGGTGTAAATAACTGTTAGTAATGGTTTCTTCCCAGTTAACGCCAGTGCTAGAAGTAATCTGACTCTTCAGCCATTTTTTTTTTTTTTTTTTTTTTTTTTTGAGACAGGGTCTCACTCTGTCACCCAGGCTGGAGTGGAATAGTACAATCAGAGCTCACTGCTGCCTCCACCTCCCTGGGCTCAGATGATCCTCCCACTTCAGTCTTCTGAATAGATGGGGTTACAAGCACGTGCCACCATACCTGGCTAATTTTTCTACTTTTTTATAGAGACAGGGTTTCACTGTGTTGGCCAGGCTGGTCTTGAACTCTTGGCCTCAAGTAATATGCCCACCTCAGGCTCCCAGAGTGCTAGGATTAACAGGTGTGAGCCTGTTAAGAAAGAAAAATGTATACTTAGTTTTTCCCTTCAATTTGTGTGTTTTCATGTTGCTTGTGTTCATAATTAGCATTTAAATGACTGCATAATAGGTCAGGCATGGTGGCTCATGCCTGTAATCCTAGCACTTTGGGAGGCCTAGGTGGGCGGATCACCTGAGGTCAGGAGTTTGAGACCAGCCTGGCCAACATGTTGGCCTACTAAAAAATATGAAAAGTAGCCAGGTGTGGTGGTGAGCACCTGTAATCCCCGGAGGCTGAGGCAGGAGAATCACTTCAACCCAGGAGGCGGAGGTTACAGTGAGCCAAATTTGCACCATTGCTCTCCATTCTGGGCATCAACAGAGAAATTCCGTCTCAAAAAAAATAAAAGAAGAAGAAAGAAAAATATGTATTTCGTTTTCCCCTTCAATTCATTTATGTGCTTTCTTTTTTGAACGGAGTCTCTCGCTCTTTCACCAGGTGCCAGCCTGGAGTGCAGTGGCATGATCTTGGCTCACTGCAACCTCCACCTCCCAGCTTCAAGCAATTCTCCTGCCTCAGCCTCCTGAGTAGCTGGGACTACAGGTGTACGCCACCACACCCAGATAATTTTTGTATTTTAGTAGAGACGAGGTTTCACTATGTTGGCCAGGTCTCGATTGACCTCGTGATCTGCCCACCTTGGCCTTCCAAAATGCTGGGATCACAGGTGTGAGCCACCATGCCCGGCCGCTATTTATGCTTTTCATATTGCTTGTGTTCATAAGTAGCATTTAAATTACTTCATAATAGGCCAGGTGTGGTGGCTCATGCCTGTAATCCCAGCACTTTGGGAGGCCTAGGTGGACCGATCACCTAAGGTCAGGGGTTCGAGCCTGGCCTAGCCAACAATGTGAACCACCCTCTCTACAACTAACTCAAAAATTAGCCAGGCATGGTGATGCGAGCCTGTAGTCCCAACTACACTGGAGGCGGAGGCTGGAGTAGCTTAAGCACAGGAGTTCGAGGCTGCAGTGATCCATGATCATGCCATCGCATTCCAGCCTTGATGACAATGAGACCTTGTCTCTAAAAAACACACATAAAAACACAAATATCCTTCTGCAAGGGATTGTGCCAGTTTGCAGTGTACCCAGCTATTTATGACCATATCAATTTTTACTCTCTCCGTTAATGGCTATTGTTTAAAAAAAAGTTACTCATTTGATAAATGTGAGGCAGATTATCATGTTGTGTCATTGGAAGGCATTTTATTTTATTTTTATGTATTTTATTTTGAGACAGGATCTTGCTCTGTTGCCCAGGCTGGTGTGCAGGGGGGCGATCTCAGCTGACTGTAGCCTTGACTTGCTGGGCTCAAGTGATACTCCTGCCTCAGCCTCCCGAGTAGCTGGGGCCACAGGTGCATGCTACCACGTCTGGCTAGGAAGGCATTTAAAAGATGACTTGTAGGCCGGGCACGGTGGCTCAAGCCTGTAATCCCAGCACTTTGGGAGGCCGAGGCGGGTGGATCACAAGGTCGAGAGATCGAGACCATCCTGGTCAACATGGTGAAACACCGTCTCTACTAAAGATACAAAAAATTAGCTGGGCATGGTGGCACGTGCCTGTAATCCCAGCTACTCAGGAGGCTGAGGCAGGAGAATTGCTTGAACCCAGGAGGCGGAGGTTGCGGTGAGCCGAGATCGCGCCATTGCACTCCAGCCTGGGTAACAAGAGCGAAACTCCCTCTCAAAAAATAAATAAATAAATAAATAAATAATAAAAGATGACTTGTATTTAGGCTGGGCATGGTGACTCACACCTGTAATCCCAGCACTGCACTTTGGGAGGCCAAGGTGGGCAAATTACTTGAGGCCAGGAGTTCGAGACCAGCCTGACTAACATGGTGAAACCCTGTCTCTAGTAAAAATACAAAAAAAAAAAAAAAAAAAAAAAAGCCGGGCACGGTGGCTCAAGCCTGTAATCCCAGCACTTTGGGAGTCCGAGGCGGGTGGATCACGAGGTCAAGAGATTGAGACCATCCTGGTCAACGAGGTGAAACCTCGTCTCTACTAAAAATACAAAAAAAAATTAGCTGGGCATGGTGGCGCGTGCCTGTGATCCCAGCTACTCAGGAGGCTGAGGCAGGAGAATTGCCTGAACCCAGGAGGCGGAGGTTGCGGTGAGCCGAGATCGTGCCATTGCACTCCAGCCTGGGTAATGAGTGAAACTCCTCCTCAAAAAAACAAAAAAAACAAAACAAAAAAAAAAATTAGGCGGGTGTGGCGGCCTGCGCTTGTAATCCCAGCATTTGGGAGGCTGAGGCAGGACAATCACTTGAACCCAGAGGCGGAGGTTGCATTGAGCCACTGTACCCTAATCGGGGTGACAGAGCAAGACTCCGTCTCAAAAAGAAAAAAAAAAAAAGACTCGTATTTAATGTGATTTAGTGCCCATATTACTGCTGACACAGACTGTGCAACCTGAGCCTGGAGCATTTGAGTGAGATGGCGAGATCCCACGCGCCCGTTTAACGACCGTAAATCTCGTGCAGTATAATCTCGCCGCTGGGGTCGAGGCTTCTGTTTCTACAGCGTGGGAGCAGAGAGCAAACTCCGGCGAGGACGTGACATTGCACGGGCGTATCACAGTGCCGGAGAATTCGTGGGTGTCCAAGAAGATGGGCGTGGGCTGGCGGCGCAGGCGCACTGGAGGCCTACGGGGTCGAGGCGCCTGCGCAGTCGTTCTTCCTCAGGCGGCCGCCATGGCGGGACAAGAGGATCCGGTGCAGAGGGAGATTCACCAGGACTGGGCTAACCGGGAGTACATTGAAATAATCACCAGCAGCATCAAGAAAATCGCGGACTTTCTCAACTCGTTCGGTCAGCGGGGCAGCAAGGGGAGGCGGGGAGGAGGGAGGCCGCTGAGGCTGTTGGGCTGGGGCGCCGAGGAGATGCTTGGAGAGGACTCCTGGAGCCTTGGCTGTTGCGGGTTTTCACTTCCTCCTTCAGGTCCCAGCTTCCCCCTCCCTCCCTGACCCTCAGGCTCCGCTGGACCGTCTCTGTAGGGTCATCCTGCCCTACGCTGAGCTCATGGCTTCTTGCCATCCCCCTGGATCCATTCTACAAGTCCTTTTCCCAGACGCGTCAGGGAGCGTCATCCTCTCACCGTGGTTCTTCTCCTAAGTGGTCTCTCTGCCTCCTTTATGCTCCGCTTCCATCCCAGTCCCCACTTTGCATTCAAAGTGCGCATCCGAGACCGTGTCAGTGCTCTGTTTCTAGATTGTTGACGGTTTCCCATCTTTAGGATCAAGTCGAAACCCTCTAGCGTCATGCCTTTTAGTTGCACCCTCAACCACTCTCCTCTTGCCCATTCCTTCCTGTCTCCTGTGTCTGCCGCGCTGAGAGGGGTAGGAGATGAGGTCAGAGTGATGCCAGGATCTTGTAGGACCTTGGAAGTCCTCTCTGTGTAGCTGGTATATAGCCCGTAGTAGGTGTTCTGTCTGCTTCTAGCGTATTCCTCAGAGCTAACACAGATCAGGTGCCTTCAGCAGAAAGACATCTTTACCAGAATCCTTCCTAGGCATGGCCTGCTTGTGACAGTCTTAAATTCTTCCTCTGAACAGCGAGCAAAGTAATCGAGACTCCTACCCCTTCTTCTCCAAGTGTTTCTTTAAGAGAATTTGGCACTGATTAGACTTTCTTGTGTAATTACAGGATATAGGGATACATCTAGTGACCTTCAACTAGTATACTTTGGAATTTTTTTTTTTTTTTTTTTTTTTTTTTTGTATTTTTAGTAGAGACGGGGTTTCACCATGTTGACCAGGATGGTCTCGATCTCATGACCTCGTGATCCACCCGCCTCAGCCTCCCAAAGTGCTGGGATTAAAGGCGTGAGCCACCACACCCGGCTTGGAAATATTTTTAATGGATTAATTATTTTCTAGCTAAAGGACTGATGGCCTTAGGAGTATAAAGGTGACAGAGCAAGAGATTGTCAGAAAGCATCAGCTGAGAGAGGCTAGATCTTCATATAAGGTCCTCTCTTAAGGCACTGTGGGAGACACAGAATAAGAGCCACTTCCTACATTCAAAGAAGTTATAATCTTGAAGTTGAAATAATGGCAACTTTAGGACAAAAATAGCATCATTTTTGTATTAAATTATTTTCATGCAGGGTATATAGGACTGTGATCCGTGGCTGGGTGCACTGGCTCATGCCTGTAATCCCAGCACCTTGGGAGGCCAAGGTGGAAGGATTGTTTGAGCCCAGGAGTTCAAGACCAGCCTGGGCAACATGGCTAGATTCTCTCTAAAAAAAAAAAAAAAAAAAAAAAAAAAAAAATTAATTGGGCATGGTAGTGCATACCTATTGTCCCAGCTACTCAGGAGGCTGAGACAGGAGGATCACTTGAGCCCTGGAGGTAGTGAGCCATGTTCTTGACACTGCACTCCAGGCCTTGGCAACAGAGTAAGACCCTGTCTCAAAAAAAAAAAAAAAAAAAAAAAAAAAAAAAATTCTGACTTGGATCCTAGTAATGTAATTTTATTTCTGAGAACAGAATTATACCAGTAAACTTTTATTATTTTATTTTATTTTATTTTATTTTTTTAGAAACAGGGTTCCACCATATTGGCCAGGCCAGTTTCAAGCTCCTGACCTCAGGTGATCCGCCCACCTTGACCTTCCAAAGTGCTGGGATTACAGGCGTGAGCCACTGCGCTTGGCCACTAGTAAACTTTTAATTCATTATATTTATCTTTGATGTAAGTCTTGGTATATCATACCCGTTAAATTTATAGTGGATGTGTTTTGGGACTTACCAGGTTGCCTAAGGAGGGGTGAACCGGCCCAGGTCAGAAACGGAGTAGGTCAAAAATCCTGTGCTGATCAGTAGTGGGATGGCACCTGTGAATAGCCACTGCACTCCAGCCTGGGCAACATAGTGAAACCCCCCCTTTAAAAAACAACAACAACAAAAAAAAAAAACAGGATTTTTTTTTTTTAAAGACAGGGTCTCACTCTAGCCCAGGCTGGAGTGCAGTGGCATGGTCTCAGCTCACTGCAACCTCTTCCTCTTGGACTAAAAGCGATTCTTGTGCCTCTGCCTCCTGAGTACCGGGGATTACAGGTGTGCACCACCATACCTGGATGATTTTTTTGCTTTTTAAAGTAGAGATGGGTTTTGGCCATTTTGTCCAGGCTGATCTCAAACTCCTGAGCTCAAGTGATCCACCCGCCTTGGCCTCCCAAAGTACTGGGATTACAGGGGTTAGCCACTGTCCCCAGCCACCCAACAAATTCTAAACTAAGGAATTAGACATACAGAAGTCTAATTTTTTGGCTCCGAAAGAAATGATTTCCCTTAGCTTAGATCATTATCCTCCCTTAAAGGGATGATAGTAGGCAAATATTTGGAGTAATCACTAGGTGGTTTTTTAAGATTTTAGAAAGTGAATTTAGAGAAAATAACAATTAATTACAAGTAAATAAGACAGATGTTTTTGAGACAGATTTTCACTCTGTCACGTAGGCTGAAGTGCAGTGGCACGATCTTGGCTTACTGCAAACTCCACCTCCCAGATTCAAGTGATTTTCTTGCCGCAGCCTCCCAAGTAGCTGGAACTACAGGTGTGCACCACCACGCCTAGCTAATATTTGTATTTTTAGTAGAGACGGGTTTCGCCATGTTGGCCATGCTGGTCTCGAACTCCTGGTCTCAAGTGATCCACGACTCAGTCTCCCAAAGTGCTGGGATTATAGGCATGAGTCACCATGCCTAGCCAGAGGCAGATTGTTTTCGATAAAAGTTATGCTATGCCTACCTCTCCTGCCTCCCCTACCACCTCTGCCACTCATGAGATGGCAAAACCACCCTCTCGTCTTCCTCCTCTTCCTCAGCCTACTCAGCAGGAAGACAATGGGGATGAAGACCTTTATGATGATCCACTTCCATTTAATGAATAGTTAATATATTTCCTTTTCCTGACTTTTTTTTGTTTGTTTTTGAGATAGAGTCTTGCTCTGTTGCCAGGCTAGAGTGCCAGTGATGCGATCTTGGCTCACTGCAACCTCCGGCTCCTGGGTTCAGGTGATTCTCCTGCCTCAGCCTCCCGAGTAGCTGGGACTACAGGCATGCACCACCACACCCAGGTAATTTTTGTAGTAGAGACAGGGTTTCACCATGTTGGCCAGGATGGTCTCGATCTCCTGACCTTGTGATCCACCTGCCTCAGCCTCCCAAAGTACTGGGATTACAGGCATGAACCACCACATCCGTCCTCCTTTTCCTGATTTTTAAAATAACATAGTCTTTTCTCTAGTTTACTTTAATGTATATCATACATGTGACATCCAAAATATGTGTTAATCAACTGCTCATGTTATCAGTAAGGTTTCCAGTCAACAATAGGCTATTAGTAGTTTAGTTCTGGGGAGACAAAAATTATATGCAGATTTTCTTTTTCTTATTTATTTATTTAAAACAGAGACAAGGTCTCACTATGCTGCCCAGCTTGTTCTCAAACTCCTGAGCTCAAGTGATCCTCCAACCTTGGCCTCCCAAAGTGCTAGAATTACAGGCGTGAGCCACCACGCTGGCCTACGCAGATTTTCAACTGCACAGAGGGTTGATGTGCTTAACCCCTGAGTTGTTCAGGGGTCAACTGTAACATGTTTATGATGATATGGTTTGGTGGTGTAAAGATTAAATAAGAATTTATTTTGAGGCCAGGCACAGTGGCTCATGCCTGTAATCCCAGTACTTTGGGAGTCCGAGGCAGGTGGATCACTTCAGCCTAGGAGTTTGAGACCATCCTGGCCAACATGGCAAAACTCCATCTCTATAAAAAATACAAAAATTAACCACATACAAAAAAATCTGCCTTTGGCCAGGCACAGTGGCTCATGCCTATGTTTTTACAAAATACAAAAATTAGCGCAGTGGCACATGCCTGTAATTCCAAGCTACCTGGGAGGCTGAGGCTAAGGCGTGAGTATCGCTTGAACCTGGAGATGGAGGTTGCAGTGAGCCAAGATTGTGCCACTGCACTTCAGCCTGGTTGATGAAGTGAGACTCTGTCTCAAAAAAAAAGAATTTGCTTTGAGGAAGCATCTGAAGTACACATACAGAATATGTTAGCAATTCTGTAGTCCTTACTCTGACCACAGAGAATCTGCATGGGCCATGTGTTTTGGAGAGAGAACTGTTTTTCTTTTCTTTTTTTCTTTTTTTTTTTTTTGAGGCGGAGTTTCCCTCTTGTTACCCAGGCTGGAGTGCAATGGCGCAGTCTCGGCTCACCGCAACCTCCGCCTCCTGGGTTCAGGCAATTCTCCTGCCTCAGCCTCCTGAGTAGCTGGGATTACAGGCACGTGCCACCATGCCCAGCTAATTTTTTGTGTTTTTAGTAGAGACGGGGTTTCACCATGTTGACCAGGATGGTCTCGATCTCTTGACCTTGTGATCCACCTGCCTCGGCCTCCCAAAGTGCTGGGATAACAGGCTTGAGCCACCGCACCCGGCCGAGAACTGTTTTTCTAAGATAGCTAATGACATTTCCAAATAGCATTTACCCTGTGATTCCAGCTGGTGAGAGTAGAGTTACAGTATCCCACGTGAACTTGAGGACATACAAATCATAATGTAGCAATAACATCCTAACACTAGGCCTATTCTGTACTTTGGAATTGGTGACGCTTCTAAAAATAGATGGTTAGAGATTATCGCTTTTTATTTTTATACTATTTTTTTTTCTGGTTTGAGAGGTAATACATGCAGAGAAGTACAGAGAAAAAATAGAGAATGTGGCTATGTTTTAGAAATCTCAGCTTTTATACTAAGCCAACAAATAAGAGCCTAGCCTGCCTGGTGTGTGTCAGA